GCCATAGAACACACGCTGCTCCGTTAAAACATCGGCGCTCAATCGAGTTGCAAAGCTCAGGTTGGCCATGATGTAGATCAGAATATTTTCCTTTTGTCCATGTCAGATATCGGCCTCGTGACTAGCATCGATGATTGTAGCAGGGGGGAATATCGAAGAATATCTTGCTAACCTTGTAATTGAACGGGCCTGGGTTGAGGCTATGACGCCTTCCGAATAGTGTAACGCCCCAGTCTGGAACGACATATTCCCAGACCTTGCCAACTGGATACGCAAGAAATTGGATAGCAGACTGCGACAGAGTAATGGAGGGAAGGCGGAAAGTAAAAAGTGTATTGACGCCGGTTCCAATCAAGCATGCAATTATTGCGAGAACCCACATGCGCACCGTCAAGCATGGCAAACTCGGGTCGTCCTTTCGGAACCCAACGCCAGCAGCCTGAAGTACTTCTGCAGCGGCATCTTCAGACTCCTCTGTATTAAAGCCAAATTTGTTAAAGTGTGAAGATGAGTGGTAGAGGTCAATCAAGGAGCCAACAACTCACCAGAGGGGCGCTTCGCTTCCTCGATAGAGGATACGGTGCTATCCCTACCCTCGGCGTTGATTTCCGGTTGAGCAGAACGCTCGTTGACCGTGACGTCTTGTGCGTTAACTCCCATGTTTTGTGTTCTTTTTACGCTTCCCAGTAAGGCGGAAAGAGTCAAGACCAAGTAATGTCAAGACTTGATCATGGAGGGAGCCTTCCCCCGATTATCAGTTTAATCAATTTGATCAATCAATCAGATAAGATCCTGCACGCCCATGGTGTATTTATATATGCCGCCCGTAGCCCATCATATCAATCGTCTGATTCATGTCGAATCCCATTGGATATGGCGTTTAAGCAATTTTTTTCTGTAGTCGTAATCCTAGACCCACGAAATAATCTCAGAGCCGAGCGGGAGACTAGTGCCAATGGGAAAGAGCATATTTGCCGCATCTCACGCGACAATCGCTAACGAAGGCTCCTTTTTGGTAAGTGGGATGCCCTCTGCAAGGTAGAGCTTTCCCATGACAGGCTGGGCGTCCCGGCAAAGGTGCCGAGAGAGGAAGAGTAATATGATGCTGAGCCTTAGGACCGGCTATTTCGGCCTGCTGGGCGGCCCTGCTGTCTTGGAATGGACTATTTGCAGCAAGTTTGATCTCTTCTGGCTGGCGTGCGTCGTAAGCCTTCGACCCGCCCACTGCCGCCGAGTCGGATGTTCGGCCACCAATATGGGGAATCGGCCGCCAGCCCTACCACAAGCCGGAAAGCCTCAGTAAACAGGTGGCTTCTTATGGATCCATTATATGGTTATCAGCTCTGCGGAGAACGCCGTGACGATTATCGATCTCCGAATCTCCGTGCATTTTGCGCCGCTGGAAAAAGGAGGCATTCCGAAGTATCAAAAGTATCCAACCGGTGTCATCTGGAATATAATGGAGAAATTGCTATGGCTACATCTTCAACTTTGGATGGCTTAGAGTGAATCAAGCTTGGTTTTCTGACCACACAGGACAACGTTTCTTGAAAAGCCATTTCTCGAGTGCTCGGAGAGTTCTACATTTAAACATCGATTGAATGTTGTCTTTGGAAGATTCAGAGCATTCACCATGGATGACATGTGCCAAGTCATCCGGCATCGAAAGTTAAAGCTACCAATATGCGGAATTTAAGGGCGGCCGCTTGGTGATCAACAATTTGTACGTTTTCAGCACGTCTTTGGAGACCTGGTATTTCCGATGGTTTCCGACGGTGACAAAGCCTTGACAGTGCAGGAGAATTACTACACGAAGGGCCCATGTGTGTGTGTGTGTGTGTGTGTGTGTTATATTTAACGCCGTGTAATCCCGCGAGGGGCAAAGGGCGTCTACAGCTAAGCTCGAGAGCCTATGTAGAAGAGTCTATATACGTAGGGATATCCATCCGTACGGGTGTTCAGTTTGTGCAGGGTTATGCGCCAAATCGCAGCCCTGCTATGTTTTGGGAAGAAGCCCTCTATTTTATCCCTAGCTAGAATTCTCTTACTTCCTCCTATCTCCGCGTAACCACGTTCGAGGTCCTAGTAGCCGGACGATCGTAATAGGCAGTAAATAGCCGTGTAGGAAAACATCCTCTCACCAAGAGGTAAAAACTTAAGGCAGCTAGGATTAAGCTGTCAAGGGGAGCCAGAGGCTTCAGCAGCTCTTCGAGTATCTAATTCAAGCCCCCCGGATCGAGATTGATACTGGGAAGCTGCCTCTGCCGCTATAGAAGGCAGCCGGCTCTAGGCGCTGTCTATAGCTCTCAACCTTGAGGGTTCAGAGGGCTTCTTCGTTGCTGCTGCTAATCCAGAGATCTGAGGAACTCTCCAAAAGGTCAGATTCTGTGGCTGTTAGTGCTCTACGAGCGATAACAGCCAGATTAGCAGCGTGTTGTTGCCTAACCCTAGTCCCGTACTAACAGCACGGAAAGAGGGGGAATTTTTACAGGGGAGAGTTGAGAACCAGAGAAAAGACAGCCGCGCTATTTAAACACTGCACGGGGCGGACTACTCACAGGGAATTCTCTAATGATCTTACAATCACTACGAGATGAAACATATAGGGTCCGTATCTCTCTCTGAAAGTCGAGCCAGCTATATTTACGTAACAGACCATTAAATCTACACGACTTTGTGACGAACCTTGACGAGGAAGCCAAGGCACATTACGATCTCGTGATTTTGTTTCACCGTGAGCTTTTGCCAAGAAATACCGTCTCTTGGCAATTTTTATAAATCTTGGTCATCATGCCAAGCTATGTAGCTTCTCACGATGTTTTAGCGTATCGGTCAGCGAGCATGATGCGGATAGATGATATCAGATGCTTATTAGCACTAACATCTATAATGGGGAAAGAATGTTGTAGGACCAACTGGCTTCAGGCACAGCAGTACTATTGTACATAATATGATTCAGATTTATCAAGGAATCCGATATTTAATTCTTCAAACTTGAGGAATCCCAATGCGTCCCTTCCGGAAAATTGATATCAGAGTTCTCCATTACAAATCCGAGTTGCCACCGACCAAGTCCCGGCCAAAAATTCTCATTGCTGTTCCCTTCAGGCTGCTTGATATCAAACCAACCCAGACTGGTTTTTGGCGAGGACTGGCCCGGGTCAACAGCGGACCACTGGTCAGTTCCAGGCAGCTCAGACTGGCTACCATTTCCTTGGGGTAACGGCGGTTGCACTAGCTTTGGATCTTGACCCAGATACTTGAGGATACTAAGAGAGAGGGGAAAGGAAGGGAGGAGTGGGACCTTCTTGAAGGTGGCCTGGAAGAAGGGAACTTCTGAGGGATTCGCCTCGGATGGGTCGTCACCAGTGTCGTGAGGATAGACCTTGACCGAGACCTCGCCGTTCGATTCAGTCGTCCAGTCAAATTTGGCGAGGTGCTTGGGAATATTCCAGTCTACAATAAGCGGTTAATCTTCCAATATTTACCGCATTCGGGGAAGGCGCAGGGACATACTAGTTCTTCCATTCCAGCAGGTGTACTTCTGTGACACGTAAATTCGCGTAATCCGATGGTTGCTTGCCTTCACCGTCGTGCCATTTTCCTCCACCTCATACTCATGCTTCCCAGGACTGATGATGAATTCGTCATAGGGTCCGACCGGCGAATCAGTGTAACGGATAAGTTGGAGCATGCTGATACCCCCAAGGGGGCGGCCATTATCTAGCGACGCATACGGTGATGCGTACTCCAGCGGGGAGTACGCCATCGAAGGCAGCTTGCCATCTGCATCGGTTGACGACCAATACGTCAGAATATAAGCAGTGCCTTTTAGCTTCCAAGGTGCAGGGACATGTTCGATTTCCGCAACAGCAGCCATGATTAGTATCGCACCTGCTAAGACGCGCGAGATGGCCTGTCTACCAAACATTTATGGAGCTCAAACGCAGTGTTCAAATAAATGAGAATTGTGTACGTATGGGTGGGGTAACATCCAAAATGTGATGCGAGACACGCTCATACATAAATGAGTTGTGATGATGGCACAACGACCCCGCGTGTGAAAAGGGGTAAATTGGTGGAATGAATGTTTAATTACATGTGACGATTCAACATACATACGACGTAGCATTCCGACGTTTGCCAAGTACGGTGGCATACCAATATACTACCAACAGACAATAAAGTACTCATTACAATTTGCGCAAACCTCGGTACTTTTCAATGTGACAACGTCACGTGAGACCTGGCAAGCCCTCCGCTCCTCATCCTGGAGAGGAATATTCCCGGCCTTTGAACAAGCGAGAGCTGTATGGGACATAACACTGTTCCCGAAAGTTTATGATCATTTGCCAAAAAAGCTGTAACCGGTAGCCCAAGTTGCCGCGGACAGGCTGAGCTGATTTGACATACAAAATTCAATAGCCAATTGAATGAAGATGAGCTGTGAAAGGATGTCTCCTTAACCTTGTTCTTTGAGGAAGATTCGCCAGTATCCCGACTTATGCTCACGGTGAACTATTTCAATTTGTCAGGTAAGCCATGGCAAACTCAATCCTGAAGTATCGTACCCTAGGTAATTTCTTGGTAAGAGTAGACCAGCACAATATCATCCAACGCGATTCTACTTCTAGAACATAGAGAAATTCCAACCAGAAAAGCCATACGCTCAAAGAGGCTGGTATAGATATATAGTATTTAGAGGATCAACAATGAGGGTACTTATCAAACCAGGAGAAGTCCGTGGTAGACCCTAAGTTTCTCTCCGACTCGGCAGTCAGAACGCGCTTTATGCCGATGGAATAAAACTTCCAAATCATGCAATACAACCTGATACCTAATATGCTGTCATTTGTCAATCAAATGGGAAGCGCCTAATCACTGTACGTCTTGCGTAATGTCGAGACGTGGATAGAGCGAAGGAGCTGAGGAGAGAGAGTGGACAACCTCCACCTTCCACGCTATCCAAAGCGAACTAAGCCCCGAAAACGCATGAATCGTCCCCTGTGGCCCAGCTGGCTAAGGCGTCCGACTGTTACTTACAGCGCAATCGGGAGATCGACAGTTCGATCCTGTCCGGGGGAGGTTTTCACTTTTTGCTGATGTCGCCCTATACCAGAGGGTCTCGGTAACACTACATTCATGGTGCGACCAATGTCTCACAGCATGGCTACAGCTCGTATGATGGTTATTCAGTTGGCTAATAAGAGGCCCGTCTCATCTGATTCATCTCGTCGCACTGTGGCCGCTGCGCCCTGGTAGCACCCGCCGTGCAAGATACGACCCCAAGGATCGACCAGAACGAGCACAGCTTCTGTATACAAGTAATTTCAAGCGGAGTGATCTTTCGGTTGCCAGCATTGATAAATTTCTCTCAAACTGGAGAGACGGCTCTGGCTTTGGTCAACCCAACGTTCTAGCACACCTCGACGACACAGACATAGTAGGCACAGCGGTAGGGCACAGTGAAGAGCCTCTTCTATACCTCCTTGTTTCAGGTTTTAAACTATCGCAACCAAGGATGTTACCAATCTAGTAGACATCACTCAACTGACAAAGGAGAAGGTGTTACGTCAGGTCCGGCAGAGTCTACGCTCTTGTATAAGGAAGAACCTATTCCTGGCCTGTTGGGGTGAGATAAATTGAAATAAGATTGGTTTCTTTAGACCATTTCCTTGCTGAATTGCTGTCATGATTTGGTTCCTTGTTATGTCGGTGCGATCAAGGACGGGCGTATTCCTCGAAGTGACTTCCGAGGATAGTCACACCTCTCCAAGGCCGTAGCCAATGTCCACTTAGTCTACTATAATTAATTCAATGGCAAGGATAAAAACTCAAAAACATAATTGCACAATTCACAACGATATTGTCCCTGATCTGGGTATCTTTTCATGTGGAGTATGGCAGTAGGGACAATTCGAGGCGCAAAGGCGGCAAAGATAGTACGCTTTTGAGCCTCTCAGCCTCACTTTCGGCTTGATCAAGGATACAGAAAAATCTTCCAAAAGACTCGATCACGATAACAAAAGGATCACGGCGCTCTTACATCACGGCGTAAGCATTTACATGCTTAGTCATGGTCAATTGTGCGGTGTAAGCAAGCGCGTTAACAAATTCACTCAGGCTCACGCAAGTCCAAGATCGTAAGCATGCGCCACCCTCCTTTTCATTTCCAGCCATCAAAACTTCACGATGAGAAGAAGTAACCGCTTAGCAAAAGCCAGACTCGTCGCTTCAGTAGAAACACCATGGCTGGTCACGAAACCATCGCCCAAAGCGCTCCAGGTGTTTTCGACGCCCGAGCTATTTGACATGATCCTTCTGGCTGTTGACGATATGCCAACTCTCGTCGCCTCGGTTCCGCTCGTTTGCCAATCTTGGAAGCAGCATATGGACAGTTCTCTGGAGCTCAATCGCGCGCTATTCTTCATACCTGATCGCGAAACCACCATGTCTGATCTAGACGCTGCTTCCCATTTTCGCCTCAATCCATTGTTGTGCGAACACTTTGGGCCGCTGGTTGAGTCGCCCGCTACCTTTGACCTTGATCCTCCGGGATTCCAAAGCCCAATGGACAAATTCGATTACGCTCTTCGAGATGGGGTCAACATTCATCACATTCAGATGATGCGGCTCAGTATTGCCGGCCGCGGTGCAAAGGGACTCAAAGAACGCTTCGCTCACAAAGACGCGAGCTGGCGTCGCATGCTCATCTCACAACCGCCTGTCAGGAAGATTGGATACAGATGCAGTCAAGGTAATCTACCCGAAACGGACGGTGTGGAGCGATTTATTGTGCCAGAAGGTTTGCGGATGGGCCAACTGTGGGATTCGATATACCACAGTTTGTGGACCCCATGTAACGGCAAGCTCGTAAGGCGAAGCGTCCAGATGGCCTACCGGCTCGGCAGTCACGATAACCCCATTTGGTCGAGAACAGGACCTCGGTGGAGGAGGGGGCTTCTAGTGGATGTTGAGTTTGTTTTCAGTGTTAATCAATACCACCTCTCCACGGGAAAGGGGGAGGAGGAGTTGATTAAATGGGATAAGCGGCAGGCGAGCACTGCGCCAACTTATTGTAGTGGAGGCTATGATGAAAACAACATTCTGGCATCGATGGGTGTAGATAGGGTTAGTTTTTTGTACTGGTATGACCGGAGGTGATTCGGGAAGAAGAGCTCTGGGTAAGAACAACAGAATTTTGAAGGCTGGACTAGAATCCGCTTTACTTTGCTATCTTCACAGAATATCCTCATCACGGTTTTCAGGCACCTACACCTCGCAACATCGAACAAAGTTCTCAGCAAGTCGTAACAGGTACAAATCATTGGACAATTAATAGCATCATTTATATTCGTGGTTATAAAGGTTTGTTTTTCGTTGAATGAGGGTAAGAACGAAGAGTTGGATCATGAGGCAGGTTCGTTGGCGTACCTGCTTTACATGATCAACTGTGCAATGTGAGTTGGGGGAGAAGGGATAAGGAAGCTTGCATGGGTGGAAGAGATCTCAGAATGTAGTCTGCCTAGCGAACCAGGCTTGACGGTCTCATCATTGTTCATTTCCAAAGTACCTGTTACGACCAGTTGAAAACCGTGATGTAGAAGAAAGGGAAAAAACAGGAAAGGAATGGAATACCTGTGTGTGCTTGAGAAAATTGACTTGAGGGACTGATAAGATAAGAGGTTGGTCAAGCGATCGTCAAGTGGTGGATTTATATGTATGAACCTGAAGTTAAAAAAAAAAATTGCCTGTATGCAGAAACTGAAATTGTCAATACGAAATGCAAAGGAATATTAGCTTCCTGTGGAAGTAGGAAATTTGTGCTTCAGCGCTCGACTCCGGGGGTTGCTCTGCCAGTTATTGTTGCGAATTATATATGAGCAGCCATGCGACTCCTGAGCATAGAAGGGGTGCACATTGACAAATTGCAGCTTGGGATTCTTCAGGGCAATGTATTTAATACACCTGTTTCCAGCCGCCTTACACGCGGCATGGACAGATAGGGGAAGCTGGTGAGAATGGAGTCGAAGCCAGCGAGCTTGAGCTTGCTGACGGCCATGCCAGTCCTCGTTGATCCACCGTAGCTGAGGGTCGTTAGAAGCTCAGCAGTAGGTGTGCGAGGATGTCAAGGATGTTCAAGTTCAACGGGGTCACGTCGGTGGTCATGAAGCTGATCCCAAGAGTGGCGCCTTGCTGAAAGCTCCACGAGTCGGGAAACCTGAACAGACTCCGGGTATATGGAGTTGTACATCCTGCTCATGCTCCCATGGTCGAATCGAGGTGGTTCATGACCACGACTTGATTGGCGACAGCTCAAATCAATTCTCTTTATTTTTCCTTTTCGTTTTATGAGTCACAAAATAGAAGGTTCATAGCGTGAAGAATGTAACTTTCAGTATCGCGTTAATTAGAACTAGCTACACCTTTAAGGCTGCTGCAGTCTGTTTAGTAGGTAGGTCAAGCGTTGATATGTGCCTCTTCAAACTCTCCACTTCATGTCAACTCGGTAAGAATAAGCCAGGTCATTGGCTACAGGAAGGGAATACACTCATAAGCAGGACTTTCCCATGGGCCTCCCCAGTTATAGCGCCTAATTAACACTTGATTTAAATATAGCAAGAGCTGTCTCTAAATGAACATATTGCGTCTTGAAATAAAAAGAAAAAGATAAAAGCTTAATTATCTTCACCTGATTCATGCTCTACCATAATTTGAGATCTGATTTCAATTAAAACCCGGATGATAAATCTAATCAATCGAAATTCTTAAGGGCACCAGAAAGAGCAGCCCTGATACTGACCTACTGATTAGTGTATTTCCAATGAAACCCTGACTCCAAATATTGCTCTTTCATCATGATATTGTTTCAAGCTACAATTGAGACTACTATTTAGCATCACATAGATTTTTTGTCTAACACTTGAGCCGGGAATCATGATGAGTGACAAGAGGAAACACAAACTGCTTAAAAGTGGCAGGTAACTTCGCTCTCGTTCGAAATGACATCATGCTAGAGCTTTGAAGTAATTAAAACAAGGCAGAGTACAATTGTACAACGGCCCAGACTACAAATATGGTAATCGCTGCTGCCCCTGCTGGGTACGTTAACGAAACAAGTAAACACCGCCGTAGCATTCGGACTTCATCCTAGTTGGCTAACTCTTGCCCGGATGCAACCTCAGGTATCAATAGCGGGTGGTATCAACAATTCCATTATCTGGGGAGGGGATTTCGCATGGGTGGAGCAGAATATCTAATCTCCAACGGTTTTTACACTTGCTCAGTTAGACGTTGAGGCCGTACGTACTACCATCAACTAAACGTTTTTTCATATGCTAGCTGAGGACTGAATGAAGGAGAACGATTATACACCTACAGCTCTCAGCTGAGTAAGTCAATCAGTCGTAGAATTTCTGCAATAAGTCACCCCATTTCGTCTTATCTCTGCGTCGGCTCATCTATTATGAGGGGTTCTACATATACTCACTGCATACACTATCACAAACAACAGAACGTGAAAGATGTTAGATAAAAGTGCAGCTCTTCTAGCTACAATTGAGAACTCGTCTAGAATGAATTGAATCATGACCCAAGCTGTAACCACGGCCAGGTCCAGGAATCTGACTCGGATTTGAGACTTATAGACCATTGGCGAGCGGCACCCAGATTCGTTCCAGCTGTATGTTAAAATAAGTAAGAGTTGTGAGTTCATTCATGGCTTGTATATGATAGAAAGAAGGGAAAGGTTTTCGACAATGTCCCTTAATTTGAATACCTTGATGTGCATTGCTGCTTCGATAATTTCCAAGTTCAAATTCAGATCTGATAACTCTGAGTGGTATAGATGTTCAAGTTGCAACGATCCGGGATGCATAGAATCTGTTTATGTTGTGGGCCGGAGCCCCATTCCATGAATTCTTGGTCTTCCCCACGATGGAAATAATCCCCTCTGAAAGGAAGGAAAATCAAACATCAGTTGATAATTAATAACTCGCTTATCTCCTGAATGAATCCTTGCCTGATGTGGGGCGTAAGTTCAGCACGCATGTGCGTTGGCGAGAACTCATTTCAGGACCCTGTCGCCTAACTTGGTCTCTGATGGCTCAGCCGCATATGCCATAATCTCACCGATTGACCGACGTCTATGTTGACTCTGATCGTTCACACCTGACCCTACAGGTATGATGTGCTTCTGAAGCTGTGGCTCGGCTCTGAAGGACATGGGTGTGGTTCAAGGCATCTGCCATGCCACTCACACCAAGGATCGTGGACAATTTCTGAACAATCGCCACGTTGCATTCTACCGAGGGCCTAGCTACAACTCGGAAAATGACTAGCCGTCTTCCAATTGGAGCTACTGGGGGATGCCAGCATCCCCAGAATGTGACAGTCGACCTGATCTTAAATGGTCTGATATTTTGCTTCTCCACCTCCAGGTACTCCAGGTAGATTTGATCGGTATCCAAGCCCGGGCTTACTCACTGCTTTGTGATCCAAAACCCTGCTCTTTCTTAATGAAAGCAGAGGCATGCCTTCATCGCTGTCTTCGGGCTTCTCTCAATACTTTTCTTTTCCCTGGGTCTGATTGAGCATCGTATCCTCTTTGCCCGCATTCAGCTGGCCCTTCCAGATAAGACTGTCCCAGAGAAGCAGAGCAACTAGCGTCTTACCAAGGCCGTTCTAGGGGCGATCCAGTTCTTGGTTCGCACATCAGTGTAACCCTCTTCCACAACATTAATTGCACGGGTGTCCGTTGACAAAGCGCAGTCTGGTCAACAGTGCGTGGAAACGGGCCGTTCAACGTCTCATTGGCAGCTTCTTTCGAATACCAATTTCACGCATAGAGATGAGCAAGCGTCCACGAACAACAGTCGTGTCCCCTGCCACTTCGTGGGCACAGGGATCTTCGACTCGAATGGGGGCCATCTACGGCCGCGCAACGGAGATATCGAAGCTTCCACCGCTCCGAACAATGTGATATTTAATTAAAATAATTGCTTCAAAAATTACATCGCAGTTACATCCAGCTCACCAGACTCCACCCCGGCGGCATAACGGGCCTCGGTGGACAAGTCCCAGTGTTGCAATTAACAACCACTGGCACTTCGCTCCACCCTTCTCTACGATGTCACATGTTGTCTGGGTATAGGTACGTCGTGTGCCGGTGAACCAACCACGGACAATGGTTCTTAAAGGGGCACGGACGCGCGTAGACCAATCTAGATGGCATGCTGCCTTATGAGCAAGTTGTATCAGCACGACTCTCTCAACACGAAACTGGGCCAGGCGGAGGCTTGCTGCTTCAGGCACCATCATGATGGACCGACTCCACCACACCTTTCCGAGCTCTGGTTTCAGGCTCAATGCGAAGAATAAGCCTCAGTCGCTACATCCCTGCTGGGGGCGTTTTGCCTAGTCCTATTGGGCTGGATAATGGCCTTATTTGGTTATTCAGTCTCTTCCAAATATTTGCTTGCGTATGCCTCCCACCAGCGTGCAACTCCGCCGCATTACAATTTCACAGACCTACCAACTCAAACACGGACCTTTGCTGGTTCGATCCCCCAAAATCCCGGCCCCTTCCTTGTATTGAACGAGCATGCATGAAAATGCTGTCTCCATTGGGTTGATGCAGTGGGGACAGTGGACTCGAGTATATGCAGCTCAGATCTAGTAAACGGCGAGCTCGCCTTTTATTGCTAAGATGGCTGAGCAGGGGATTATCTGCAGACTCTTTCCACGCGGACTAGTGGCTTACTACTTTCCTCCAAACTGTGGACATGATCAGTCAAGCTTTCACATGTCGTATCATTTGCCTGGTCCCCCCAGCTCAGAATGATGCAGCATCTGTCTTAGCGACGTTTGATTGACGTTATTGAAAGCCATATTCTTCTGCATTGATCACACAGCTGATCCCTGGACCTTGTCACACCAACTTGCCTGCGTGGCGGAACGGCGGACACGTTTTCAATCAACGACCGTTGGCTCATGAGCGACGGCACCCTGTTCTCCGAATCCACCTCACCCTCGCAACACACTGACACCATGTTGTTTAAGCGATGGAATCATCCTTGCCTGCAGATCCTGGGGCATTTGATCAATGCTTCCACGTACGGAAATTAGTGTTGGAATTCCTGTTTCCCTCTTATTCTGTGGAGGCAGCCCTATGACCCGTCATTGCTTTTCCCCAATCTCGCACCTGTTCCCTGAGATCGATTTCTCCCACAACTTTATTTTCCGCCTGGAAGGAAAAAGAAAACAAGATGCAAAAGAGCTTACTCCCTGAAGCTTAACGATTTCCCGATACAGATCTACTTTCTTGAAAGGATATACCCCCAACTCGTCCCGGGGAGGGATGGAGAGGAGCATGGCTCCTTCGCCGGAATCCCTCATCTTTCATCGAGCCCCATCGGTCGAAGGGGATGCTCCTCCTGCAGGACCGAATCCCGACACCGTCGAAGCGTTCGTGTATCTCGCGCTAGTTGTGCTTCTTATCGGATTTCGAATATTCTGTCGGACAAGAGCCATTGGGATCAGCTCTTTGGGGCCGGATGACTACCTTATGATCTTCAGTATCTTGCCACTCGTCGCCGAGACAATCGTCCAATATATCACCGGTACGGAATTTCATGGTCTAGCCAACAGCGCCATGACGGATAGCTACCGGCTTGGGATTGAGCCAGGGAGTCAAGAATGGATATGGAGGTAATAGTCGTTTCTGGATTCATTGTTCACTCGTGCGCACGCTCAAGCTAACTGAACTACGCCATCTTCAGAGTTAATGGTACGAAGACAATTTTGGTTGGATGGATAATGTACACCACCCAGATATGGATGATCAAGGCGTCAATGTGCACATTTTACCTGCGCCTTACGGTAAGCGTCTATCCTTTAACATACTGACTGGGTGAATTTTGCTTATCATCGTCCACAGGTCGGCCTTGAAGGATACAGAAATCGAATACTCATCGGACTTGGCATAATCGTTGCGTCTTACATCGCTGCCATATACACAATCTTATTCACCTGCATGCCCTTCCAGAAGCACTGGCAAATCTTCCCGGACCCAGGGAGTACGGATCCTCTACAGCTCATCGACCAATACGTCTGGACTAACGATCGCATTCGTCAGATTTGTGTATGCCTGCTATTAATCGGGTCGTCATTTATACTTGCCTTGCTCTCAATATCTTCAGCGACCTCTACCTCTTCATGATTCCCGTTCCCATGTTCTGGGCGGCAAAGCTCCCGCCAGCCAAGAAATGGGGTCTGACAGTTTTGTTCTCCGGTGGCATCGTTATCATTGTTTTTGGTATTCTGCGATGCGTATCCATCTTGAAGGTTAGCTTCCATCTGCTATCAATGCTTCCTACTATGAGGCGGTTTCTAACATATCTGGCTGTTCTTACCAATTAGGATGATTCCGAGGGACCAAGAGAAGGTACCAATTGGGCTCTGAGAGAATCATTTGTTGCGGTCGCAGTCACCAACTTACCCATGACCTGGGGCTGGCTCAAGGTCAAGCTTCGCCCATTCCTGGGATCTTTCCTGTCGACACCTCGAACCAAAGCAACCGGCTACGGAAGGACTGGCAATGGGGGCGGGAGTGTGAAGCTGGATGACATGTCAGCCTCTGGGAGGTGGCGGGACCAACAGAAGCAAAAAAACAAGTCACTCTCCTCGAGCCAGCAAAACATGACCCCCGGAGGACTCACATTCCTATGTGAGACGGACAGCAATGAAGAGGACAGTATAAGGCCGATGAATCATGGGTCCCATGGCATTGTGATGCAGGTTGAGCTGAAAGTGTCGTCAGAAAGGAGGTCGCAGCTTGAAGACGGTATCAAGGTGAGCGAGACACCGCCAGTGCCTGACAGTTTTTCGCCTCCCGACGAGCCTGATGTTATGAAATTAAAATGAAGGGCGTTTATTAGACAGGAAAATGGATTTGATATCATCACGGGAAATTATAGAGAGGGTTCAGCAATGACTCTTGTGGTACTAGATAAGTAGGGAGCTACTTCATCGTTGACCGCAAGAAATTTATCATTATTATCACAATGCAGAGACCAGATATTCTCACCATTTCTCGCATTACACATGGCAATGACGTTTCCAACCACCTTGTGATTCAAATATCTTCCCTACCTCCTTTGCAACCGCCAGTAGATGCCGGTCATGATATCTTCCTGCCACCAACGAAAGCCCAACTGGCATGTCATTCTCTCCCTTGAAGCCAGGGACATTGATAACCGGCGTGTGGAGGGCCTATAAATCAAGATTAGCCAAATAACACCATCAAAGGTAGAGGGTATGTGAATATGTTGTGGGGAAGGGAAACATGCCGTCCAGATGACATTAAAGGCCGCACTCCCCGTAAACTTTTGCCCCAAAGGTGCTTCATCGATGACACTAGGGGTGATTATAGCGGTGTATTTTTCAGCAATCTTGTCAAACTTCGGGCGAAGAGCTGCGACTCTGTCGAAAGCCTCCAGCTGTTCCGCCCTGGAAATCTTTGTGCTATTCTCAACATGGTTGGTGATGAACGGCTGCAGTTGCTCTTTTGAAATCCGGTATTCTGGGAGAAATGCTGACCGGGCTTCAGTATCCATAATGATGTGGTGCCATCGAGGCATCTCATCGAACTCGGGCAGAAGGTCGACCGCTTCTACCTCAGCCCCGTGTTCTCGGAGCAGTCTTGCCGCGATATCCATAGCGGCGAGTGTCCCTGGGCCAGCCTCCGGCCACACCACTGTCCTCACAATTGCAAATTTTGCTCGCTGGATAGGAATGGTAGCTTCTGTTTCTCTTGGAGCATCGTCTTCTAAGGCAAAGACCTTGGCAAGAAGCTCAAGATCATCAGCTGAGCGAGCGAAAAAGCCTATTGTGTCCAGTGTTAACGAGTATGTTTTGTGACCTTCTCGAGTTATGGCGTTCCACGTAGGCTTCATGGCGTAAATTCCATTGAATGACCCTGGCCGGACTGTGCTGCCACCCGTCTGAGTGCCTAAGCCAATTGCGACTTGAAAATCCGCCACGGCGGCCGCAGAACCTGAAGACGAGCCTCCCGGTGTTCTGGATAAATCATTTGGGTTACAAGTTGGTGGTCCATCTTTTGGTGAGGCAAACTGTGTCGTTGTTGACTTTCCTGTTGCATCAATCAGTCATCTCAGATACGAAAAGATCCTCATCTGGCCGTACCAATGAGAAGCGCGCCGGCTCTCTTAAGGATAGTGACTGAGCCAGCATCTATCTCCGGAGCATCACCTTGATAGATAGGGGAGTTATGTTGTGTTGGCATGCCTATCCCTGTCGAATCAGTTCGAGCTCAAATCAATATCCCAGAATCTTGAAAGAACTGACGTTTTGTATGCATAATGTCCTTGACTGCCACCGAGACACCGTGGAGGGGCCCTCGCTTCTCGGGAGGGATTTGATCCAGGGCTCTAGCCTGCTCTATGACATACTCGGGATCCAAGTGCGCCCATGCTTTGACAGCGGAGTCTCGCTGGTCTATGCGTGCAAGCAGCGATCTTGCGTAGGCTTCCACGGTCAAGGAGCCATCCTTGAATTTCTCCAGACACTCGGTCGCTGTGAGCAGGTATGGTTCCATCGTAACGGGAGGTAGATACAGCGTGCCAATCTTGCTTGTTTGTGATGTACGTAGCTAGAGATCTCTATCCCATCGGCCACTCGAGAACTTCCAAAGAGTATATTTTCGGTCATATGAGAGATAATTCAGTTTGGGCTAACCATCCCCCACCGTCCGACCTCGGCCTTGTTCACAAGGTGTGGGGAAAATGCCGAGTCACGTTCAAGATGATCAATCACATCATCTCTTCTTTAATGGTTGAGACATCAACACTTGAGACATGGGTCTTGATTGTAAAAAGAATTGCTTCGGTCTATTTCTATTAGCAGGCTAAGCCTTCGGTCTTCTACTGACTCAACACAGACAGGGGCGCTCATCAATTTTTTAGCTATTTAACCACTTCGACCGACGTCGTCACTTTGGTCACTGCCCTTATACTGATTCCCTGGTCAGGTCCGTCAAAATAGCTGTCGTTGAAGGGGTGGAAGGAAGGTGGATGTCTGGAGACCTTGGTCATAACCCTTCCAAACGATCGGTCGCCCAGGTCCAACCCCAGACTTTCCCAAGTCAGGCGTCTGCCTGCAGTGAGAATTGATCTCTTTTTGTCTGATCGCCTGGTCAAGTTCCTCCTTGGCATATGAGAAGCAGAGTTGACTGCCAGCGAGGGAATCCAGTGCCTCAAAAGAACACCAATGGAGGGAAGGCAAGCTACCATGACAACGACAGATACCTCGAGACCGGTCCAAATAATTGCATCGACGTAGTCCCAGGTAGGGTTTCGTGATCGGCCGAAGTTGATGAGATACAGCAGGCGGATGACGGAAGTGGCTGTGATGAATACGCCGAAGCTGAACATGCAAAGGATCCCCCATTTATCATTGATATGCATCCGCAGCTTCAACACCATAGGTATAGGTAAGAGGAGAATAATCAGGTCTTGGAAGATACTGAAGCCAGCAGCGATATAGGTGATCAGCTGCTTATCGACGCATACGTCCCGAGCCCCCGTCGTACCGACCCAGCCATCCCATGCAAGATGAACGGGATTGCATTGAAACAAATGAAGAAACACGAGTCCCGCCGTGGGTAGTGCTACAAAGGCCATGGACACAAATACAGCGTATCGGAACAGCTGGTTTGGGAAGTTTCGAAGATAGACCCAGAGAACGGAGATCTTGCTGAGGCCCAGGGATAGAAGATATATGCTCTCTCCAGCGTAAAACAGCTATTCAAAGAATTCAGTATGATATATCTCGCCGACATGTCAGGTTTAGTGCTCACCTTGAATGCTTGTATGGTCTGGTCTTCGTCCAGGGTCCAGATGTCAACCCCGTACCACATTTGCCCAACTAGAGATTTTTTGTAAGTTATTTGTCACCGTTTGGACGTTTTGCCAACAAATTAAACATACCATACTGGTCCATAGCAACGAAGGCAGTGAAAATGAACTGCATTGCTGTCAGTTGACGGCTTAACAACAATTCCGCTCCAAGGAAGACATACGCCAACCACAAAGACGACCCAGTCATCTGGCTTCCATCGACCCATTGTTCGCCAGTTCGAGTACAATCGAGCCCAAATACATAGCCATGCCGGGATCTGAAGAACCAAGGGAATAAGAAGCTCGTGTTTGCGGGATCGTGGTGGTATATTGCACAGAGAGGTTCCGAATTTTTGTATTGCTGAATAGCTCCCAATGTCAGTCATGATCGATCGCCGTATGAAAACCACTTTTCTCTCCGTATATAGGACCCGGGGCCTTACCAATGGTGTCCTTCATCCCGCAATTCTCCCTAACGCATTGCTGTGCTAACCTATGGAACTCGCTGTCCTTGCAGAGGCAAGCAGTGTCCAAGACATTACATGTGGTGTTGCCGGGAACGGTTGAGAAGCATGGAATCTAATATACTATTAGTCTTCTTGATACCAGGTTGACGGCTGGTTTTTCCATACTCCGCATTGTGGGATTTCGTCTAATCGAGAGAGCAGGTTGTTTTCGCCACGAACACTCAAAGCAAGGACAAAGAAAAGTGTGATGGTAGTTGAGAGTGAGACAAGGCGAGTCATTTTCGACTTGGTGGCTCTCGGGTCTAAAATAAGTATTATAACGATTGTAGTGCCGTGACTTATTCGGCGCGTATCGGTAGAGGCAGGGCAGATGGCGGCTGCCAGGGGAATCAGTCGTGCATCAAAAGAATTAAGCCAAACAATACATTAAAGGCCGAATCCAGCGGCAACGAAAACAAGGAAACTTGAGTATCGAGAAACGACTCGCTCGGGTATTACGGGAGAACGGAAAGACCAGACGCGCATAGCGTGAGCAGCACCATTTGATTATATACAGACCACACCTTTCGGGCTCAACCAGAAGTCCATGTTTGGCTGCCGGGGGAGACTTGGGCATGTTTAGGGCGTCTCATTTGGCTCGATCGAGACAAGACGTCCGTGTTCAGGCCCCACCAGAAGGGTAAAAGCTCCTTGTCGAGGCATGGCTTAGTCTGGCACCACCTTGATGGGGTTGCACGAGCTGCCATGGGGAACCAGGCACATTACCGTTTTCTCCGAACAAAAGGTGTTTCCGGATGGCCGTCGGATCCATCACCAACTCGATTCAAGCTTCTACCCGGGATATCGCTGTCAAGATGGTACAGAAATATCCTAAAGGGGGGAGAATTCCACCCACACGCAGATCAAGCTGAGAGCCGACCCCGAAACAAGCTAGGCGTTGGACTCAAGCAAGAGATTCGAGAACACCCACCGCTTTGTTGGATTGGATGTAGATTAGTCTGTGACCTTGAACGCCAGATTATTGGGTCGATAGCTGCTGCAGTCGGTGGACTCGTGTGAAACTACCGGCAGCCTCATGAAAGGGGTCAAGATTGATCTACGCGTTCATGCTTGTTCACTGGGGTTGGGCGGAAGCTCGCGCCCTGCCTGCATCGCGCCAATCACCACGGTACAGGGGAGGCTGCAGACTGAGCCCTGCCGCTGGCGCATGTCATTCTCCTATTCTCCTCTATTTACACACTTTTCCTTGATCACTACTAGAAGAGCACTAAAAGCTTTCCGATAATCCACAAGAAAATTATGGAAAAGAACTCATCGTCACGATTTCCGTGGGGTCGGCCATGATAAAAGGGGGCGCTCACTTTGACACGCCGGACCATGCCCGATTCACCAAACCGCGTTATGCGTTCCATACCACGCCATGTCGCATGAAAAAGGACAGGCCCGGGTTCAATCCTCTATCCTCGTATCTGGAGGCTCTGTTCTCCCCCTCTGTGCTATCTGTCTGGGGGATGGTCCAGGCAGTGAATCACTAGCATCCCACCCCAGCACAGCGCAAGATTCACTGGCCAGCGTCCTCCTTCCCGAGCCAGCCCAAGGTGAGACAGTAGTCACACGTGCTAATCCACGCCGTCTCTAGCGGGAACTGCTGCCGTTCTGGTTGCAGCGCTAAGAGCCCGGATTGCCCGGACAGTCAAGGGACTCCTCGCGGCTGGAGAGTATAATGAGCATGATTATTATCATGGCGTCTACCTCGGTCTAATGGAATATTATCTCGGCATTAAGGCTCTGCTTTCACCACCTGATTTGATGGTTTTGTGACCTTGCTTGAGTAATGAGCCAGTGTGATGAGCCTCCAGGCCACATTTCCTACCCTGCACTTCATGTTTGTTTTCAAGAGAATCATGAAGAAATTATGCATGTTAGTCGAGGGAAGTCGGTAAACTATTATCCAATTTTCTCATCTGCACTTCATTTGAAGGGTGGTGAGGAGACTTTAATTGATAAAAGGACCCAGACATCGCTATCTTCTAAAGATGTCGGACCCTGTCACCAGTGTCAGTGCAGTGTCACAATCAAGTTTCAACAATATTGCAAACGCCCTGTAAACAAGTTTCGGCACTTCTTTTGAATAGAAGGGCCGAGAAAGAGGAAGATGAAAACGATGATTCTTGAACATCTTCCAGCCAGTATCAACCCTTGGCTATCTTGGCCCAACATTAAGAATTGGTGCATGGGGGACAAATTATAAAAATTAGGCGAAACGGGATTTAAACCTTCAGGTTGTGGATAAATTCTCCCAGCACGCGCATCTTTTCCAGAGCACTCTCCTCAAAGCCCAACGTATTCCCGAGCAAGAAAGTGTCATGCAGAGCGGCCTCCTCTTTGTGAAAATCAATCTGGTTGCCTTCGACTCTCTGCATCTCCTTCACCCACGTCTCAATGTCCCCGAGGAATATCTCCGCCGTGCCTACGTTGACGAACAGAGGCACTCCGGTTTCGAACGCATGGCCCAGTGGTGTGATGTAAGGATGCGAGGCAGGATCCTCCAAGTCGGCGCTGTACGATAAAGCTCCCCAACGCAAGAACGAAGGGGCAAGATAGTCTGAGTGCGCCCTCGGGCTCTGATGAACATTGTAGCTCAATGGAGCGACCCAAGGCGAGAAGAGTGCGGCGCATCTAGGAGCGGCAATGCCCAGATCGCCGCCGAACTCTTGGATGTATCGCAGGAGGGCAATGACAAGATTGCCACCAGCGCTGTCGCCGCAGAGAACGATCTGGCTCGGGGGAACGCCTCTCTCGCGGAGGAGGTACAAGTACGCCGCGAGCGCGTCCTGCAATGCCGCAGGGAAAGGGTCGCGTCCGGCATAACCAGAGAGTCGATATTGGAGGGACAATACCGCGTCTGCCTTGGCAGTCGTCACCAGATTCCTGCCCGCGAACCCCGCAAACTCCTCTCTCCCATCGCCCATGACGAAGGCGCCGCCATGGATGTAGAGCACAATTATCTTGGAACCGGGATCCTTACTTGGGGCCTCGGGGAACCAAGTCGCGCCCACCTTGCCGGGGCTGGCTCTCGTCGTCGAAAGTGGCCCTTTGTAAACGTCCGCGCCGGGAGGCTCAATGACCTGGAAGCGTGCGCCTTCTTTGTTCGGCTTGAGCGAAATGGACTCTGTAATTCCGATGCGGGAGGTCATGTCGACGAGAGCATACATCAGCCGGCACATCAGGGTCTGCTTCACAGTCCATTTTCGGTGTGGTCGCAGCGCCGGCACCACCGCTTGAAGCAGCCAGAGTGGGAGACGGGCCAGAATGGTGCTGCCATGGAAAAGCTGGAAGAAAAGCTTCAGGGGCTGGTAGGAAGCGATCGGATGTCCTGGAGGGCCGGCCATGTTGACTTGGGTCGATCAATCTGGGGAGACAGAGCCGTAAGTATGCAGAGGTCGGGGGACAGTTTAATTTAATAGATGGAGATGACCCATGCCAGCATCAGCATCTAGCGAATGCAGCATGTATCCTCTCCCTGATGCTCGGTGGACCTATCAAGAGTCGCGAGATGTTTCATCGCGCCACAAGCCAGATGCATTTTCCCCGCTTGGGACACTTTTGCCTCGGTACGTGAGATGGACCCAGCATGTCGTGGCTCAATTCGACGGCTGGTGTGGACTAAGATCAATGAAATTGATGTCGTTAAAAATTGTCGAATTAGGGAACAATATAGCGACCGGTTTATCAACCACCGGGAGGTATTGGAGATAATTATGCGATCAAGGTATGACATGCAGTTCTTGGAGGAAGAGTAAGAGGTGGGGAATGGGCAAATTGAAAATCTATTATCGAGATGGTCCGTTTTGGTGTACAATAACAAATGATACTGCCTGATTAGCATTGCGGAAAACGGTTTTTCCTGGCCTCGTTCGCACCCGAAGGTCCATCAATTCAGCGAAAACTGTTGGCCATCTGCAATCATCATCCTTCTGGGCACTTTTGCTATCAGCTCGCTGCGGAACAGGATCGTCATGTTTGGCATCATCATATGGATGGCCTTTTGAGTAGGATGGGGGGATTTCTGAGCCTCCAACAGCCCTAAATCTGTTGAAGATTGCCGCATGACGCGCTCCATACATAAGTACATCTCTTTCGAAGAGGGACTCGGGTTATTCCTACAAATTCACCACTGATTAATCGCGATGGATCTGAGCCCTGGGCATAATGGAGTACTTGGGTGGGTAATGCTGCTGTAACCCTCTGTAGCTGTCTGTTGGCAGTGCTCTGGTGAGCCAACATGAGTAATAAAAAGGGTCTCTGCAGTTGTTTCTAATATTCGTTGGTCGACTGAGGCCAACGAGGTGTCATGCATGGGAACACTGCCCAACTGCGTACACTGATTCTTGCTTCCTGTGGCTACTCGATGACGATCACCGGCCGTCGAAAGCATTCGATTCTCTCGGCAATGATAATCGAGTTTTCTATTATGGGGGGGCAAGACCCAGAATAGTTCATCCCATCCTACAAGGGTAAGTGATCGATCGATGCGGCCTCAAAATGGTCGTAAGCGCCCAGGCTTTACTCAGGTAGGCAGACTACGATGGCTGTGCCGCCTGTCAGCCCACCCATTCCCACGTTGAGAGCGTGTGTAGGTGTGTTGGTCGATCGAGTGCAGACCGGATGGGGGGGGGTTGACACAATATTACTACCTCCAAGCTGAGCGATACTACTCCACCCAAGTCGCAGTTGATTTGCCCGGTTAGCGCCCAAGCCTCTGCGTCCCTGTTCGTCCCATCCAGCGAGGAGTTACTTGATGCCTGGCAGCGTTAGTTGCATGTTGGTGAGCGGGGACCAACACCATGGACGGTAAACAGTACATGTCTCTGCCTGGTTTGTTCTGCCGCAAACAATGATGGGATAACGCCTAGGAACAAAGCAGAAATATGCAAGTGGAAGACAATTACAGAGAATTTATCTTCATTGTGCTACAGAGAACAACAGTCATGTGTCTGATTGATTGTATCTTCGCTTTGTCTCTCAAAACAATGTACATACACCGAGGGCCAACAGTGCCTGGGTCAGTCTGTACCTGTCCCTGTCTATTTTTATCCCAGCACTACCCTCTTGGCGACCTACTCTGGTATGCTGGCTGAGTCCATTTAGGATTTAGTATGCAGAAGCACAAGGCGCCCGCTTGCGACATGGGGGCCAACGCTGCTGGTGCCAACATAGAAGTGCACAATTAAAAGCCAAGGGCATGCTGGAAGTTCCTCTTCGTCCAGAAACTCACCAACTTTAATTACTTACCTATTGTGGCGACTATGTGACCGCTATGTCGCCAAATCACATTGCGGAAGCTGTCGCGATGTGCGAGGAGCCCTGCGGTAGGCATTTCCCCCCGGGCCGCAACCTGTGCCTTTCTTATTCTAACTTTTCCCAGAATCGGCAGCATTGTCGGCCTGTCGCACTGGCCTGGTCGAGGGTCTGTGCCATCCAGATTCCGAATTCGTCAAGGCATTCAGGCCCTGCGCGGCATGCCTGCAGCAGACCCCCCAGCTTCCTGTCATGATAGAACCGTCAGGGCTCTCTCCATTTCTATCATTCTGCGGCATCAAGATCAATCATCTCAAAATACGGACGCCCCCCGATGATAGTAGTGTCGCATCATGGTACTATAAGGTCCAGATTGCGTCAACATCTTCCGACCAGCCAACAACATCCTCCAATCCATATATGTCTGCACCAACTGTTTCGTCCACAGATTCGGATGCGAATGCCGCCAAATGTGAGTACCCTTCTCTACCTAACCCTTAGAGCCGTACTCCACTCTATACAGCAGATTATTCTAATGCTTGAGAAGTACGTTGGATCGCCGGCCCCATCGTAGGCGCCGTTGTCTTGTTATTTCTATTGATACTCCTCTGGTTCTTTCTACGATCAAGGCGCCATCAACAACAAAGAAAGAACCAAATCCCTCGGGTACCCGTCCGGTATGACAGACCGAAGCCGCGGCGAGAAAAACAGCGGCCGCCACAACTCCAGCTGCATACCCAAATACCGAAGCCACAGAACAGCACGCCTCGATCACAGAGCAGTAAAACAATGACTCCGATGGAGAAGCCGCTGCCGCAAAGCAATAAGTCACCGCCATTATACTACAAGTCGCCATCACGGAGCAACAGATCGCAGCCGCGAAGCGACGTATCCCAGTCACCATCCGAGGCGGCGTCCATCGCACGAAGTCAATCAAAAGGGCGAGGAGGAGGGCCAGCCATTTGGTTTCACATACATGAGCTTCCAGGATCCCCTTCAAGGTGGTCTTGGTACAAACAACACGACAAAACAGCCGAAACCTCACCATCTCGATGGTCTTGGTATAGAACCTCGGAGAGACCTATAGCGGACTCTCCCACACAATGGTCTTTGTACCGACAGCAAGAGAGTCCACGCGAGAAGGGTGTGGTATCCACGATAGAGCCGATTTATGAATTAGACGACCATGCATTTGAGGTTAGGGGGGTTACATCTGAACAGAAGAGGGCGCCAAGGGCAATGATTTATGAGGAGTTGCCTGATTCTAGGCTTGGGCAGGTTTCAAATACTGGGCAGGATTTCTTTATATAGATGGGTGGGCTGTTGCACAATTGAATTCGGCGAAATAGAGTGAAGGCGTTTTGGAGTCAGGGAACAGGAGCATAGCAAGTTTAATCAGAGAATGATATTTGATTGAGTCATGAACTATGATGGCCAGCACCATTTCACGGCTCGTGGCAGAATTTGTTTTGCGCTAAGCGCTGGTGAGAGTTGCAACCGTTAGTTGAGGATGCTACAAAAGATGAATCAAAGATATCTTTGGTTTCCATTTCCCGAGCCAAGATTCCAGTTGAAAGCCAAATGTTCCATTCTATACTTGAAACTCGTGGAACCACAGTGTATCTAACATCCGATTTTAAGAAGAGATAATCATTTGCTACCGCCACTGGGTCCGATGGGTTTCTCGATGGTTGTCGTATCGTATGATCCCCTTCCGATCGCCATTGTCACGGGCTTTGTTTGCGTTAGAGTAAGCGAAGTTGTGATGTTGGAATTTGTCTGAGCGTTGTGCAGTGGGATACGTCTCGCTTGATTTCTCCTCTTACGGCTTAGAGGTCTTGGACACGAAAAATATTCCGGAAATTTTATGCCTTAAATACTCACAAAAAGAATCCGCATGCACTGTTCCGTCAGTTGTCGATGTTCAAGCGAACAGCATGCTTTGACAAATCATGTCCCCGGTCTTCATAGGTTGGCGGTTCTTTCTTTTGTGAATTTTGTGAAACAGAGTTCCTTTAAATAATAATTGCAAGTTATGCTTTGTCACATTATGCATGTATGAATGTTTACGTTTGGGAAGAGTGTAAAAGACATCCATTAAGTACCTATTTGGAACATGATCAGCAAGCCATTTACGATATTCAATTGGTATCGCCCCAATATCAGTTATGGGGACATCCTTGTAATTTCTATACTGTGTTCTAGCTGCTCATAGCGAATCTTAGAAGTTTCAAATCCGTGAAGCGAAATCTTGTTAGGAACCAACCCGAGTTGTTTGAATCTAGGTGTGAAACTCTTAGACTGACAGAACTTGTTAAAGTATGAGGGCACAGCTGTGCGCGTACTACCTCTAATAAAATTACAGTGCCAGAATGAGTTCTTATCCTGAACTCCCTCTTCACGAGAAGAAGATGATTCTTGGAGTGTTTATGAAGCGATCCATAACAGCACAGCCACCTTGTGACAGGAGAGGCTCACATCTTCAATTCCATCGAGTACATTGGATATCAGAATTAGTTCAAGAACTTCTATCTTTTTTTCTCGGTAATATCATACCCTCCACACTTCAACTTGAAAGAGACGTTTTGACCTTGAAAACCCCGTTTCCTTTGAAACCCAGTCATATGGTATGAAGCCTGTCAGTCACTGGCATTGAATTTATGAAATTTGCATCAGCTCGGATTCTACAATCATTCAGGTTGCAGTCCAAGAAAGAGAATGCGAAGATCGCAGCATCACAAGCTGGCAGGGGAAAGCTGTAACCAGGCAAGGTTCCATCCGGGCATCTACTTTTGGAAACAGCCAGCCAGGGTTTTCAAACGCCGAACTGAACAGGGACCCATTGCGTTCCCCTCTTCCACCGTCGCATTTTCGTGGTACCACTGCAAACCACAGTAAGCATCATGGCCTTTCTGTCAGTTCAGCCCCTTTCCTCACAACTGATAGGGATCGACTTTACGACCAGTTCTCCCACTGTCGCAATGAGCAGCTCAGCCAAGGGTGCGCCCTCCACGTCCGCGCCGTCTTCACTACCTCCATCGATCTCATCCTGGGAGCAAGGCTCATCAGTGACAAGTTCAGCGACACAAAACGAGGCTTCGACCACCACCAATGCTTCCGCAACGAGCGCGTCTTCCTCAAATGAGGGCCAGAAGCAGAGCAGTACGTTCTCACACATGGTTCAAACGGCGCCAACGAGCATCGCACATGATTTGTTCGCAGCTGACCGCTTTTTCCGATCTTTGAAGAAGTCTAGATCGTAGGACCAGTGGTCGGCCCCATCGTACTGATACTTTTCCTCGTCGCCATCTGGTTCTGGGGCTTCCGACGACGTCGCCTCCGAGCGAAGGAAAAGCCCATCGACCCAGAGCCGCAGCAGAAGTTCGAGAAGCCGGAGCTCCATGCTGACTGGATACCGAGACCTATATCGCCGAACCCGAGGGAAATGAGTGGCTGGACGCCTGGACACCCGTTGTTTGCAGAGAAACCAGCCAACGAGGCCCCGGCGCAAGAATTGCCAACTGATGAAACGACATCGAGCAAAAATAGGCAGGCGAATCGCGATCCGAAGGCACAAGACGGCATAAAAACGAGTGCTGCGGTAGAACTTGGAGGCGAAGGCAAGTGAGGCCGAAAGGTCTCGCGTCTCAAACTGGGTTCCAGAAATGTCGAGGTCTCCGGGACTTTCTGAACCAGTGATGCAGTGGCGCGCTTTGACTTGGAAGGAATTCCGTATATGATAGCTTGATCTTCAACGTCATGAAACGGCCATCTCATAGAGTGTGCGTAACAGCCACCGATTCCGCCCATCGTGGGAGTCTGGGTCAATCGCCAATCGACTGCGTATTCCTCCTTCATTAAACGAGGAAAACTTATGTCAAAGGAAGATACCAGTGGCTCTCGTAAGAAGGGGTTCTCAAATTACGGAAGTAGGGAGAAAAGTCTCACCGATTCTAGATCGTCAGACATGTTTTACTCTGCCCATACAGCTGGCTCATGAACATGAAGAGACGAAGGGGATTTGTCAAGAATGCAATCCGATATGTGATGAGCAATTAAATCAGCAGTCATGGGAAGATTCAGTCCCTGCGCCCAGTAGTGCAGCTGCTCGCCAGCCAGCTGAGAAATTCATGGTGAACGAATTTCATCGGAGCCCGAGCACTTTACTTCCCATGGGTAGAGGGAACCCTTCACTACCCAGGAACGACTAAAAGAGGATATGTGCAAGAAATTGATCATTCATTACTAGTTTGACATTATAACGCTATGCTTTCATTGGCCATGACAATTCGGGGCGGAATTTTTCCAGTTCCCATGAGATCAGTTTGAGCTTCTCCTCCGCCTCTGTGAGCAATTTCTGCGCTAGCCTCTGGTACTCTTTTGCTTCCTCTTCGTCGATGCCCTCAATCCCATCAATATCGTCATATCCTTCGTCCGGTTCACGCATGCCACCTCGGCTGCTGGTTCGAGACTCTGCTCTCTCATCAAGCTCCTGGCTATCATTCTGGAACTGAATCTCCCACTCGTGGATCTCTTGTAACCGCCTCGCTGTTTCCCTCCATGGACTCATCGATGCGCTATCGTTGACGTTCGTTATCGGGCGGGGCCCTAGCCCAGAATTGGGGGCGATCGATGTAGCAAGAGTGAGCGGCATTTTTTGAATGCGGTCGGGATTTGAAGAGAAATAGCACCCAGAAAATATGGGTGTTTGAGGGAGTTCAGATCAAGCTGGAGGCCCTGCTCTACAGCTGAATGGTGGAATTTTGCTGGCAAATGACTTGTGATTTCGGGTTCGTATCGTGACAGTTGGTCAGGAGTAACTCGGGGGCTTTTTAGCTGCCGGTAGAATGTTGAGAATGGCGATGTTGTGTCATGTAAGAAACAGGAGGCCCAAAGTCGTGAATAGAGGATCGGTTTAGCAGCTTCAATATGTCGGTGAAAACGAGAGCAAGGCTGGATTTAAACCGGAAGGTCCAAAGGGGGGTCTGGGGACGCGCTTTAGTAAAGTGATATTCACGGGATTGTCTCACTAATGCACTGTAATGCAGTCAGGCACGGCTTAGCGAATCGTGTCTCGGTATTTGATGGTGCATTGACCGGGTAGATGGAGCTAAATGGTTGAGCTAGCCGGCAAAGGCAGGTGTGTGTTTCAGCCGGAAACCTGGCATGTCTCCATTTAGCAGAGAGAGAGGTCAGGTTTCAAGTTGTGAGCAATGCCGCCCTATTCCGGCGAGCTTGTGCTCTTTCAACTTGAGCTACGACGTAATGCTATCCGTTGTGTAACAATAGTGTAAGCGGCGTAATTTCATGCGTTAATGGGTGCAAGTAAAAACTTGAGGCTAAACTGATCCAGCTTGCTTTTTCCCAACTATCGATGTCTCACCCTCCGTTCTCCTACCCTCATATGTCTTGGATGGGTAGCTAGCTTATGCTCCCACCAATGCAAGATCGATAACTCAAGTAAAATCATGCCATTGAGCATAAATAATACTCCTTTTCAGTTGCGCAGTCCCTGTCAAGACAATGTAGTAGCGCGAGGTGCGACATGGAGGTATTCAAAATCGACAGCAGTATTCACTCAGAGTTTGCGTTGGGCGAAATATTAGTCTGCAATGGGAAGCTTACTAGGACATATTTGTCTCTCTACTCCGAAAATTAAAAGCTTAGTCCTCCCAATTGTCCGTGATGCGGCTTGAACCTTCGGTGAGCTGGCACAATCCAATCCTTCTGCGGAGGTGATACTTTCAAATAAGCAGGAAAGTCCAGGGATGAGACCCCTACATATGTCTCGCTGTGCGTCCCTTTCGTAGATTTGGCTCACAATTTTCGCTCCCTAGATAGATCGGAGCATAAGTATACGACACAGCGATCATCGCAGGTAATGTAATGGAATGTAGGGCAGAATATATAGTCTCAGCGAGCTTCAGGGTGGGAAGGGATCAGTACTTATTGCGACTTTATTGAAGGCCAAACTAGTGCTCAATAGATATTGAATAACTAGAGAACCATGAAATGTTCTTCATAAATTGGAAATTTTGTCTCTGCCCTAATGCAACTTATATGTTCCCACCATCTATCGTGTCATCCATGCTAAGATTGTTCTCTGCTTTAGATTATTCAGATTTCCATGCTTTTCCTCTACTCATTTTCCAAAATCATTCCAATTCACAACAAATGTCGCAACGAGCGAGCAGCTATAAAATCTAAGCGATAGCGTCGTGTGCTCCGGCGCGTCTTGTAACCAGATTTGGCGTCAGGACAGGGGCAATCGACCCATACATGATTGAATTCAATCATCCCAGCCAATTAATTGATGAGACGTCTGGCGAAACGACATTGAGCGGTTATCAGCCTTCTCCTGTGCCAAAGGAAAGGTGTACAGAAAAAGAAGTTAGAATATGGCGGTCGGTGAAGCGAGCAGATTAAAAGGCTTCAGAAATAGACCTGATATATTATTTTTATATCTAAAACCACAGTGTCTATTTTACAAGCATGAAAACTTCAAAGAACTTTAATAGAACGCAGCTGGTCACAGCTTAGGAGCACCTTCAATACTACGAATGTGAGTGAAGAGAGTAAAAAAGCCGCGTCAAGCCAAACGGCTAGGAGGTAACTTTTTGGGGCCACCTACGACATGGCCGCCTTAACATACAACAGGTGCTGCATATATGTACAACATCTAAGTCAGTACGCATAGGAGACCAGGGACGGCAATGTGTGGTTATCGAGGCATTGTCCTTGATCTGCCAATAAACAACGTGACCAGACAAATGACTAGACAAGTGGATAACTACCCAGTGCCATCTCCTGCGTTGCTAAAACGACATACTGATGGGAGAATGCGGGTTGTTCCGTCGGCCTTTACGTACCTCTCAATAGAATTGTTACAGAAACACGATTTCAATCCGGTGCACAATATTACTGTCAGTTCTAGACAGTCTTTCCCTAAGCTAATGTAGCTTTCAACTGTAAGAAAGCCATTGAACATTCACTCTTTTCGGATACTTGTCCTCGAATACAATGCGATCTTCCCATCGTTCATTAAACTGCCTCTAGTATCAAATGTGCCGTCCTGTAGGTTTCACTCGCAACTGACCTGATGTAATGTAGCATGTCTCGGATGAATTTGGGAGATTGGATGATAGATGAAAATTTTTGACGACATCGTCAGATACCAGTATCCAAATATCCCAACACGGAAAGGTTCACGTCCTGCCTCGCTGGTCGTTCAATTAAGATCATTTAACGCATAACAAAGTTGTGGGCACCTCATCGGATGGCAACGGCTAGTTATTCACTCAAATTTGATCAGACCTGAATAGCGTAGCTGGCCGAACCACATCGTATTAATTATTGCTCCGCACCTGCAAGCTCCCCTGCTAGTAGACACGAGACGAGACGCTCCGCATCTATATCAACTTTGTTCACTACTCTTAAGCGTCCCCGAGGGAGAAAGGCTTCCCAAGAGGCCGCTTCGTGGCAACCTTAGTCTAAATGGGAATAATGCAATCACAATCAAATACAAGACAAGGAATTGGGCAGTGTGGAAACGTCAGCAGGTGGTGTCAGCGCGTTCATCACCGTAAGAGGCAATGGCCGAGTCAGCATGGAGCCCTGAACAGGTGATAAGTGAGCGATTTTCTGCGTTGCGCACCACTTTCCATAGGCTCCGGTTGTCGGACAATTCTGAACAACCCGTTTAAGCTTACCCAACGCTATTGAGAAAAGTTTGACAAGCTCGAGGAATGAGGGGCTCAGGTGGTGGGGTGGATTTTATGAGAGCCTTGGATCAGATAAGATTGGCTGGTTGCTTTTGATGGGTATGATGTATCAGGGTTAGCCAGAGCAGTTGAGAGTCAGCTCGGTTGTAAGCAGCCCAAACAAAGAGACACGGCAATATCTGCATGCGAGTGGCCCTTCGCGATATCTAAAGGAATCAACTTCTTGTCAATAAAAGAGAAACGACTTGGATATATAAACCAAAATGTGATGGGAGAAATGTGCACTCGCGCACGGAACTCCGGACGCCCGAAACCTGCCAAGCTAATGTTGGTGAGATTTCTGACTAGTTTGACAGCCAAGCCGTCTCTGCCGACGAAGTAGTTCCCGGCCTTTGCAGGCAATATCCTTGGGCCGTCTTAAGGGTTCTCGATCCCTGACCTGAATCATGAAAATTTTTATCCGGGGCCCGATTTGATACCGAGTCTCTGGTCTCGATGCATGTCACGGCCAATGGGATAGGAGACTGCTATGAGTCCTCCAACTGTTGAATACTGCTCCACAGTCGCAAAATCGGAGCAGATTAACCACGCGTTTGGCTCGTGGAGTTCTCCGGCTCTTCCCCCCCATCCCCCTCGACACCTTACAGGGGGAGGACCTTGGAAGGAGGTGCCGTTCATACAGACACCAGCCGGTTTAGGATCATCTCGCCGGCTTTACTTGGGCTCATCATCAGGAGTTTTACAAATATCTCGTCTTACAGAGCTCAGTGAGATGAATGCCAGCTCCTTGGCTCTAAATTTCCATGTCGAGTTTTTTTCTCCGTGCCGCGTGGACTGCCAGGATGTGCAGCATAGTGCGGTCCTAAGCGAGCCCGGCTCTTTGCCTGCAGTAGGGCTATGCCGGAGCTTTACACAGGAGCCTTTCTGGGTCCTGATAGCTTGGTAGGGTGGTGGCGATACAAATGATTGGATCTAATCATATCAGATTAATCTAATCTGCTTGGCACGTACCCATCCTTATTGCAGCAGTTCCTCCGTCTGTGCATGGTCGCCACTTGTGACCTGATCCTCTCGAGCTAGAGCCACACATACCTTGCTACATGTGAGGGATGATCGGCTGGTGCGTCCTATTCGAGCACCTTGCATTCACCAACGATGTGGGAATGCAACACGCAACCCTGCCAAGTGGCCTGCGTCCTTGGGCTTAAAGACTCCGGTCCACGGCGAGCTCTGGTCTAACATTGTCCCTCCTCTCTCGTGCGTATTCAACCTTTCAATCTGATCCCAAGGTGTGAGGTTCAAGATGTCTTTCGTGGATAAAATCAAGGCCAGCGTCAAGGGCACAGACGCCGACGGCCCAGCTCCAGCCCCAGCCGATGTTGCTGAGATCACCCCTGCGGCAGAGAAAACTGCCGGCATCTCCACGGTGCCAGAGGACCCTGAGAAGCTCAAGGATGATGTTGTTCCCGATGAAGCTGCGCAGAACGGTGTTCGCGGAATCCAAGCTGCGACCTTGACGTGGGACAAGAGCGGGCTTGCTGCCATGCTCTGTCTGTATGTTGTTTCGGCTTTCCAGCACGTTGTTACTCGAAGCTAACAAGCCAATAGCATCTGGCTCCTTTTCCTGACAAATGGTTTCAGAATTGCCATTCTTGCCAGCTTGACTCCATATGTGACCAGCCAATGGAGCTCCCATTCTCTGCTCACTGTCATCAACATTGTGTCCAACTCTATGGCCGGTGCAGTGTACATTCCAATGGCTAAGATGCTTGATGTCTGGGGCCGAGCGGAGGCCTTCCTCTTAATGGTTGGCTCTTGTGTTCTGGGCTTGGTTCTGATGGCTGTGGCCGACAATCTCGCAACATTCTGTGCTGCTAGGGTAAGATTCGCCAACTATTAGTCCCAAGCGCGATACTGACTTTTGATTTTCTTTACTTAGGTTTTCTACGCTGTTGGCTTTGGAGGACTGATCTACAGTATTGTCGTTCTTGCGTCCGATGTCACCAACCTGAGAAATCGTGGTCTTGCATTTGCTTTCACGTCTTCGCCATACATGATCACCGCCTTTGCTGGATCCAAGGCTGCCGAGGCATTTCTGCTCAATGTCAGCATCAAATGGGGATTTGGAGCATTTGCCATCATCATGCCATTTGTCACCCTTCCCACTTTCATTCTCCTCAAGTATCACATTCGCAAGGCTGAGAAGCATGGTATCATTGTGAGAGAGAGCAGTGGAAGAACACTCGGACAGAATATTTGGCATTATATCATTGAGTTCGATGGTAAGCCCCCTCCCCCTTTGCAACTTTTGTTTGTCTCTAGCTCACCTTTGTACTAGCCCTTGGTGTCTTTCTCTTTGCTGGTGGACTCGTCGTTTTCCTGCTCCCGTTCACGCTCGCTGCCTCCGCCCCCAAGGGCTGGAAGACCGGCTACATCATTGCCATGATTGTCGTTGGGTTCTTCGTTCTGGTTCTATTCGCTGCCTATGAGGTCCTTTGGGCCCCAGCCCCATTCCTCAAGAGCAAGTTCCTTACAGACAAGAGTATTATCGGTACATGCCTTCAAGACGCCACCTACCAGATTTCGTACTACTGCTGGAACAGCTACTTCACGTCTTTCCTCCAGGTAGTCTGCAATCTGACAGTTGCCGAGGCTGGCTACGTCAACAGCACGTTCCAAGTCGTCTCTGGTGTTCTCCTCTTCGGCGTAGGCTACCTCATCCGCAGGACCGGTCACTTCAAGTGGCTCTACTTCGGGGCCATTCCTCTCTACATCTTCGCTCAAGGGCTGATGATCCACTTCCGTCGTCCCAACGAGAAGATTGGGTACATTGTCATGTGTGAGATCTTCATCTCCATCTCTGGAAGCATCTTTGTCCTCTGCCAACAGCTCTCTGTCCTCGCCGCCGTCGACCACCAGCATGTTGCCGCCGTTCTTGCGTTGCTCTTTGTTTGCGCCAGCATTGGAGGCGCCATCGGCAGCACCATCTCCGGCGCCATCTGGACCAACACCTTCCTCCCGGCTCTTATGCGCAATCTGCCCGAATCTGCCTTGGCGAATGCCACTACGATCTACGCGAGCCTTCCGGTCCAGCTTTCGTACCCTGTTGGGAGCGTCGAGCGTATCGCTATTCAGGAGGCGTACGGTTATGCCCAGACCAGGATGCTTGCTGCTGGAACAGGTATTATGGTGCTTTGCTTCATCTGGGTCTGGATGATCAAGAACTTCAATGTGAAGGAGATGACCCAGACAAAGGGTATGGTCTTCTAGGCTACACATCTAATCTACACATCGCTCTGGCCGCTCCCGCTAGGGAGTGGTGCCAATTAATTTGTGCAGTGCCTATTTCAAAACCGCAATGCTGTTTAGAGATAGTAATTACATAATTCACTTACACTAGGCTATGTTTACATCCCTTTCATATGTGAATGATTAGCAGTGACTATGGCAGCCAAGGTCGTATGCCAGTCCAGGCATATTGATAGCATGTGCATTGACTGTTAAGGTGGTACACGAGTGTTTAGTATGAAAGCTTCCCGTTTCCATTTGTCTTAAATCAAATCAGCACATTGTTGCCAAGTATCTACAATATAGACCGGTAGCAAAGTCCTGAGCATTTGTCGTCCGTAGACACTTTCTATATCAGGCTCTAGTGCACATACTGATTGATTTCACACTTTGTAGATCTTTGACACATCTGAATGGCCTTTCAAAGGTAATGGAAGTGGTCTGAGTAATTTACAGGTCATGAGTCAGTTGCTTGACTTCCTTCGATTCTCTACTCGGTCTGGCCTGGCAACTCGGACTGCCGAAAGCATTGAATCTAGCCAAGAAACGCTTGACCTTCTTTCTAAGTACTGCGTGTCTCGTTTTAGAACAACGTGGCCAAGGACAGCTTCATGAGCATAGATTTTCATTCTTCATAATAAATGTCATGATCCTGATCCTATCCGTTCCTCATCAAATAGCATTACCAAATAAACCCTTTGGTAATGATCCGGGCTTCCATAATTTTCGCCCACGACGACTCCAAGGCGAGCACCTACCCAGGAATGATCCCAAGGCGCTTCAGCCCGGCGAGCAGCGCTGTGGCACTGCCGCCTGAAGTCTTACTGGCTTTCCGCTCGTGCTCGGCATATGCCGTCAACAGGTAACTACCGGCTACCTGTTTCACAAGCTCAGATGCCTGCGTGATAGTTATACACATCCTCAGGTGAATTCACCGCGCCACCTGAATGTCATCGAAGAGTGAGCGTGTCTTCAATAACTTCATCTCTCCCCCATTTCGCACTCAACTCATCAGGCCCAAACCCAGCGATATAACAAGTTCCGACGTGATAATAGTGGGTGTTGTCGCTCTCTCTGACAATGGAGGGCAAGGTAGATATGCCGCTCGCAACCAGCTTGTCACCCGGTCTGATATATCGAGGTCCCATTCCCAAATAACCATCTCGCGTTTTGAAAAAGCTGACTCGCTTACTGCGCGTTAACCGGCCCAAGAACTCTGAATAACTAGACTCTTCGAGGTGCTCCTGGTTGAACTCGACGAGAACGCTGAAAGGGGTTGCAGCGGGGAATATCAGGTCGCACTGGTCTTGGCTGAGATTTGGCCCAAATAGCAGCCGGCAGAACAGAGGCCATAACTGCTCGTGGGAGGTGAGGCCAAGTTCATCCAAAACAGACTTTGAACACGGGTACTTCTGGATGGCGTATCTGATACCACGGACGAAAAACTGAAGACTCGGGAGTGTGGGATCCAGGGGGAAACACATGGGTGCATTATCGAAAGGGTCTCGTCCTTGGTAGATTGCATGAAACAAAGCTCCGAGTGTGGTTGTGTTTTCCTCATGAGCTCGAACTCCGTACCTGAATTGAGACAGTATAGAGGCGTACATCTCGAAAGCCTTTTCGGAATGTCTCGGCTCCCATATTCTCAGCTCCTCGCCTTGAACAACCATATCGATCTCTCCAAAGACGACACTTGGTAGCCACATGTCCAAGGAGTCTGTCAACTCCGGTCTCTGTCCCTTCACAGCCTTGGGGTTCACCTGATATACCACCTGAGAAAGAAGGCCCAGGGCGTTTGTATCACTCGGGTGCGGGTCGATCGGCTCTCTTACCTCGACAAGTGATGACAAGGTAGAGAGATCGGGAAACCATGACGGCAGGCCATGTGTATTCCTGTACGAGTCCAGTCCGATCCCTGACGTCCACATCGTCATGTCCGTAATCCTAAACGCACGAAAGTCTTCCCTGGCCCAATTCAAGTAAACATCCCGAACAGACAGCCCATAGTCAACACTGGTTTGTGTATCGCTCATCAGACTTTGGAACCCATATATCATATCTTTTGGATCCGTTGCTCTGTGGGTCATGGCGGAGATCAAGAGCATCGTAGCGTTGAACTTTCCGTTTTGAATAGCACGTATCTGCTTTTCCCTGTTCTTGGCAGTGTTCGCGCCGTGGCTAGTCGACAGCAGAATGCGAACTGTATTGTCGATGGGCCCCCATAACCTCTTTCCCGCCTCGGCGAGATGGCCGAGAAATGCGCTGAATGCACAGTACTCGGCGTATGTGGCACATGTGTCACCACATAGGAGGATGTTGTCGGCTCCTGATCGTGCCATGGCGATTTCCTGAATGATCCAGACCCGAGTCCAGTATTCGCACTTTCCGATATTCAGAGCCCCATCCCAATGTATGTTTGGCGTCTTCCCATCCTCATATCCGTACAGCAGATCAGCCTGCTGCGCTACCCACTCCAGGCCGCTGTTCACATCGACGCGGACTCTTTTGTTTGGGTTCTTTGACTGCCGCGGCCGCAGAGACTGATATATCCCATGGACCAGATTCAGCCCAAGATCAAGCCGGTGAAACTCGTCGCTCTCCCCCAGCCATGATATGACCTGCTGGGCATTCTTGTAAATGGATGCCATCTGGGCAACCTGCTGGTTGCGCTCGGCAAGGTCGGCCTGGTTGATGCATACTGCATCCACCCATATGTGAACAGACTCGGGCCCGCTAAGAGACCCCGGCAGCATAGTATCCAGGGCTCGTGTGAATCTCGAGCCCGAATGATGTCTCCTCTTGTGGCCATGATGAGGCTGCTCCAGCGGCGCAATCCTTCCCCCTTCCAGCCTCCGGCCCTCGTCGAGAGCCCCCGTGTTCCGCAGCGACTTGAGCGCGCAGGCCAGGTTGATGGTGACGGGCCGCGTGACGCCGTTGATTGTGATGTACTTGGTTGGCAGGCGAGGACCCCAGACGTAGGAGAGCGCCGAGTACTTGACCCCACGGGTCATGTTGGTCTTGACCAACCTGCAGGAAACAGTGGACTCTCCATCGCTGTCCCACGCGGGGAAGATCTCCAGCACGCGGATCTCACCTGGGCCGAGTGGTGTATAGAGCTCGGCGCTCGAGGGCGGCTGGCGCACCTTGTGAGACCTCATGGTTTGGGAAGGAGATGGAGCGCGAGGAATGCCTGCCCTGCCCTACCGTCGCATGCATTAATAATTAAATTAGTTAGAGAATCAGGTCGGCCTGGAGTAGTAGAGCAGGGGGTAGTCGGATTGCCATATAAATGTGAGAAAAAACGAGCGTGAGAGAGTGAGAGTGAGAGAAAAGAGAGGCAGGCAATCCAGTACTCCACTCGTATGCTTTGTCTCACGAAGCCGGAGGAGGATGAAGGGCGGCGCGTGCTTTTGCTAACCCGCTCCAGAACAAGGAAAGAGAGAGGGTACGACAGGAATTAAATCGCTCCGTGCTCAGGCGGATATAAAAAGAACACCCGCTGGGCAAACTCATGTCGCAGATTGGATGACCGGGCAAGGATTTGATGCTCCACCGTCAGCCACAGTGTAACGCTGAGGTATCATCTGAAAGGGCTCTTACTCGAATCCAGATATTATTAAGGGCAAGCCCAGGCTTGGGACTTGTTTGACTGTCTGGGCCGCTGCAGAGAAGGATTCACAGACCCCTGCCCCTGTCGTTTCTTGTCAAGGCGCTACAGATACGTCACAAATCTTGCCTGTCGGTTCCTCGTCATCTTTTTAAGGTACCAAAATAATAAAACAAAGCCGATTTCAGATCAAGTATTACTACTCGCAGCTGTCGGTCGGTGGCGCAACCATCTGTGGCGTCGAGTGTTCAATCTCGTCGCATCATCCTTTATTCATGCCGATTGCTCACCCAACCCAAAAGTCCCCACAGAGAGACTGGCCATGAGAATTTTCTTGGCTTCTTTTGGAGCAGCCCCGGATTACGATGTGCGAGTTTCAGCCCAGCTTTGAGTCTGACAAAGTCTGACAGGCGCTCGTTGCCGTCGTGATGTTTCGCGCCGCTCTTTGCTTTTTTCCTTTTTCCTGTCCTTCAGATAGCATCGACTCATACGCAATGCGCCCTGGCCAATAGGAGATGATTGTAAAAATAGCATTTCGCTCGTCCCGCGTCCTACCCGCTTGCCATGGTTAAGGGTGATTGGTCTTGATAACATGCATCGCCATAAAGCGCGTTTTCCACTCTTACTGCATGGCAGCAGGCGCTTTTTTGTTGGGACATGTAAACCAAAATACCATATTCAATCAGAATCAATCAGATTGACGCGTGGTCGGAGCCGGGGTGACAAACTTATTTGTTTCAGATGCAATATTCAAAGCTCTGCACCATGCAGGATCACGCATCGAGTCCCCGTGAATAGTTACACAAGCGCAGACTGACGGGCTGATTGGCAGCCAAAGAGAGGGAGCGGCAAGAGGCCTCTCCCAGCCGTGAGGAGAAATAGTTTGCGTGCATGTCGGCCATTATTAATATGGTTGAGAGGTAATAATATATGTATGCACTTCGCCCCTCTCCCCCTACATTGCACATACAGCTTACCTTTCACTTTGCAGCACTGCACCCTGCCTGATTCGTCGCGCCCCTGCATAGCTGAAGTTTCTTGCGCCCATCATGCAGCGTACAGCTCATTTATCCTCCGATAACGTCGCTGCCCGCACACACACACACATGCAGCAGCCGCCTGCCTCTCGCTTCTGCCCATTATGCCTCCTCACCGCGTCTACAGCAGCTATTTTAATTGGGACCTGCTAACGCCGAGGCGGGCCAGCCGGTCTTAAAGGAATGTTTGAAACAGACCCAGGTAAGACGGGGGAATGCCTGTCCGGCTAAATTGCCGGCAGCGTCTCCCCATCATCCGCTCTGCACCAGGCTCCGTTTGGAAGGATCGCGCGCGGATGTGCTCGTCGATTGCCTCAAGACCAACTGGCAGCCGTCTGACCAACCAAATGTCCTGCTAGACCCCCAGCATTGGCCACACCTTGATCGTTAGGTAGGTGGGAAGCGCCGTTGACTAGGCGATTTCTAGAATGGGGAGGAGCACAACGGTAAATGAGAGTGTTGGCTCGTGCCGATTGATTATCACGGACCACATTGTTTTGCTGAATAATTATCAGCCTCCTACGTCTAAACCAAATATGTCAGGTGGTCGGTCTAGATAGTCGAATAGCGCAGGAGGTCAGGAACTAATGATATTCTCCGAAATTCCGGGATTTGACAAGGTCTGGGGTCACAATTTCTAGGAACAAGAAAGCCGTGTCAAGCTATTTACAAGTAGGCCGGGTACTGTCTGATTGATGAGAAAAACAACATTCACCATGGATCTAACCCCTGCGCCAGTACAGATGACGTTGAACTTGGAACGGCAAATCTAGAGATTGAAATGCAGTTGCCATTACGCAAGCTATGGCATTCATAATCGCCTTGATGGAACCTTTTCTGGCCTACACGTATGAACGATGAATATTTGCCGCGCTTTCGGAATGGGTTGATCAGAGCAGGCTGTCAAAGATGTCTAAGAGGTTTGTCTGGTAATGCCGGAAATTTAGGAATCAAGCGGGATGTATGTCTTGTTTAGGTTGAACAAGTGAAGAGTTAATCCTTCGATCTCCCGTCGTAACCCACATGTTTCATCATGGATGTGGAGGCGTACATGAAAAGTGATGAGGTGTTCATCAACTCCATTGAACTCATTTTACCAACATTCTGTTTCCAACTTGGATATCTTGAATGAGAGAAGATAGAGACAGTTGATGGCCAGTCACAACTACTGCCAAGATATAGCTCATACGACCCAAGTCTACTCTGGCGAATAAACTGAAAGACGGAAATCAATCTAGGATCTAGGGTAAGTAGCGGACAAAGATGGAGCCGACTCCGCCACAGTTCCACAGGCCTGCACTTGTGGCTGGTGGCATTAGCCTCTTGTGGCAGGTAAATACGTGGTGATGATGACAGCGGCTCCTCACGACCCCATTTCACTTCTCTCCCCTGTCACGACCCAGGCCTTCATCATCGCGCTTGTCAGATGCCATGCCGTTTCCGTTCCTGCCTAACGAGATATTACACCGAATCGTTGCAGATCTCGACTCCATCAGTCTTATTTCCCTCAGCCAGACCAGCGTCCGTTTCCGCCAAGTCATCAAGCCCGGCAAGAGGGAGTTCGTCGAACGGCTGCTGGCACTGGAGTGCACAGAGCCCTTTGATGCAGGGTTCGCTCAGAGATCTGGTTGGTGGACTTACGAGGCATGGAAATCCACACGTTGGGCTTGTTCCGGATGTCTCAGACTGTTGTCCCACTCGCACTTCGACAACCGCTCCCTCCTCCGTCGTGGCTATCGGAAGCCTCCTCCGGAAGCTCCTGCTGCCAACATTCTTACAACATGGACGCCCTCGCTCTACGGTAAAAATTGGGGAGGCCGCGTTGGCCCCTATGTGTCCCAGGATGCGAGGCGACGCCGATACCACTACTACCTTCTGCACATCTACGAACACCAAGACCCCATGACAGCGGAGGCCATATTGCAGATGCGCAGTGCTGGGATAAACGCGCTTGAGGAATTGACCGAAGAGCAGATCAGGCTCTGCCCGGACGAGGCGAGGAGTGCTGTATTCGACAAGGTCATGGAGGATCTGGAATTGGAGGACATGGGAACCAAACGTCACCTCCGCAGGTGCAACGAATGTCGATACCAAAAGAACCCCGTTGGTCGGCGTGGGACACTTGCATTTCCGATCCAGATCAGTCTGAATCTTTACTTTGCCACTCCCTTGGATCGGTATTTTCCAACATACTGGGAGTTCTTTGCGAACAAACGACCTGTCTTCCAAAAGATCGTTGAAGAACATTACCTTGGCCGGCTTATTGGGCAACATTGGCAGATGTACATGGCGCGATGTCCCGGATGTCACAAGTGGCAAGAGATTCGGGCGTTTCGACTCGGTGGCAAACTGACAAGCTGGAAGCCTGTCCTTGGTCACACTACCTGGGAGGATGAAACTATCTCGAAATCGCTTCTAGATGAGGCGCGATGCAATACATGCTTCGAAAATGAGCATGGGAGAGAAGAACTTGGCAAGAGATTGCTGCATTGGATCCACTTCCTCCAAGAAGAGCATCTACGGGAGCTGGCCTCCTACTATGATAGGAACTGGTCATCTATACAATTGAGACTCGAGTTCGTTGACCCATGTGCGGATCACGATGAGGTGGTAAAGCAGCAGATTCATGACCTAGTCTCGCCTATGCGCGAGGCGCACATCCTGGATAACGCGGAAATGGACCATTTAAACCCGCCTGCCGAGGAGGTTGGAAGGCTCGTGAAAGAGTTCCAGGAACAAAACGGGATCAACCTCAACCTGAAAAACCTCATGGACCAACAGATCAATATTCAGCGTCAATGGATCTGGTTACGAGCTAGTATGGCTGAAGTACAGAAGAATCCGGATGCTCTGGTATGCTGGGCCCTTTCTCGAGATGGAAGCATACAGAAGTAAAGGCTAAGCGAACGTTCGCTACTACGAGCCAACTCGCCTGAGTGTCTACTGAGCAAAACATCGATTTCCAAGTTAGGCTCTCTCCCCTGTCAGTTTGAATGCATCGGGTAAAGGCCAGTACCAAGCTGACCGCATCCACCAGGAAGCGCTATTGGCATACCTGGGTCTGAAGAGCTTCGGAAAATAAGTAATTGGCCTGAGGTGATGGCCAAATGGTTATTTTTGGGCTACATTGACGTCAGCCCCCTCCTTGATAAACAGGGACCACATCTCCATCATCTGAGGGGTTCATGGTGCCCTGTTTTGAGCCAGTCACGGGATGCAAGCTGCATATACCTTGTTTATCGGTTCGAAAGCCGTATCGGGCCGTGGCGAAGGATGGATCTGAGGGATTATTTACGATGATTACGTTGGCACAAGCTGGTGATCGGGCACCACGTTGCGATGTGAAAATCAATCTTGCCGACGTGTGGCGGTGAAAAATGTAACCTAACGCGGGATTATGAAGGGACCATAACGTCATTAGGCATATGCACTCCAAATTCCAGAATTGTTGGATACGAAAGGTGAGATTCGCATCTTCGCTTACGTTCTAGCATTCTGGCCTGTACTAGAGAAGACATTCCACCCACCCACGTACAGCTTACTGTCATAGCAGCCCGTTGATAGGTTGAGTTTTGTAAGCTGCCACACGGCTTTGAGAGTAGAGAGTATTTTTACCAATGCCCTGGTTCGATGGTTGAATGAAAGTAGAACAGAACCTTGCTATCAATTTGGTACGTAACCTTCCCGGGTTCGTCTCTTGACCTGTGATCTCAAACTCTATTGTAGTATGAGAATCTATATTAGGGAATAAGCTTGTCGGAGCTTGTAATTCGTCTCAAATTTTGTATTTGGCTTGAATCAAGTGCCAAAGCTATTTGGAAGAGAAAAAATACCCCTCAACGATGGACGTCTGATATAAACAGCCGTACGTACTCTGGTCCAGCTGGGTTGTCTTGGGGCTTTCACAATTGGCAGCTTCTCATTTCCCAATGTTAATATAGGATGCACATATGGAAAGCCGCAATCTCACAAAAGACGAGGATGACTAAAAGTCAATCAAGTCAATTTCCTATCAACTGGGATAGGTGGTATCTAACTGATTACACATTGAAACATAGTTAATGCCTGGAGAAAACTTCACCCGCATCTCAATACCCAGCGGGCCGGGACTAAAACCTAGTTGCCAGAAAATGTAAGAATCCTTGAGTAAAAACGCCTTATAGGAGCCTAGGTAATATATATAATATCCATCCACCTACAGCGAAGCTACATAGGATGCCAGATCCACGGAATATGATAGCCATCACTGACTAAAGGATTAATCTCTAAAAGAGGATAAGACGAGGTTGATAAATGTTACTTTGCTGATCTATCCTAAACCTACCATAACAGTGGCGCCAATGACTCCTCCCTACCGACCGTCATTTCTCGGCTACGTTTAACTGCCTCAATTTCTATATCAAAAGTGACAGGACCTCTGTCTCTCCCCTGCCTTTCTTTCATCGCTTCTCTGATTCTCTCCCCGAAGACACGTTTGAGATGCTGCAGGTCGTGTCTATTGTTATGGTCAATTGTTTCCACTATCCTCATCCCTTCATAACTCTTCAGTGTAAATTTCAATCTCACCACATCCCCGTTGTCAAAGTTGAACGGAAGCTCCTTCTTTAATTCTGCGAGTGTTTTGTCAGAGAACTTCCCATTAGGCTTCCATGACTCTTCAACGGGAGGTTTGCGCGAGACAATGGCTCGAAACCATATTTCCGGTTCCAAAGGCGATTTTCTTGTCGTCGCTCCACCAACTCGACCCTCATTCATATGTTGCAGGTCATCAGTTTCGACAGAAGGCTGAGTTACTTCATCCATCGCGCCCTCCATAGAGGCTTCCGGTGCTCGAGGTCGTAGACTTGGAGCGCGGCCGCATTCAACCGTTGAGAAGACTGAGGTCCCTCGTTGCTGGCTGGGGAACCGAGACATGGACGAGGGACCTTGCCTTGACCATATCTGCTGATTGCCCTGGTCTGAGTCTGGAACTGGAACCGCTCGCTCAGCAGGTGCGCGTGGAGGAGGCATCTCTTTCCGCCTCTCCGTTTCTATCTCCTTCCCTTTATCCTTCCTATTGCTCTGTCCTCTACCGGGGCTTGAAAAAATCTCTTCAAAGGGGGGCATATCATCATCATCATCATCATCCGATATAGCATCGATCTCCCTGGTGTGCAAATTGTCAAGTGAAGGAGCATTACTATCGTGAACGCGTAGATTTCCTTCCGTGAGACTGCTGGATGTATTACGACCATCCACGTTGGAACGAGATGATGTGATTCCAAATGGAGAATGACCCGTGCCAACAGCCCTCTCTGGAGCGATCGAAGTTGTTGAAGGCGCCACTCTGGGAAGTGGCCGTGCTGGGTGACCTTCGTCACGACTCTGAGTTGCCACGGCATCTTCTTCTCCGGGAGCGGAAGGGTCATCATCCTCTACCGTGACTGGATGCGGAGTGGTGGACTGCCCAGTAGTTTGAAGATTTTGGGGGAGCTGGCGCTGTTCAGATATCGGGGGGCGCTGACGTGGTGTCACTGGTGTGTTATCGGGTTCATCATCAATCTCCATCGTCGAGGAACCTGCGCCTCGAGGCCCATGACCACTCTGCCGCTTCTTCATTGCCATTCTCTCATTCTTCTGCTTATGAAAGCACTTTCTAAGAAACATTTGCGTCATCAAATCTTGGAGCCTAGAGATAGTTTACAGCGTTAGTATGACCCTATCATCCACACCGGTCAAGGTTCAGACTCACTTATCTTTATGCTTCGGCCAGACAAGAGCCCGCTCATATAGTGCGCTATCACTATGTTCATCTGGCCAAAGCCTCGGCCCTTCCTCTTTTAAGAAATCACTGGCCTTCTGTGACATAGCGTCTTTGTACTCTTTCTCCTTGAGATCACTGACAGAGCGAGGCTTTTGGTAATTCTCGCCATGGTTCTTCTCAAAATTCCTGATGCTGTCGTTTAGCACACCTCTGCGCTCGGGACGGCGCTTGCATAGGCGGTCGCCATAGTTTAATCGGTCGTTCAAACTGCCGATCGTGGAGTCTTTGGATTCTTTCCTACGCGAGGAGGTCGCGGGAGGCATTATTGATTCTGTACCACGAGATAGATTGAAAGGGACGTTGAATAGCGTGTTGTTCACTCAAACAAATTTTGTCTGGATGGAATTGGGCATCCGCCTGCTCCCACTGTTTGCTCATGATCTTACCTCACCTATTATACATTCCCTCCAATTCTGCCTAGGCGGCTCCTGAAACGATGGGTTGCATGCGAGAGAGAGCAAGACGCAATCGTGGACCACACGAGGCGGCCTCAACCCAAGAATAACTCTACTATATGCAGTTGGTCGTTGGCTCTGCCTCCTGTGGCCCTGGTTCATGCAACCATAAACTCCCTCCAGCCACTCGCAGGCCACCACGGGGACGGTCTGCTCTCAGCCGCGGAGGCGCAGCGGCTGAGGCGCATATTGAGGATGCAACCCCAATCAGGGCCGCCTGGGGGGTCGTAAATGGAAAAATCGGCGTCGCCGGACATGATTTCTCTTGGCGTAGTCAGTTTGTTAATTTCCAATATTCCCATTAAGAGAAAGGTATGCAGGATGGCATCATCTTCTTCATGGATTGGGAATTATGATGGCGACGACAAATGGAACCCAAGACTGACATGCATTTCATTCGCTTTTCTTGGAAGTTGTGAAATCATCTCTTATTTAAATACATTATACTAGTATGAAGAATAAAACTAAGAGATGTGTTGGCAGGACAGGCTACATGTCTGGTATCTACAACTATTTGCTATTTGGGCAACGACTTTAATGATTTCCACCTTGTGCTGAGAGTCCTTTCGATAATGCAACATCTGTCATTTGCCATAGCTCGCCTTCCTCAGTTGCAAAACTCGCCGCGTTGTTTTCCAAGCTCTTTGCAGCACATTCAAGCGACAAACCAAACGTTACGAAGTAGAAAAGCATACCATGGTGGCCCCGGCAGCCTAAAACACCGACATACGAGATAGATGCGCCATCTGATGTTTCTGATGGGGTTCATAAAGACGCTGAACGCACTTCCCGGCGGCTCCATTAGACGCGAACTTTGCGGGGCTGTTCCGTGGAAATACTGAGGCTCAGTTGAACGAATTAGATCGAACTTTGAGTTTCGAGTAGTGTTAAAAGGTGAAGGCCTGAATCGCAAGATATCGGAGCAGACTTTTCCTTCCGCATGACTGCAGCCTTGGGCTAGCAAAGGCTTTGTTTAAAAAAAACTAAAAAAAACTTTGGTATTCATTGTGTTGAGATGTCGGTTCTGGAATCTTCTATTGTTGTTTAACCTTATACTCGAACTCCCTCCCGCAGGATATTGGAGCACGCGAGAATATGTAAAAGGACTGACGTGGGCTCGTGGTACGCATCTATTGAGATCCCTCAGCCACCACCACTGTGGTTTGTCGAAGAAAAGATTATTAGTTGGTGAACCAATTAGCAAAGAATTTTCACCTTTATTAGGCCAATACAATCGTATTTTCATAATAATTCACCGTTATATCACACCGTCATCCGGATGACAGTGATCTCTAACAAAAGGTCGGGCGACATTATTTCGCACTACTAGAACATAGAATGCTATCATACCTTCGAATACTGGGTGGCTAAGTAAGATGAAGTAATGAAGGAGGGCAACAGAGCTTTGACTGGCACAATAAGAACATATATGGTACGGTTACGCCCGGCCCAGGCACCAACATAATTCATACAATTAGGGAGGCTCACGAAGCTTGAATTTAGGGTTCGCAAGATTTTCTCCCTCACTTTCTACTACTGTCCGACAAAAGTCTCTCCAGGGCTGGTCTTAGCAAAGATTCAAGGCGAACAATCAGATCCTGGACTGTCATTCCTCTTTGTTTCGTCTCTTTTCCCTTTCGAATCACCAGAATGCTGTTTTTGCAGTTTACTCTCATCCCTGTGCCAAGTACGATCCTACATTGCCTCTGGCAAGACGTAGAATAGCGGATATAGCAAATGCCCACATGAAAATCTTAAATTCGCCTTTTACTACATTCTGAATTTTCTTTTTACCAGGTTGCTTTTAACTATACGTTGAGGCTCTTTTTGCTCTCAAATGTGGCTTGTGGCGTAAAATTTATTTGGCAACGTCCGACTAAGCTGGGACTAAGAGGTCACATGTCTTGATAAAAGATGAATGATTCCTGATCCACGATATTGTAGATGGTAGTTCTATGCTTATGATCTTTGTGGAAGTCCTGCCAGAGCTTGAGAAATTATGGAAAGAGGAAAATGTAACGACGGATCGAGTTGACAGTGGATATCCGGCTTTCTGAGGTGGTCACAGGCGTAGAGCTCCAGGTATAATGAATCTTCAAACGCTCCGTGAGCGCAATAGAGGCAGTGGAATACTCCTTTAAGTTCTAGGCTGAAAAGCTTGCTTGATTAGACGCAGACTCAGTTCTCAGTGTAAAACGCCAGGTTGACTCACAAGATTCGCCTCGAAGAAGAATTGTTCCCTATTTAGGTCCATTGTCTCTCGCTTTTCTTCCCAAATCCTTCATGTTTTCAACATTCCAATATTGGCTCTTCTTACTTCACATATCTACACCTGCTTTCTGAATCGCACCAGATACTGTGATGGATATTGGGCTTTTACTGGCAACTCTTGACACCATTCTTTGTATCCTCATCCTCTATCCACAAGCCTTAGTTCCTTCTATCATCTTCTCTTAATTCCGCTCCCATAATTTCTAGCGTGAAGGAGCCTGCATTCTGGTCAAGTCAAGACCGTGGATACTGAGATACCTACACGCCTTCAGCCTCACGACCAGGGACCCACACCTGGCGTCATGATGGACTACAGCTATCAGACAGCTCTTCTTCTTCAGCTACCAGTGGAATTGATATACATGGTATTGGATATTCTACGCCCCCATGAGAAGTCCATCCTTGCGCAGACCTGCCGCTGTCTGCGTGTTATCGCCTATTCCAAATCAGTGGCCACATATGACCTCCCAGACGACGAAGCGTTCGATTATTTACGCTGCATAACGCACAACGACCCCGGAACATGGGTCTGTGCATTCTGCACCCAGCTACACGCTGTAACAGAGGACCACCTCTCAGAGGAGTGGTGGAATTCGTTCGCCTATAAGAACGGCGTGTTCGAGAGTTTGGTACCGCTCTGGGACAGCTCCATATGCAGCGACGGGTACCGTCACGTTCAACTGTCGTTGAAATACGACAGACTGTCTCCAAATTCCAGCGAGTGCGGGGAGCGCCTCGCACGTCTACTCACTCCCTACAATACCACGCCCAAATTTCCCATACTTCAAAGTGCTATGCGTGGACACATTCACGCGGTTCCGAAGGTCGTTCAAGGGAGGTTTATTCTCAAATCTACGTGGACGTTCCGCAAGGGGGACACCATACTAAGGCCCGACATCATGGGGATCAACGTTCACATATGTAACCATCAAAGCTTCGGAAGAACCCGTCGCACACCCAGCACGTTGACGAAGGCGATCAACATGGCGTGTGAGAACCAAGGCGTCACAGTCCTAGGGAGCTGTGGATCCTGCCAGACAGACTTTGCCATTGAGTTCCGGAGTGCTTTTGTGGCCGAGGTAACGGCATGGAAAGATTTTGGGGGCGAAGTTTCGCCTCTCAGCGATACCTGGAGGTTGAATTTATATGGGGTCTGGGGTCTTCATATGAAAAATAAGCAGCGAGGGAGAGTCCGAAGTTTGTATGAGAGAGCGTCCGCTTGAGAAGCTTTTCTAGAGATGATATTGGCACTGATTAGATTATCTGGAGCTGCGCATTGTATACAAAGTATTCTGTTAGAACGCCCTTGTGATGGTCGACAAGTCACCACCCAATAAGAATTATTTGAACAAATACTGTCGTTAACTTCGCTGATTATGGACCTCTTAGCCACTAGTAGGAGTCATGTCGAAATATATTGAGCCCATCACCGGAGTGACCAGCTAGGGTTCGCCGAGTGGCGTGGGTGTTGAGAAGGTCGGGGTAGTAGGTCTGTAAACGTAAAATCCTCAACACCTGAAACCCAATCGTGAGGAACCAGGCTTGGCAACCTGGATCCCTGCCTCGGTGTTACACGGCCTTATTGACCATCAACTAAAGGTCAGGAACGGGGAATGAAAGGGATTTTATCTTTATAGGGGGGGGCTATGGTAGCACAGGAGGCATGAATTGCCGCCTCCCTCTTTGAGCCCCAAAGTGGGCATTGAGCCTATCGATCTCAGCCAACCCTAGCTGCAAATCGTCGGTTGTTTGAGTCTCTTTACTAGTTTACTGAATCGGAAAGAATTGCATGACTTGGCCCCGCGCGGTAGCCACTTTTCGGGGCCATATCATTGATCAGCTGTCAGATGTTGCTGTCCCAGCTCGAGAGCGCCGTGACAGGCAAACTAATTTACCTGGGACACGCTGTTGAGCAGGTTCCGTGGCGTTATGGCAGTGGCGGAGTCATCGAGTTAAATTTGCCGAGGACATGATATGCAGCAAGGTGTAACTTGACAGCTGAAGCGCCGGCGATGCTAGTCTGGGGTATCGATCTCCTTGTCCGAGACTGCCGTGGTGATGGGCCATGTCCACGGCTGGATCAAGAAGAGGCGAGGATTATACGACAACTAGTGTCGGCCCACTTGAGATGGACCTTGGCACGGGTTACAACTTTCACCGTTGACAGCGTGATTATCAGACAGATTGTGATCCAGACATCATTGTTAAACGTCGATGGGCAGTCCCTTTAATCATCCCCGAGGTGCGATGGGGCTCCGAAACACTATCCAACATCCTGGTTGCGTGTTAGTTCAGCTCAAAAGCCCAGGGGAAGGTTTCAAGATCAGTTGCAGCAAAACGCATGAACATGGCAATGAAGGGAGGGGCTCCCCGATGCGGAGTTACGAATCTACGTCACATGGGAAAATTATCTCTTTGCTCCCAGCGCTTACTCGCACGATTCGGGAAGATGAATGGACGCGAGAATAACCTTTGGTGCAAGATGGGCGGTTGGTGTCATCCCTGTTGTCCACATAAACTCCATCACCATTACACACCTCTTTATCGCCGGGCATTGCCGAAAGCTCAGGTGTTACCAAGACCGAATTAAATGGCATTAAAAGTTAATGGCGAGGAATATCAAATCAATTGGTGCGTCTGGAAGTGAGTATCCTGATTTATCCTGCCTGAACCCCTACTCCTAATATTGACCGTGGTGCTATTGTCAGTCGGGATTCTCGATCAATCACCCAATTCAGGGCGACGTCAGTTTTTGGACAGCCAAAAACGAATGCCGAACGGCACAGCCACTGACAGGGTCTCACACGGACGTTTCGCTTTGGGCAATGAAACACATGTTCTTCACCAAGAAGCCAAGGACCGAAACGTCAAATGATCCGAGGCAGGGGGCGGGTTCCACCGCAAGGGCCTGTGCAATTTGCAATTGAAACGCTGCGACTTTATGCATACCGCATTTTCTACCGTCAAGGGAGGTGGTACGTACGACGTCTAAGTGGTGGCGGGATGGTTGCAAACAGATACATATTAACTGGCTTCGGTGCCGCTGGATGGAATCTGGAGACCTCAACTCGCAAGGGTTTTCTTTCCTTTCTACACTCATTCGTGCAGGCAACGCTCTTTTGCTTCAGTTCAGTTCAGTTCAGTTCACATTCGTTTCTTTTCATCCAGAGTCAATTGATTTGACCATGCGCCACTCGTTTGTTTCCGCACTCCTCCTGGGGCCGCTGGCCGCCCAGGCAGCATGCACAAAGTCTTGCAAGCCCAAATCCAAGACCTGCGGCCTCGTCACCGTCACTGAATGGTTCACCGTGACTGGCACGCCGGGTCAAGTCATTCCCAGCTCCTCTTCGGCCCAGCAGACGGCCTCTGAGTCTGAAGGCTTGACAACAACATCGGGGTTGATCATTGGCAGCTCGGTCCTCTCGTCCAACGCGCCAACCGCCCCTCCTGCACCCACCACGACACTGGGATCTCTCCCTCCTGAGAGCCTCACGACGTCCACGATCTTTACGACTTCCATCAAAACCGTCACCAACTGCGGTCCTGAAGTGACCAACTGCCCTGGAGGCTCAACAGTTGTTACGGAAACCATCCCCATTGCAACCACCGTCTGCCCCATCACCGAGATCCCCACCGGATCCGCCTCTCTCTCTTCCTCAGCCTCCGGAAACTCTTCCATTGCCACATCAACTCAGTCGACTGGATTCGGCTCTGTCTCTACCACTGGCACTCAGGATGCTACTGGCGGCTCCAGCATTGTCACTGGAACCGAAACTGGAGCAACCACTACCGTCCCTGGATCAGCAACCACATCAGGATCCCTCACAACTCCTGGAACCAAGCCACCCGTCGGCGGTGATATCACGTCCACTATCTTCACAACCTCCATTCACACTGTTACAAACTGCGGCACTGAAGTGACCAGCTGCCCAGCTGATTCCACAAGTCTCAGCACCGAGACCATCCCTGTCTCTACCACTGTCCTCAGCCAGACTACACCCGGCTCTACTGGATATGATTCATCCGCCTGGCCGATCGGATCTACCACCAGTGGTGCACAGGGTGGTTCAACCACTGTCCCACCCGTGGGTGATGTGACATCTACCCTCTACACCACCGAGATCCGCACTGTCACCAGCTGCGGCCCCGAGGTTACCAGCTGCCCAGCCACCGTCATCACTGAAAGCCGTCCCTACTCCACCACGGTGATCCCCTCGTCGTTGGTCTCGTCGATCGTGTCCACTCCCGTTGCGATTCCAACCTCCTACGAGTCTTCCGCGAACCCCATTGGATCAACCTCAACTGGAGGAGGAGAGCAAGGTTCCATCACCGGTCCCCCAGTTGGTGATGTGACCTCCACCGTCTACACCACCACCATCCGAACCATCACAAGCTGTGGCTCTGAGGTGACAAACTGCCCCGGAAACGGCACCGCAGTTGTTACCGAGACCATCCCCATCTCCACAGTGGTGACCACCGGAACTGCTGATGCTACCTCAGCTGTCATCACTGCTTCCAGCTCTCTGCCACCCGAGAGCCTGACCACCTCCACCATCTTCACCACTTCCATCCGCACAGTGACAGACTGCGGCAGCGGCACTGAGGGTTGCTCAAGCGGAGTTGGCTCGACCATCTTCGTGACCGAGACCATCCCCATCTCCACCACGGTCTGCCCCATCAGTGACTTGCCTCAGACGCCCACCACCACCGCCGTTTCCACTCCCGTTTCCACCCCTGCCTCCTCCAGCAGCCTCCCCGCCCAGGAGCCTTCCGCTTCCAGCACAGCCGCGACTTCGGCCACCAAGACCTCGTCCTCTCCATTCGAAGGTGCCACTGGAATTGACATCATCATTCCCGAGATCCGTCAATGTGACAACAACGACCAGCTGGATCTGCCAGGCATGCCATGGTCTGTCACCAACGACATGTACAACAGCGAGAAGATGAACGGAACCCAGTGCACAAATTTCAACCGCGTGGTTGTGTCTAACGGCACATATCTCGTCAACTGGACCAGTATCACCGATATCAACATGATCAACGAGACTGCTGATGTCATGAAGGGTTACTCCAAGATTGAGGCAAGCTTGAACGGCACCAACCATCTCACTGAGATCAAGAGCATCCCAACCTTCTTCAGGTGGAACAGAACGATCGGTGATGGCTTCAAGGGTAAGAATTCATTATATTTAAAGAGTTAAACATTCCATGATTGCTAATTGTTTTCAACTACTAGGATCCAACGTCATCAACGTCAAGACCTCTTCCATCGAGAACGCACTTGAAGGAGACGTTGTCAACGAGTTTGTCCTGTACCTCCACACCTGGGATGAGCAGCGTCCCATCGGCTGGTCCGACACCCCTGCTGCCACCGTGGAGGAGCTGTACGGCACAAACTGGAGCGTCTACGAGGGCACTCGCGAGACCACCAACCAGACCGTCCGCAGCCTGATCCCCGACACCCCCGTGGAGAGTGAGCTCTATATCGACCTCAAGACCTGGCTCGACGCCATGGTCACCAAGGGCTTTGCCAAGAGCGACGAGTACCTGAACGCGGCCAGCTGCGGTACCGAGATCTTCTACGGAAACTCGACCCAGAACGCCGCCGTGGCGCTCAACATCAATGTGTAAGGCGGATTCGAGTCGCTGATAGGCATGGTGGTGTTTCATCTTGCCGGATTCTCTTCTTGCGCCCAGGCGCATTCAGATTTAGAGTAGCGTTAGATTTACGAGAGTAACAGAAATCACAGTTGCTTGGGGATGTCATCTCATTTCAAAATTATGAACCATTGAGCAAAATCAATGAATGAAAAACAATGTGTCCATGCTTTTGCTTGTCAGTTGACATTGTTTGTTTTGTGAAACCTAAAAGCCATAACGAAGATCTTTTCACTTGCATTTTAAATTCTTTGACCATACCAGAAAGTCCAACTCAATTTGTCCCTCAATTTAAAGGTCTGCGCTCTGTTCTAGGGATATCTCTAAACAGGAATCATTCTCTAGGTCGTCGCCTTGCATCGCATCCATCGATTACCATTTTCCATCAGTGTTGGGCGCTCTCGTCTTCTCGTTCAGGGATCTCGCCTTCTCTATTCCGGAACGTACGAGCCTTCGAGCCCAACTCTCAGATTTCATGGCTTCTTCGCCAAAGGCGAAGCTCCAATCTCCACAGGCAATAACGATATCCTGCTCCGCGAGTGTTGCAATGGAAAGCCGCACGCTGTGATGATTCCCGGCGGACGGCTCACCAAGGTCCATGCCCCAGCACAGAGCAGTAAACGATCTTTGTTTCTCGTCGGAGCTTTTAAGGCGAAGAGGCAGCTCCCAGAGTCCATCACAGCGGTGCTCTTTACCTTGAGCATCGATCCAAGTAGACTCCTGCGCGGACTCGACCTGCGACAAGTACTGCCTTGCAAAGTCAATAGAGACTCCATTCGTCATGGTACCGGTATCAAGAATGACCCGTAAGGGCATCTTTTTCTGACCAACGAAGAAGGAATCTTCTGCCACGAAATTGTAATTCGGAGCTATACCGATTCGTTCCGCGACAAACGGGAGGGGCGAGCGTGACTGCCACCAGCTCTGGATTCGAGGGGCTAGGGAGATGTTCTGAGCTTCGAGCGTTGTCATGCCGAGGATAATCGGGGGCAATTGAGCGTCTCTTTCGACCCCTGCACAGAAACTTGTAAAGAAGATCGCTTTACCTTGACTGCACGTGGTGGCGATTGGGACGCACCACTCGCCAGAGGTTGTGAGTTTAGCCCTGGGAGCCTTGGCTCCATGTATCTCCTGGCTCTTCCCCTGGCTCTTCTTCTCCTCCTCTTCCCCTTCACCCTTTTCTCTTTCACATAGATATTGCCGGGCAAACCATCGACTTACTAGATCTACCGGACAACCGGTGTCGAGAATAGCAGGTACCGTACAAGTCAAGCCATCTTTTGCTCGGATTTTGATTTTGATAGTGAACGGTTCCTGGGGGGGCGAGATCACTGGCTGGGATTGTTCTTCCAGCTTGGATAGAGTTCGTTTCGCAAGCTGAGACATTGCGGGAATCGATTTTGATATGTGGCCTAAGGTGGAAGCAAGACTCAAGAAGTGATGGTGTTTGGTAAAGCAAGAGTGCGATGCTGCGAGAGGCATGAGTAGAAGATGGGAGAGCAATATATAGTTTTAAAAATTGGCAGTAACTTATTCACTGGTAATTTGTTATTCCAACAAGAGAAACACAAGGATGACATTGCTTCCGTCTGAAGTGACTGCCCTCGACAACCTCCATCACATCTAAGACAATGCCGCTCACTTTACCAAGTCAGATCTCCTACCCTGTATGTTGTAGGACACGCTTTTTTACACAGTCAACGGATCGACCTGACCAAGTGAAATTGTATGTTTGTGCACGATTTAACACGCTTGTCTAAAGTTATCTGATTTTCGAGTTTAATAATGTTTCTCAATATGATCGGAGCCCATGACTTGATGAGTGCCGTGCACCGAGTCAATCCTTTGGATATCACAGATGAATTAACATTAGACCAAGATTCCGAGAGGGTTAACAGTCTACCAACTCGCAAGGCGCTGTTGCATACAATCTGAAAATTTGAGTCAGTGAATACTATGTAATTATGAATCTGCAGATGCAGTCAAAGAACATGCGCCACTAAACTTATGTCTTTGTTCGACGGCATCTGTGGTGTTGGTCTGTGATGCTCAAGGGAGGCCGCCTGTGGCGGTGGGACGACTCTGATTCAGTGAGGCCTCGACACGCTAGACCATGTATAATTGGAACAAAGTAAGGCTGAATTGCCAATGAAAATACAGAATTCGTTCATCCAATCCCTGATCCACGCGTCTTCACGTTCATGTGGGGAGCTACGGAATGTGGCGGCACCAACAAGATTACTTGACTCAGAAGCGATGCTCAGGCGTCTGTGAGCTCCGCCGTCCCACATGGCTTGAACAGGTTTCATTTTAGTGATTTCTGGCTGTGTACTCGTACTCTCTCAAGGCCCCTTCACTCAATCAGTGGCACGTTGAAACAACGGACGGGAAGAGAGTGAGCCGCCACGCGGCTTCCCGAAGAGGATACATTTTCTGTAATCCTGCTGTGGTGTGCTTTCTGTTGGTAATTTTTTTCAAGGTGAGTCCCACCGGGTCCATCTCAGCTGACTGCAGGTGTGTTGGTTGTGTGCTGTTCAACAGGCTAAGCTTATGTCCAAGCCCCTGGTTCAAACAAGCCATCAATGGCCTGCAATGGGCCGCGGCTTAATTAATAATAATTCAGGCACCTACCTGGTTCGCAAGGTCAGGGGCTAGGGCAAGCTCCCACTTTCCGCTATGGTTTGGTTCTTCATGAAATGAGCAACACGGGAAGATCTTGCAAAGGCTGGAGGAGAGAGGTGCTTCCAACCACTCCGTGATGGCCTGGTTCTACCCACACACAGATACGTGGGATCAAAGAATTGGTCACTGGCTCGGGCAGTGAAGATCCGCCTTGGTGACATCCTGCCAAAGAAGTGAAAACAATGGCATGCTCCTCAAAATAGCACCTGGCCTCCCGCTCCACCCAGACCAGGGGCAAGGCGCCAAGCACCTGATTTCAGATGGTTGATTGGTGTTTTGGGTCTCGCGGCCCCGTATCACTGCATGAGACAGTGGCCGTTGGTCAGCTCCTTGTTTGGCGCACTTTTCCCCTGAGGGAGGCAGCCAATTCGTGTTTCAGGGTTCTGGCTTTTAGCTTGTGCTCTCCCGTCGTCTTAAATACACGACGATCTGGGGTGAACTCTTGGCTTCCAACTTTCTTCTCAAGTCTCCACCGTGAACCAGGAGTTCGTGATCGAGTCGGTCTTCTTATTTTCCTTCTGACGTTCTTTATACCATCAAGTTTTCTTACCAAGTCGCCGTCAATTCTCCCACCTAATTATCAACCATCTCCGATTGTCGCCATGGCCGAGAAAGACCCAGAGCAGCAGCCTCCTCCGGCTGATTCCAGCCCGAGGCTCAGCACCGAATCAAAAGATTCTGATGATTATTTCGTACGAGGCCTTGCCCGCCGTATCGCATTGTCTTAGATCCCCTTCCCTAACCTTGTTCTCCTGCAGAATGGCCCCCGCGACATGTCCCATCATTCGAAATGGCCCATCTTCCTGCAGCTTCACGGGAGCGTTACCCCCCGAATGATGTTCCCCTTGACTTTTGTCGCTGCATGGTCGACGGCTATTTGCTGCATCTCGCACTTCGTGTACAGCCGTAAGTTACCCTTCCCCTTCATCCCTCGGCGCCGCGACCGCATAGCTAACAGTTCCGCTCAGTTGGTGTCAACTCGGTGCTTCTGACCATTCTCGGTTTCGTCGTCGGTCTGTCCCTCTCTTTCCGTAACTCGACCGCCTACGAACGATATGCCGAAGGTCGCAAATACTGGGCTATGCTCTCCCTCCACACCCAGAACCTGGCCCGTGTGGTCTGGGTGTACGCTGCTGAGCGTGAGGATCATAAGACGGATGATCTCCTGGCCAAGGTTTCGTTCTGCAACATGCTCGTCACCTTCTCCATCGCCCTGAAGCACAGACTGCGCTTCGAGCCTTTCACGCACTACGAAGACCTGGAGCCCCGTCTGAAGCATCTTCACTGCGTCGCCCACCGTGCAGACAATATTGAGTGGACCAAGCCTTCAACGTTCAAGCGAATCGGTAGCCGTCTGGGTCTCCCAATGGCTGAGTCGAACCCTCGCAAGCTGATCAAGAAGTCGGAGAAGCCCCTTGGTAATGTGCCACTGGAGATTCTGAATTACTCCTCCACCTATATCCGCAACATCATCGACAATGGTACCTTCAAGGCCCCTATCTATCAAACACAGGCTCTTAACTCCATCACCATCATGAACGACATCCTCACCGGAACCGACCGAGTTCTGAACACCCCCTTGCCTATTGCTTACTCCATCGCCATCTCTCAAATCACCTGGGTCTACATTCTTGTTCTACCATTCCAGCTCTGGAAGAACCTTGAATGGGTCACCATTCCTGCTACTATCTTTGCCGCTTATATCATCCTCGGTCTGGCTCTGATCGGCCGCGAGATTGAGAACCCTTTCGGAGACGATGTCAATGATCTGCCGCTTGACGTCTACTGCGACCAGATCCGCCACGAGGTTGATATCATCATGGCGAGTGGCGCCCAGTCAAGCGACGACTTCATCAAGAACGACGACAACATGCTCCTTTTCCCTTATAACCGCCACGGTTTCAACCATGTCAAGGGTAAGACCCCTGAGCAGATCAGAAAACTCCTCGCGGCCAAGGTCCAGGGCCTCTACAACCAGGCGGCAGCGTAACCCCATAAAGCCGAAATCACGGAGGCTTTGTTTTCGTAGCCTCCCATCAAGGAACAGGCTTCGTATTTGATTCTTGTATTGGTTCGATGTACACGCAATGAGCTTCTCTTTTCCGTAAAAATTTCAATGGGTTGAAAAATCAAGATCATAATCGAGATTCTGTGGTCTCCGTTTCCATTTACTAGGTAGCGATAGCAAAAATCAAAAGCGTGCATTCTTTGTCTTTGACATTGTTTAGTCAAACAAGCACCACGAGCCAGTGATGAATTGACTAACAGTAATACGAAGTGATCAATGTCGTGATCGAAGGCCATATTGTAGGGAACAGTCGACCGGGCTCGGTGTCTTGAGCGGGTGCGTTCCCCGAATTCGTGTGGAACCTCGCAATTTGCTCCGATTATTATGTCTCTTTCTGAACATATGCTTAAGCGAGACAAGTCACAGCATGCAAGCAGGGAAGATGTGGCCCGTGGGTTTATTAGTCAATTCGCACGTTTGTGATTCATTATTAATCCCCAGTCTTATGCCTCTAGGCAGGCCCAGTGACAGCCAACCGTCGTTTTCAGCTCGCATCCTCGGGAGCGTTATTTTCCATAGTGAGAATTGTTAGTTTGGCAAAGTAGATTATGACTTTGTTCACAGAAACAGAATAGCCCAGTGTACCTGTGAAGAGAATCATACTCGATGGTTTCTTATTCGTCTTCGCAGCATTCGGTTGCACCACGCTTGCCTCACCATGAGTCAGTGAGACCCATCGCCGTACTCAAACTTTTCGACCGTGGGGCAAGTGCTCGTTCTTCTAGCAAGGGTTCTGCAGCCTAGGAAATACGTATATTTATGGCTTAGTTTCGACAAAGTTGAGCGGTGGCTTTCAACTTTGAGGAGGTAACAATGGCGTGGGTGTCCCTCGGGGAAGGAAAGGGCAGACATCCGGGCTCTCATCAGAACCTTAGCTCTTCTCTCGAAACACCGTTTGGCTTGGTAAATTGGTCATTTCTTTTAGTGGTGTGTCGGTAGGCACACCAAGACAAACTACCCGATTCGCATTATTAATAGTGCAAAGCGGGTGATAGTACTCGAATATCCCTGGTGAGGAGCAGGTAGGAAAGCCCTTGATAGTATATAAGTGTCTAGGGGAGGAATTCGATAGGGAGATCCAGCTGACGATATGTGAAGTTTGGGACAAGAATCCTTGGACTGGCATGAGTGGAGGAACTTAGTTTGCTCTTACAAACGACCCCGCCAACAACCACATACAAAGATTGCCGCATAATCTCAATATACGATAACCAACAGTTTCTCTTCTCTTCATGTCTTTATTGTATTTTCTCCTTCCGGCACTTTATGTCAGGCTCTCACACAAGTGACCAGCCAGCTGCCCTCTGTGCAACTGTCTGATACTTCGTCCAACCTCCTGCGGTTTTCATTGTCACCTGTTCTTGGTTTTACTAGATTCTATTTCAAGAGATATTAGACTGGTACATCGTCTGCACTTTGAGGTCTGAGAGTAGTGAGAAGAATGAGCGCGTTGATGATCTTCGCTCGTGTTCAACGCCTAGCTTGCTCATCCTCACTCATTATGGGATTATTCCAGAAAAAAAGTCAAGCGGAACGAGGGCCCGGAGCGCTACGGGTCTTAAAGACACATCAAGAGGAAGCTATCGCGAGCCAATCAGAAAGTAAAGAGCCATATATGCTCCGCTTTAGCTAGTTTACGGCGTGAAGCTTGTGCTATCAATTATACTAGGGGGATACATTCATGTTTCAAGATTGGATTATTATTGCATTTGTTACCTCTTTTGTAGCTCTGAAAACGCAGTACTGGTATAAGAACAGCTCTACCTAAATGTATAGTGTCTTGTGCGTACATCCAGCCCCGTCATTCACGGTCGATAGATTGATTAAAGAACTATCTTAGTTAAGACTTTTAGCAATTACGTGTTTGTTTTGATGTACCTAGGCAAAGGTGCTTTTTTCAGTCACTTGTATACTTATCGGGACAAACGCGTGCCATAGCGTTGACTTGGTATAAAAAGGGGTCATTCACAGGTTGAAATTTAAACCCAACGTTATAAGAGGGTGAACACACACGAGTTAGCTTTTATAAGACAAATAGCTGTCATGATTAGACAAGTCTAAACTACTCATTGGCAAAGTTCATCATTTAGCAGCACGTGTAAGTTGTAACGATGTGATCTCATAAAAAGAGTATATTTTTCAGTTTGTTTTTAAACAATCCATGAAGCAAGAGGCCTGAATGGCTCATAGCGGAGGCGTAACACAATAAATAACAGTTTCATAAACCGTCGCCAAGGCAGCATCGCCGTGCTGAGATGGCGCACATGTAATTCCCAAGAAGCACTCGAATCCAATATATCGCTGATAATACAGTTGAGCTCCCACATCCCAGATCATACTTTGATGAGAAATAGGGGCTTTGGCCGCCTGGGCCTCAAATCGAAGCTTAAACGAAGGCAAGCATCTTACTCCGAGGATTCAGTGGTCTCGGCAGCGGGCTTCTTGTGGCGGCGACCACCACGCTTCTTGCCCTTGCCCTTGCCCTTGCCACCCTTGCGCTTGCGGCCGCGAGTCTCGAGCTCAGGCTCAAGAAGGTCACGGATGTCAAGCTCCTCGTCGAGATCGCGCTCCTCAAGCTCGTCAAGGTCACGGCTGTGGCGACCACCGCCTCGGCCACCTCCGCGGTCGCCAAAGCCACCACCTCCACGGCGGCCACCACCACCGAAGCCGCGAGCTGCAAGGAGGTCCTCGATATCACGAACGTCGAGCTCCTCGTCGAAGTCACGCTCATCGACATCACGACCGTGACGGCCACCACCGCCACGACCACCTCCACGGCCACCGAAGCCACCACCGCCGCGACGGCCGCCGAAGCCACGGACCTCAAGCTCATCATCAAAGTCACGCTCGTCGAGCTCGTCGATGTCACGAGAGTGGCGACCACCGCCGCGGCCGCCTCCGCGTCCTCCAAAGCCGCCGCCTCCACGACGACCGCCGAAGCCACGAACCTCAAGCTCATCGTCAAGATCACGGCTGTGACGACCGCCGCCACGGCCACCTCCACGACCGCCGAAGCCGCCGCCTCCACGACGACCACCGAAGCCGCGGACCTCAAGCTCCTCATCGAAGTCACGCTCCTCGAGCTCGTCGAGGTCGCGAGAGTGGCGGCCACCACCACGGCCACCTCCTCGGCCGCCGAAGCCGCCGCCTCCACGACGACCACCAAAGCCGCGGACTTCAAGCTCATCATCAAGATCGCGGGAGTGGCGACCACCTCCACGACCACCTCCACGACCGCCTCCACGGCCACCGAAACCGCCGCCACCACGACGGCCGCCAAAGCCACGGACTTCAAGCTCGTCGTCGAAGTCACGCTCATCGAGCTCCTCCTCAACGTCACGAGAGTGGCGACCACCACCGCGGCCACCTCCGCGTCCGCCGAAGCCGCCACCACCACGGCGACCACCGAAGCCACGGACCTCGAGCTCATCGTCGATATCACGAGAGTGACGGCCACCACCACGACCACCTCCACGGCCACCGAAGCCACCACCGCCGCGACGACCGCCGAAGCCACGGACCTCAAGCTCCTCATCAACATCGCGAGAGTGTCGGCCACCTCCACGGCCGCCTCCACGGCCGCCTCCACGGCCACCGAAGCCGCCACCACCACGACGACCGCCGAAGCCACGGACCTCAAGCTCATCGTCAAAGTCACGCTCCTCGAGCTCCTCCTCATCACGCTCCTCTAGCTCCTCATCGTCACGCTCCTCGAGCTCCTCGACATCGCGAGCAGCGGCGTTGACAAGGGTGTCCTCGTCGACGGATCGGAGGACAAAGTCCTGGACGGCGCCATCGGCACCCTCAGCTCGGACGGCGAAGTCGGTAGTGCCCTCGGTGGACTCGGCCAGAGCCTTGCTGGAAAAGGAGAGGAGGGCTGTGGCCGCGGCCAGGGAGAGTTGCTTGGTGGAAACCATTGTGAAGATCTGAGTTTTTGGTGTATAAGATCTGGGTTTTGTGTACACTTGGAAAGGATAAAACAAGCTGGCAAGTAGGAAGCTGGTATTGGTATCTGGATTCGAAGAGACGAAAGGAAAAAAAGGAGACGAAAAGGAAAAAAGGAAAAAAAGGAAAAGCTAAAGTTCGAAAAGGGGAACTGTCGCTTTGCTGTTTGTTTGGATTGGGTTGAATGGATTGATCGAGAGGGAGCAGAGAGAAGATGCCTTCATCTTATATAGAGATTCGACCCAACACCGAGTGATACTGCACCAGGGTGTGTAGGCAGTGCATGCTCACTCGCTCTCCGCTCACACCAAGACAGCCGTGGGGTATCGACGCGAGAATCCTTCTCGGGACGCAGTACGGAGGGGCCCTCCAAGTTCTGAGCCGGAGTGTCATCCACCCTCCATTCCGTGTGGACGACATCAGACATGGTCTGTTTCAGCTGCAGAAATATGAGTAATTTGCCGTTTGTGGCATCAGTTCCATGCTATGATGTGATTGTCATCACTGACACACTTGCAGCAGGAGGTTTTGGGGATGGCCGTGTGGCTTTTTTTAGATGCAGATCGTACTATTCTGGCACTACTGCAGGAGCTGTTGGAGGCCGTTGGGGTTCATGCTTGATGGAGAGACCGCAAGACATAGAAACACTGATACCAAGACATGGAAGCAACTCTGCGGTCTTTCGACAAACCTAATGGTGCGGGAGCTGCGACCAGAATCGGAGGATGGATTTGAGTATTCTCCTGCTGATTTCGCCGCCCAACTCTCCCGGAATGAACGCAATCAGATGCTGCTCTCGCTGTTCTGTGGCGATTTTCTTCACATCCAGCTTCCCAGGCCAGCGCCCTACAGCAACGCACGTTGCTCGAACAGGGGGCCGCTGGGGCAGATCCCGAGTAATACGTGCGTCCCGCCGACTAATCAACGTGTAAGTTGTAACCGAACCCAAACCAGCTCGCATCTCATCTGCGAAGGATTGGCATCCCCGGCCAGCCCAACTGCTAGCACCGGTCGCAGCAAATCAGCGCGGGCTGCGGCCACCTGGGGGAGGCAAATCCCAGTCTTGGCTTACTGTCCAAAGTCCCTAATGCAATAAGGCTTTAGGTCTTAGTGAAAGCTTGGTCGCGGCAATCGGGACCGACTTTTACCACTTCTACCGAGAGGAGGCCCATTGGCTCTGGGCACGAGCCAGTCATCAATATTAGTGGGTTTCTCAGGCGGAGATCCCTCACTGGTGCCATCACTAAGCCTGAGGTCATTGTCACTGAGCATATTTTAAGAATGGCCGTTTCACTGGCGGTTTACTGACGCAGCCGGGCCCTGAAAAGCGGGATCAATCAATGTACGTTTGACTCGTCTCGGATCCTCATCCATCGAGCTTGCGCAAGAAACACGAAACATCATGAGATTTCTCGAGCCTTCCGGAGACTTTTGGGGACTTTGTTGGCTGGCCGCGCGCGTCGGCACCGTTGGTCAGTCGTGCCGCGATCCTGCATGGCCCCAGCTGCCGACCAACGGCACAGAACAGGAGGAGACGAGGCCAGCAAGGTTCAGCATCTCCGGGGGCTGTTTGATGATTCGAGCTACCTTTGTCGGTCTCGTCTCCAGGGGTCAGCCAACAACACCAACCGCCAGCCCAAAATGTGCTCATCGCAGCTGACCTCGAGCTGGTTGGGCGCTGTTGAGGCACAGCAGCTTCTCCGGCTCCACGCCACGTCGACATCCTGCCTGTTTCACGTAAAGATTTTAAGACCTTTGGTCAGGCGGGTGGTGTGCCACATGCATGATTGATAAATAAGCGGCATCTGCAGGCGCCTCCATATGTAATGGTCTGCCTCCTATTTTTACTCGTGTGGCCCCACGGCTTGCGCAATCCGCCCTTCTAAGCCCTTGCAACAATTTACCCCTCAATCGCGATTTACGACCTCAGTTTGTTTTTGTTGATGAATAAGGAATGACTTCCGTCCAGGGATCTGCTCCAGATGACCGCACACGGTTAGGACTCGGAGCACACCATAGAGGTTCTCGTGCCCATGAGACGGGAGAATGGGCAGAACGTGACGCCACGAGCGCACTAAGATTGGGGGCATTTTATTTTGAGCCGTTCAAACAGCGTCAAGATCTTCGCATTGGCAGAGCTAAGCAAAAGGTTCGCTAGTGTTCACGGCGCCCATTCGACCCGTATCCGTCTGACTTTGACGTACACGACTTCTATTCTAATCTTGGCCAAACTGAAGCATTCGTTTCTCGATATAGTGATTTTTAGTGGATAGATGGAGGACTGATTCCGTGTGTGTTCAAGGAAGGCCTCCTTTGTCTTGTGTCGAGAATATGTACATTCACCTGCATCAGTGTTGGCTCTCATGCAACATGGCCAAGTAGACCCGCACCCAATGCTGCCAAGGCGGTACTTAGGAGCAATTTGCAAATAAACATAATATAACTCTATATTAAATGAGCTACTAGTCTTTTGAGACGTATTTCCCCTGCACCCCAGACTTGGTCTACCTCGTTTATCCTTCAGAACTGCCTATTCTATAAATAACGGCTCTGAATGGGACACCCGCATGTGTGTGGGCCATCTGCAATCAGCCTCACCAAGCTTTCCTGAATGCAGTAAGCGAGCAGGAGGTCGTTCTAGGGGAGGAGAACCGAGATGGCTGGCTGTGCTGCCCCGGCTTGGCCCATTATTTGGCTATACGACCTGAGTATACGTCGGCCTAGCCAGAGAGTACCGAAATTATGAAAGTGAGATCGGAATTATTAGTTGAATGAAGGACAGATTCAGACGCTTGGCGGCAGCGACGCTGGTATTCAGTGGACGGAGTTGGTGCCATGCGGTTAATGAGCGGCCAGCCACTTGAGGTTATCGCCTTTCCTTTTGGAACACAGGTGGATTGATCCATAAAGGACTTTGGTATGATTTGATCAATTCCCTAACATTCGCTGCGTCACAGTGCCGAGGAGTTGAATCCTTACCCCAGGTTGGCACTTTTGTATAGCTACCCTACATACCAAAGTTGCAAGACGGAAGCAGGAGGACACAGTCACTGTACATCGTTGACTGTTATGATCTCTCTCCAAATGGATTTGCTCATGTCTTGGTATCTTGGGCTGTTACGCGTAGTGGTGGTGAGCAAGAGACATTTAATTTATCATCACATCAACGATGGTGATGACATGTAGAAGTGTGATACCTAGGTACCCAACAATGATAATGTGATTATCCAAATATTACAGAAGTGAAGGTCCGACTGATTAGGAAAATGGAGCCTGGATTTGAATATTAAAAATAAATCAAAATTAATCTCGCGCTGTCTCCGCTAAACCCCTCACCATGGATGCTATCTTGACAATATCGCTTTCATTGCCTCCATTGCCTCATCCAATTTACCCACGGTCATACTTACATGACCATCCGTCTCCGAAATCCTTGCCTCTGCCCCTTGTATCAATTGGGCTGCTTTCTCAGCCATTCTAACAGGAGCATTCACATCCAACCTGCCGTGCCAAATCACGAATTGACCAGGGTCAACCTTGACATCCTCGAGGCGGAACCCCCAATCGCTCGCCGCAATCTTGGCCTCCCACGCTGACCCTTTGCTTCCATATCGCAGCGCCTGTCGCATATCCTCGATCAGCATCGACCGTGTCCTCCCGCCGTCGTGGTAGATGCACTCTCGGTCCGGCCCTGGCTTGTTCTGAAAGCTGTCATCGAAGACCTTCTCCAGCTTCTCCGGGTGCTCCTCGTCTCGCGCGGCCGAGCCAAACAGGTACTCGAACCCCTTCTCGACCAGCCACGGCGACCAAGGCACGAGACTAAGCATGATGCGGTTCTGGAGCATCATGCCGTCGATCCCCAGCTTCATGGGGTACATGGATGCCACGACACCGCCCCCGACACAACGAGTCCGCGGGATTTGATGCAGGCACGCGATCGTGTAGGGACCACCGCCCGAGACCCCGAGGACGGCGAACCGGTCGATTTTGAGATGGTCGGCAATGGCTAGTAGATCTGCTGGCCAGTCGATGAGCTGGCGGTTTGGGTCGTGGGTCGAGCGACCGAGGCCTGGCCGCTCGATAGCAACGACGCGGATGCCGTGGCGTTTGGCTGGCTCATCATACCCGAGAGCCTCAACGAGACTGCCGGGCAATCCGTGGTGGAAAAAGACTGTCGCGTCGGCATTGCTGTCACCGTAGACTCCGTAACAGAGCACGCGATTGTCCGGTAGGGTGAAGAGGGTTCCTGCTTGCTCTGGCGTCTCCATTTTCGATTGGCGCTTTGGCTTGGAGATGTCATGCAGAATTGGAAGCGGTCGCGGGGTGAGTTAAATACTTATTCTTGGTAGAGATAGGAGCGTCGCGCACGCTTCGTTAAGGTGGTTTCCCCCTTTTCAAGATGACACGGGCGATCTAGGATATTGCTGTTGCCTAGCTATTGATGGCTACGGTTTGAAGCATGGGAGTTGAAGCATGGCTGAATGGACAAGCAGGTGAGATAAGCCGTGAGACACTAATAATTTGCCGCTCCTAGTCCACTCCGGATGCACGAGTTGGCCATCAACCGACATTGATGATCATAATACTAGCCAATAACAGTCTGAATTCTTGTCGAATCTCTCCATCTCGGGCAGCTGTATGGGTTGGTCCGTTGATACTGATGTGTGTAGGATGACAATTGCAGCCACGCATGCCTTGGAAGCATGTTTCATGTCTGGTGTTCTGGGGAGACAAGGGGTACCGGAGCCGAATATCCTGGTAAGCATTGTCAGATCGAGGCAAGGCAGCCACATTTCGCAGTACACACCGACCAGGATTTGAGCGCATCCGGGTCCGAACAGTCGAAGTCGGACATCACCCTGTCTTATTGCGTTGGGTAAGATTCATAACTCACCCGGTGATTATGAGTGATTCAAACTGATCATATTCTGAATCCATGGTGCTAAACATAATAACAAGAACATAAATTACTCCACGATATTTAGCTTACTATTGTGTTTATTACTAGGTTGATTACTTTGATTATGTGTCGAAATTTAACGCTGGAGGCTCTAGGTCTATCACGTTCTATGTCAGTCGCTTGCTCGCCAACCTACGTCCATTGTCCGGGGTAAGTATGCTGCACCTTCTAAATTACTGATCTCGAGTGATAGAGTTGACAACAATGTTGAAGAACATCAAATGCGTGGCAGCTTGGCATCTATTAGCCACGGCATTTGAGGATGCCCCCCTGCCGCAGTTTGGATGGATGCATTCACAAACAGAGTGTCCGACCCTTTTTGAATGCTGGCCACATTCCTGGAACATCGGCTAGTATCACAGAATCCCTGGGATAGCATTTCTTCCAGCCTTTTCTTCTTCGCATCGGCCATGTCTGTGTTGTCGAATTTTCCAACTGCAAGACTCTGTAGACTCTCGATGGACGTCGACTTTTCGTTATCGATGTCGGTAAAATGAGACGGATTCTCCGACGCTTTCTCCCTCCAATGAACCAATTTAGCTCCCCATCCCTCATGGATGTGCCCGAAGCAGTGCAGTTTTGGTCGCTGGCGAGCCACGGCGGCAAAAAGATGAGGACATCCAGCCCGCTCGCTTGAGAGGGTGCGATCGAGAACCCCTTCTGGCGGGACGTGCGTAATAACAACGTCCGCTTCCCCTATGTCCTAGGTATGCCCTACCTCACGCGAATATTGAAACCCCATGTTTCCCTCTGAGGGGGTATATGGGCTGGCGTAGAGCAGCAGACGGGCCCCATTGCTCAGGTGGAATTTGTGGGTGCCCTCCGTCAAAAGTCGAATCTCCGGATATGCCGCGAAAAGATCTCCCACTTTTCCATACTTTCCATAGGTCTGCTCAACCAATTCCGCCTCCAGATCACCATTTTGAAGAAGTGCGGCTTAAGCCAGCCTGTCAAGCGTGAAGTCATGGTTTCCGGGAACCACGAGCTTCAGGGACGCCTTGATGTTGTTGATCATCTCGAGAGTAGACTCAAACTCGTGCAATTTCGATTGGCCTGTTAAGTCGCCGCAGTGGATGAGGACATCGGCGTAAAAATCGGGCCTGAAGGCTGTAGGAAGGCCTTCGCCATGGGTATCTGATATGATCAGAAATCTGGTTTTTATGTTAGAGTTATCCATGGAGGTGTAATCCGTCAAGCACCAATGATGTTTTAGAAGAAGGAAGGAGAAATATGAAGAGGGTTTATTATGCGACAGCGCTCTTTGTAGGTATGCTACGGTCTACATCGCAAGGTTCCAACTTGCATGATGGCTTAGGCAATAGAATGAAACTAAGTTCACCTGACTTATGAACTATCTTGTCCCTGTTCTAAATTATTGATTGTATGGAAAATTTAAATCGACAAAAACTAATAGAATTATTTATTTTGAGGTCTTCTTCCGGTCTTGTACCTATAAAAGCTGTTAGGTCGGGAGCAGCTCGTTGCTTGCGCACAGAGTCAGAAGCTCAAAGCGCTCGGCGATGGTAACTTTTCGGACCGAATTTAGCCATATTAAAAAGAATAATTTGCCTCTCGGAGCTCACCGCTTCTTCTTGATAACAAGAAGGACGCCAGTGGTATCGAGAGAAATCAACTCCTCACCGGGCTCCACACCGGCCTCATGCTGTAGCTGCCTGATGTCTTTGAGGAGCCTCTTGACCAAGTCGTTCTCCGTGCCTACATCATCAGGGTGGGCCTCTCGCCACCTGGTGATGGGACTGAATGTGCTCAGCATATCTTCGAAGCCATCCAGGTTGAGGCTAACATGAGATTTGAAGAAATCATCCCCGCTCTTCCAATGTCGACGGAAGAAGGAAGATTCTTCGAGCTCAGCGACAGGGTTTGAGATTGTCCAGGGGAGTGGGAGATCGGCATAGCAGTTCTGACTCATGTCATTACCTGCTTGTAAGAATCTAGCCAGGTCCTCAACACGATATCGGGTTACGATAGTCTGTATAGTAGCTGCATTAGGGACCGAAGAATGAATGCGAGTCTCCCCATTGACCCAGATGGCGACGCTGCCACCAGGTTTGAGGACTTGCGCAGCCTTGGGCCAGAATATGTCCATGTCGAACCAATGAGCAGAAGTGGCAGCCGTAATGAGGTCCACGCTCTCATCGGCAATCGCGGGGTTAAGGTTAGCTCCCAGCTCCTCAGCAGCTGAAACCTCGAAGCGAATCGGCTTCGTAGTGGAGGTCTCGCCACCCAAACTTCGGGCGACGCTGATCATTGATGCCGAAGGATCCAGCCCAATGGCCGTCTTGAACTGAGGAGCGAGAGCACGAGCAGCTTGACCAGGCCCGCAGCCCAGGTCGACCAGAGTATCTAACTGACCACCGGTAGATGTGTGCTGATTCATGACGGCGTCATAGAGGCTCTGGTGGTAGTCTGGGCGAGACTGGGCGTAGACTTTGCCCTGCTGCTCGCTGTAGCCAGTGAAAGTTGTATCAGACATGTTTTATTACTTGCAGAAACAAAGAAGTATGCTTGTACAAAAAGCTGAAGACTAAGAAGAAATGAAATGGTATCTTGATCGCTCGCTGAGGTAAAGCTAAGGTATGAACACTGACTGAAACACTGATTAGGACGAGATGGCTATTAAACCTCCGGGCTGTATATGTATTTGACATGCAGAGCCTGGATTACATATCGTAAATACGCCTAGCCCCCAAGTCTTGACGTAAGTCTGACGGCGTTCGGGGGTTTTGTGAATCTGGAAGCCCGACCGTGTTGCATCGGAGCTTATCATTGAGCGGAAGGAGTTTTCATGATTATCTGAATCTCCGTGCCGATGCCAAAGTGGCAGACTTCAGTTAGTAGCCCGCTAATTTAGAGAGCCTTAGTCTACTATTTATCTGACAAATGGTAATCTCTATCTCATGATTGTCATCCCAATACTCAATTCTAGGAATCACTTTATGGTGGGTTTCAAGCGAGCAATGCCCACTGCCAGATCCCATGCGTTCTTCGCCGTGGAAATGACCCTGATAATTCTACAATTTCTTTCTGCGGACGCAAGTATCAAGCTGAATGGTAAATGGTTTTATTTGACAAGGCCTGACTGCCCCGTGGGCTTGAGTGGCAGGCATATCCTGTTTGGCGTCGATGAGTAGGCAGCCGTCACTTTTAGGGACTATACAATGACCCGATTCCTTGACTGGAGCTCAGCGCGGAAATTCAAGGCTGACTCTAGAAACTGACTCCTTCCCTTTTTCATGTATGATCACATTGTTCTTCGCAGCACGAAACAAACTCGCCTTGTTCCAAGAATCTCGCGACTAACGCCTCGGCAAGCTAGGCTTGTGAGCCCGTCTTTGTTTATCTGTTACTCATCCCGCACTCTGGAAACGTCTCGTGCCGTATTGGGTACCAGATGCGTAAGAAACTGCTGCCAATAGGGTAAGGAGCGCCGTAGTGGCCACCCAATTTCGAGCCGTGGAAAACATGTCTCAACAAAACTGATTGTAACACGATTAAGACTAAGCTGTGGTAATCAAAAGCTCGCTTATTTTAGTCCCTATCTAATACTACAAATACAACAGAAACAGCGTTTTCGCTTAAAGCTATGCCATCAAGGACGGCCAAGGATAAACCCCATTGAGTTGCAGACACCGAATCGCCTTTAGCAACAACCGTCTGCGTCATATAACTTCTGGGCTCTTCTTACTCCTCCAACTCCTCCAGGTCCCGAGTCCCGCGGTGCCCACCGATACGAGGTTGGCTACCGCCACGGACGGGAGCAGGGTGGTATCCGGGACTGTTGCGTGCGCGGGCGTAAAGTTCGCCCTCATAGTCGTCGATGCTTCGGGTTCTCTTGCCGCCCTGTCGAGGGCCACCTGCGTTAGGTCCCCAGGTGCGAGGATCGTCTCCAGGTCGGCCGTGCCTGGTGCGGGTGAAAAGCTCGCTCTCGAAGTCGTCAATGCTTCGGGTTCTCTTACCACCCTGACGAGGACCACCTGCGTTAGGCCCCCAGGTTCGCGGGTCGTCTCCAGGCCGGCCGTGCCTGGTACGGGTGAAGAGCTCAGCATCATAATCACGGGTTCTCTTGCCGCCCTGTCGAGGGCCGCCTGCGTTAGGTCCCCAGGTGCGAGGATCATCTCCAGGTCGGCCGTGCCTGGTGCGGGTGAAGAGCTCAGCTTCATAATCACGGGTTCTCTTGCCGCCCTGTCGGGGACCGCCTGCATTGGGTCCCCAGGTACGAGGGTCATCTCCAGGTCGGCCGTGCCTGGTACGGGTGAAAAGCTCGGCTTCATAGTCGTCAATGCTTCGGGTCCTCTTGCCACCCTGTCTGGGGCCTCCTGCATTGGGTCCCCAGGTACGAGGATCATCTCCGGGTCGACCATGTCTGGTACGAGCCTCAAGCTGTACGGGCTCGTCTCTCTCTACGAGGTAAAGACCGTCAGTGGACTCATCGATGCCCATAGCAAGTCCCTTGCTGGCGAGGCCGAGCCACACGAGAGCCGCAAGGCCAAGGTTCTGAATAGCGACCATTTTGAAAAATAAAGAAAAAGGTTGTGTGGTAGTTGGAATAGTCAAATGAATGGGCTGTGGTAAAATCAGTCTAGGAGGCCAGCTTCTAGGTGTAATCTGTTTCTTGGCGGAGAATGGAAAGTTGTTTGTTGCTTGTAGATGGGAAGGCTCATGTAGACGAAGAGGAACTGGAGATTTTATACTCTTTTACCCCAAACCTCAGGGACGAAGGCTAAAATTAGCCGCTGGGGTAGGACAGAATAGAGTGAGGCAGAATCAGTTCTCATTTTTCGAGCATCACTCACCTTGCTGGAAGGGTCGGGCCCAAAAATAGCGACGTTAATCTTCTCATCGCAGGGGAGGTTTCCGTTGGTCTTTGCTTTATTGCGTGCGTGACTCTAGCCTGCCACTTACCGGTATAAAGTGGTGCTGAAATCTGACATCTCAACCTCTACATGCGGACAAAAGTGGCTCTTTGGATTGAAATCCCTGGCAAACGCGTGGACACGACTGGTGTCTGGATCCGAATCCCCAGAACAACCTAGAGCAAACACAATGGCGAGACAACCGTCTGAGCGTGGAGTCCGTAAGCTGACTGACCCACCAGCCTGTTATTGCCTAGCCTCAGGGGTTGATATTGGATCTTGCTGGGGGTTCGGCATCTGTTCCAGCACCTCTGCCGACGTCTCGTTGAGGAGCATTACCGACGCGGTACTTGCGGATGCAATCAGAAACGCTGGAGCCAGGCTGGGGAATCCTACGGGATGTGAAGACTGAACACTGTCGCACCATATGATCTACCAGCCAAGGTATGGCCTGGAAGCTTAGCGTCACGTATCTTGTTTGGTGGATTGCTTCTCCGGAAAGAGTGGTATTTATCAGGTTTCTATTTTTAGTTTACCTTCCGGTATTAATTCACTACCGCGGGCAAACGTATGCCTTGTGGCTTTGGCATCGGAGTCTGGTCTCTGCTGTGGCCTGTCCTTTCATGAAATTCTCAATTTATTAGTCGGATGCTTATTGAATTGAAAATACAAATTCGGTTCATTCTGAACCTTTCAAGGCCTTATTACTTTAGCGTTCAATAGTTCCTCCAAACCGTATCTGGCTGCGACACCGCACCACCATCGAGGATTTTCTGGTGCTTGTTGATTATTCGGTGTTGAAGTGTGGAGTTGAATCGTAAAGTGCCGACCCCTTCAAAAACAGCGTCCCTTTATGATTTCGATAGCCTCAGTCTGTCAAGCAATCCTGAAGCATCTTCCTCACAATAATCCAAGCCGCAAAAGAAACGTGCCAAGTGGACATTGTTTGTACATCCTGTCGAGACCTGCCCTTCCCCAGGAAGTAGACAGCTTACTATGAAGCACATCTGCGGCTATCCTGTATAATTCTTTCCCGATTGGCCGTTCATGAAGATTACATAAAAGAATAAACAAGACGATATATTCCGGCGATCTAAACCTCATAGAGCTGATTCGCCGCATAGCCAAAAGACTGCGAGATGTGCTGAGGTCTCGAAGGAACTCATGGCAGAGGTTCTCAACCACCAAATATGGGAACGAAAACATGTCACTCTCTTTGTTCAAGCTGTGACCGAGTTCTCTAGTAAGAACATTTGGAAAGAGTTTGCCATGTTCAGTGGGGTTTGAAGCATATTTGGGAAATTTCTCTTGTGCTGCGTTGTTCGCAATAATGCAAGAGTCATGTCCGTCGCCGCCGTGATGCAATGACCCGAATTTGCTGAGGGAGAGGAGCCATTCCACATCTTCTGGCCCCATATCGACTCGCCTTGGGTCTTGGACATATCTCTCCATGAAGAAGACGCATAGAGGAGTTTGTGACCCGACAGTTCGAATTTGTTCGGGGGTTCTGGGGAAAGATACTTGCAACCGTTCATTGGAAGGATTCATCATTCTTCTCAAGGTAAAAACAGATGCCCCTTTCTTCAGAGCAAGCGACTTAATAATCGCTCTCGTGCCGCTTGGTCTGTCGACGTTGGATTCGGAGTTGAAAATGGCGCCAAGACCGAGTCTATTCTCAATCTCTGTCAAGTCTTTCTAGTCCAAATTGAGAATGTCCTCGGAATATAGAGCATGGCAAAGATGGGCGACATCTTGGATAACTGCGATAGCCCTAGGACGAGTGCTAAACTCATACAATCTTGCTCGGAAATGGAAGATAATTATACCACATAGAATCGGCGATGTCTTGTAGAGATGGTGTCTCACATATGGGAGAGGTGGCTCCATGTTGTTTCCCCTGGCAGCTCTATCATAGTCTTCAAAAAGTTCATCCTTTTTGATAAACCTCAGCCCGTCCCGGATGTTGTGTACAATTTCCGTATCCTCCCTAGATTTCTGCTCGGCAGTAGTAAGATATGATTCAAGAGTGCTCTCAATTGTTTTCAGTTCTTGTTGCATCTTGTCAACAATTTTTAGGGCATCTTTTCCAATATGATGATTGATGTCAAGAGAAACCTGACCGGCAAACACCAAGAAGAAAGTCATTTTCTCGGACTCCAAGACACGTCCGACTTCACGATTGAACTCGTCGAGGACTGGGAGCCCCTTGACGTAGCTGTTCAGATTGGCTGATAGCACAAATAAGTTGCCCAGAAACCCATAATCAGCCGCCATCTTTTCATCATTAGACATGTGGTCTCGAGAGACCGCGGGGTCGTAGTTCTCGAGACATCGAGGAACCTGTTTAATCCATTTATTGTGAACGAGGGACAGGCAAGTGTTTAAAGTTGATGTGGCAGACAAATAAAAACGTTGTCTGAGCGCATCTACATTAGCGTCGGGGCAAATGCCGCTCAGCCATTCGCTTGTCGTCCAGTTCAAGAACTCGAAAAATTTGACCATACCACCGTGATGCTCAAAAATGGGTTCGGCTTGGTGGATGATAAATCTTGCAAGGTCCAGCCCAATGTTTGAAGTTATTGCGGCTGCGGGCAGGTCCCAGCAATCATCCTTGAAGCGACGCCAACTAGAGATAATCTCATCGCGGATGTTCGAAAGATCTTTCAACAGCATGTGGGCAATGTCTTTTGCATCCTCGAAGCTTGTTGGTTGTTCAGCTTCATAGAAGTTTGGGTCGTTTATGACAGGCTCAGGTCTTTCCATCGCCATCATATGTGTGAATTCCTCTGGAAGTTGATTTATTCCGAGCGAGGCGAATCGATTAATGTTTGCTGCGTCCGGTATATCTTGACCCGAAGTTGGGCAGAAAACAGAAGCTGGAGAGGGTGACATACTCGCTTTCGAGCTGAGAATATCGCGGGTACGCTCCAAGACGGTGACGAAGTGTGAGTGTTTCTTATTCTTCTCGGTATCCAAAGTCTCTCCTTGATGAGAAAGCTGTGTGGCAAAGTCTGATCTCGCAATGATGGCTCTCTCGATGGCTAAAATGACGCAAGCAGGCACCGTTATGACTGGATCTTTCTGAGAGGTGACGTATTCTGCGAGAGGGATAAACTTGCTGACAGGAATGATGTATGTATTGCTGTCTCGGGATAGCTTCTTCGACTTGCCTAGCTTCCTATCTTTACCCTTGAGACGATCAGAAGTGGTAGGAGAGTCGGTGAGTAGAGATAATGGACAGCCTGCAGCTCTGGCAGTTGAAGCGAGCCATGCGGCAACTGAGTTCGTGTCCTTCTTGTACTCTTTGTACACGCTGAGGAGCGGCGTTGGGGGCATCTTGAGTGATTTGGTGGGTGTGGTGCGGATGAAATTTTGGAGGAGGAACGGAAAAGAGGAAATCAAGGATGAGAGAGGAGAGGAGAAAGGCAGAGATATAAAGAAGAAAAAGGAAGACCAGGAAGGCAACACGCCCAGTCTGCTTGTTGACACTGGATTGTCCCATAGCCTCTGTGGCCGGTCGTCAACAGCTGCCAACTGCGTGAATGACGTGTAACACTGTGTGATGATTGGTAACAGGCAGCCGAAATGTAAGCGCATTGTGAGAACATTGAGGCTTGGATTCCCAAGCTTGCCATTCTTGAACAAGCCGAGATGGTTACTTGGCCAGAAACGAAGATATGTTTCTTTTAGAACTTTACCCTGGTTTTAATGCCATATAACTAGCCGGTGTCATTAACTCTTAGGTCTGTCTGGGTGCTCAACGCCGGTTGTCGCTCAGATCTGTGACTTGACCGGCTGTGTACCTTTTCAGGGATTGAGAACACACCTACTGTCACAGGGCTGTTTATTGATAGCGAAAGACCTAAACTTAGCTGGTACTTGTGTTCTTCATTTTGGGGGTTGAGACACATCCGGAGCCTAAGAGAGACCTTCTGCAACATTACATTGGGAGGTTAGTTCAAGGGGAAAAGAGCTCTGAACCATCTGATATCGCCGCAAGGTGGAAGAGGCTTAGGTGAAGTCAAATTTTGTGTTTCTGTGTCCTAACAAGGAGTGCATACAAACGTTCAGAGTGTGAAAAGAGTGTTTTGAAACAAGCGAAGATTTGATCATGTCAAAATTCCACGCTATGGTTCATTGATCTCTCCATCCCAGCCTAGATGTACTCCGTCGGCCGGCTATCACCACTTGTGATACATGACGCAGCAGGTCTCGCTTCTCGGCCCACACTTTATGCAGGCTGACCGAACCTTGAACGTCACTGGCCGTTGCCTTCTCGTATTAGGCGCGAATGCAGAACTAAAGAAGCGGGGTATGTTGCTATCTTGACGTCCAAAGTTCATGCGACGTCAAGAGATAAATAGTTTGTCACCTCCAAACTCGCGTATACATTCTGCTGGGGATAAGTTTGTGGCCTACCTACCAGCTCGCCTACATCCAGCATCGTCGAGAAGCAGCTATGACCAGTTTAGGGTTGATAATTGAAAAGGCCAGCCTCCTACACCCAGGACCAGGAGGGGCTATTGCAATTGTCAAGGATGGAGTGCCCCTCGCCCAGCGGGCATGGGGATTTGCTGATCTCAACCAGCGGATTCCAATGACAACGGAAACCCCATTCCCAATCTGCTCCATTACCAAGCAGATGGTTTGTGCTGTCCTGCAGACTCTCAGGGACAATCCCACGCCGACCATGCCGACAGACGAGCCAGTCAGTGACCAGCTCGAGGCAAACCTGAAAAAACTGCTGCGCCGCAACTTTTGTGAGGACAAGAAGCTCTCTATCCAGTTGCTGTGCGATAACCAGTCTGGGATCCGCGATTATTGGGCCACCAACACTCTTCTTGGCGCCAAGCCAGACGACCACTTCTCCCTCGAGGCTGATGCGCGCGCAATGATTCACCGTGTCAGGTCTCTTCATTTCAAGCCCGGCACCGAGTTCTCTTATTCCAATACCAACTTCCACATCCTTGCCCGGGTCGTGGAAATGACGAGTGGCCAGTCCCTCTCCAAGTTGCTCGAAGAGAGATTGTTTCGCCCCGCGGGAATGGAGACAGCCGTGCTCTGCCCATCCACCGAACACCAGCCAGGGCCGTGTGTGGGATATGAAGGCGGACTTAAGCAGGGCTACTTCCCTGCCAGGAACCGCATCGAGTGGTCTGGAGATGCAGGCGTCGTTGCTTCGCTCAAGGACATGCTCGCCTACGAGCTCTATCTTCAGAAGATCATACGCGATTCCAAGAGCTGGTATCATCAACACTCAAAACATGGGACCTTTTCAGACGGAACCAAATCCGCTTATTCCAACGGATTGTTTTTCGATGAGATGGATGGATCGGTGCTCATCGGCCATGGCGGTGCCTTACGCGGCTACCGCATCAGTCGGACCCATTCGCCTTCCCAGGGCCTTTCAGTTGTCGTGATGCTCAACTATGAGGCGGATGCGGAGAGTATCTCGAAGTTTGTCCTACGAGAGATCCTCGCCATTTCTAAAGCCCCGACTCACATGACGGCTCCCGTCAACCCGTGGCATTTCGAGGTGGCAGGCGAATGGACCGGCAACTTTTTGGATTTAGACACTTTTCTTTCCATCAGAACTAAGATCACGGGCGAGAAGACTGTCTCGATCTTATACTCAGGGGAAACAGAAGAGATTCAGCTGAATGAATCCAGAAAAGGGATCTCGCAGGACATGCGGGCTGAGATTGATGGTGACACGCTCAGAATCCACCGCTTGAAGGACAACAGGATGCTCGAGGGAATCCGTCTCCACCCGAACCAAGCATCTCGACGCGAACCTACTATGCTTGGAACATACGAATGCACTGAACTTGGCTCTAGCTTTACGTGTTTTGGCCAAGGAGAGGCACTGTATGGCGCGTTTGACGGGCCGCTGGGTCACGGACCGGCATCGCCCATGAGTTATCTTGGGGATAACGTTTGGGTTATTGCCTGCGCGCGCGGTCAGGATGCTGACGCGCCTGGTGACTGGACTCTCGTGTTTGATCGTGCCGATGCCGAGACCGGTATTATATCTGGGGTGACGGTTGGCTGCTGGTTGGCTCGCAAGTTTGGGTTTATAAAATGGGGATTCTAGGTAGTTGCTTAGCATGAACTTTTCACTCATCCTTCATTCCCGCTGTTAGTGAAGCCTCTGAAATCAGTCCTAAGCCGTTTGAGACTAACGTGTGGGGAGATTTTTATGAGACTTAATTCGGTGTAGGTAATATCGACAAGTTCTATATCCGTAGAGATCAGATATAAGCACATGGCCACTCTTGTAGCAAGAATTAGGGATACTGGTGACAACTGGTTTTCCAACCCCTAATGTTCTTTTATTGGACTATCGAAAACTCGCGTTGGTGAATCGGTTTAGTCTCGCTAGAATGTCAAGTTAGGACAGCAGGGTGAACCATATAATACTTCCCTAGGCACCACAGGTCGAGGGAAAGCGCATAGGGGAGCTTATCGAACAGTCCCGTACCCGATGAAACCTTCTGGTTGAAGCGTTTGATACGTTGGGTGAAGAGGCTATTAATAATGTTAAGCTGTCGTACACCGGCTTCACTCACGTTCGGTCTGATGGTTAAATTAGGCAGGAGTAGTTACTACGGCAGTGTGAGAAGTGTTTGTCCTACGACACGTCTTTGCCACTTGCTCACTCCACATTCACGTCCAACTCCTACGTGACCTCTGCTCAAACCCCAGCTCCTCTGATTCCTTTTCTTCCTCCCACACACAGCAGCATAATCCAACCAAGAGCCTACACGCCGCTTTCTATTGCACGCAACATCAGAATTTCCACAGATCCTAGTGCTCAAGCGTTTCTTTATATCATCTGGACTGCTCTATTGTTCCCTAGCCTTACGGCAACGATGGAATCTGATGACCAAACTTCGACTCCAACCCGCGAAAAAGAGCCGCTTGAGGATGAGCCCGGAAACCATCCTCGCGCTGGCACTCAATCCTCCAACATTGCACAACAGCGCCAGGAATTCCTTGACCTGTACCGTGCATCTAAGGTAAGTTATCATGATTCGTATTGCGTTTCTGTTCTTGTTTTTCTCGTGGACTGGCTTGAGACTGATAAACACGCAGGTTGTCGTAGTGTCTGGAGAACCCGGCAGTGGCAAGTCCACACAAATCCCCGAATTCGTTCTCTCGGAAGAGTCCAACAGCGGCAAGCGGGTGGCTTCGGCCCAGCCAAACACAACGGCGACAACTTTGCTCGCGGACCGGGTGGCGACTAAGCTTGATTGCGAGGTTGGCAGTAAAGTTGGCTACAGCATTCCAGGAGACGACAGAACCACGGACGAGACACTCCTAGAGTTTACAACTGCTGAAAAATTGCTGTGGAAGCTTCAGAGTGATGGCATGCTATCAAAATACGTAAGACCTCTACTACATATCTTCTTTCTTTCTGCATAGAAAATGCTCACTGAGAATCAGGGCTGTATCATCATCGACGAGGCCGACCAGAGAACTAAGGCTGCCGATATATTGTCGATGGTTCTCAAAGGCTTGCTTCCCTTCCGGTTCGCTTTCAAGGTTGTGATAATTTGCAGCAATCATGAAACGACTTCGTTGCTCACGTATTTTGACGGTTTTGCTATCTCGACCATGACTATTGCCAGCCACAACAAGCCGGCCATCGTTCAATACTGCCCGAAGCTGAATGGTCGAGTGCTTGCCGATGTTGTGGAACTTGTCCTCGAAATCGAGAAAGTTGAACATGAGATGCATCTGGCTGTGACACCTACCAACCCTGGTCACATTCTTGTTGTCCTCGCAACCGCCAACGACGTCAAACTTTTCTGCTCCCAATTTGAGGGCCGGGCAACAGCCCTAGAAATCGTTCCCTTTCACGAAGATCTCAATATCGACGAACAGCGAGACGTTTTCATTTCCTCTCCTCGGCAAAAGTGCATCGTCAGCACAGAACTGATTAAGAATGGTTTTTCTGTTGATGGTGTTACCTACGTTGTTGGTATGTTAATAGTTTCCCTTCTGTTCTTCCTTCTTTTGTGCCTTATCTTCTTTCAATCTTCATTGACACTCGGCGTTTGCAAAATAGACTCAGGGTTTATTGAAACCAAAGCCTTTGATCCAGATGCTCGGATGGAAATGACATCCATCGAAGCCGTTTTCAAAAAGAATGCTGACCGACGCGCCGCTCGAGCGCCATCTGGTGTGTGCTTCCGCCTCTACAGCGAAGCAACCTTTGATGGTCTGGAACTACAGAGATCGCCTGAGTTTCTCCGCACGAGCATGGCCTCGGAAATCCTTTTGTTGAAAACACTGGACTACCGCAGCATGAACGATCTCCATCTCCTTGATCCGCCCAGTACATCGATCGTCGCAAGAGGAATTTTGGAGTTGGAGACTCTGTAAGTTATGTTTCTGGCAAGAACCTAATATCTGCCCTCATTCAAAACACTCGGGCCTTGATTTCCCTTTGCATTTTATTTCGAATGTATATTAACTTTTGATTTCTAGTGGCTTGGTCGACGATGACCAGTTGCTAACAGAACACGGCAAAAAGGCATACCGTTGCATGACATCTGACACTCCGATATCTCTCGTCTGGTACAAAGCAATTGTCGAAAGCTTCCGCTATGGCGTGCAATACGACATGTTCTGCCTTGCCGCAATTTTCAATTCTCCCCGACCTATCTTTGTTCACGCTGCTGAGGCACATGCGCGCTCTAATCCTGCTCTGGGCAGATTCGTATCTCACCAGTCTGATCATCTGGGATACATGCATGCATTATACGCTTACGAAAGGGTGCTTGAGGAAGAACCTGAACTTGTCGACTTACTTTGCTTGGAGTCCTCCCTCGACAGGACAGCTCTGGAGGCCGTTGTCAAGTTTCGTGCCCAGCTTCTTGATTTCTTCAGCAACCTTCGAATGGGGGCTGTAAGTCGACCAACAGCTCGTGAAGAAACTCGCTGTGACATTGTGAAGAAAGTCCTGGCCAAGAGCTTCTCCCATCAAGCCGCGTTTCTGGACGATGCAATTCATGGATACTACAAAATCCGCAGCGGTGGATGTATTTCTACCATCAAAGAGACCAGCTGCTTGACTGAATTCAGACCAAAACATGTCATTTTCGACAAACTGACTTCTGCTGCTGGCAACTCGCAGATGGAAGTTGTGACGAAGATTCAGCCGGAATGGCTTCCAGTAGGTCCCCTTGTTGTCATTCTCCAACTGGAATTTGAGGTTCGATAGCTGACTCCTACTCTTAACTATAGTTTGACGCCGTGTATTTGAAGGAGAGAAGAGCTTTTTGTAGAAAGAAAGCTCCTCGCGACGAAGAGGAAACAAATCTGCTCAAGTTTGTCCTTCGGCGATGCACCAAACAGCGAGACCAGAGAAGTAAAACGTCCAGGTCGCGGGAATTGGGAGCCGCTAGCTCGAGCGCGCGATCTCACTGAGCACATCCACGCGAGATGACCGCTGATTACCTCCCACGAGCTCGTCTATTGATCATCCAAATGTCAGTCTTGTATAGGATGGCTCTTGAACCTTCTGAACCGCGCACAGTCCAATATATAGATTGGACAACTCTTACCTATCAGCTGCATATTGCTCTAAAACCATTGTCAGTCTGCTACACGATTTCTCTGAATTTATCCCGTTCATCGCTAACACAAGATAACCTTCGGTGCAGTCTGCGACGCGTTGTTACAGAATCAAGACTGAACTGGGGGAATAACTGTGATTTGATTTGAAATTTTGATTTCATTTTTGTAGGGTGTCATATTGAGGATCATGTTGACAACGGCTGTCATTGGCACAAGTGAAAAATTGTTTTTTGGTGGGCATTAATGGTCACAATTTGGAAGAAGAGAGAAAATCGAAAATGAGGTTGTGTAAGGCTCGCTGGGGCTCAGGATTCCTCTGAGGGAAACATCTTCGAGTCGTCGAGTATGCGGTAGCTTTGTCGCCATTTAGGTAGTTCCATAATCACTGTCTATTATTGTTTTGATACAATGGAGAATTCTGAAGCCGGGTAATATAAGGCTCCCGCAGCATGGAAGATGTAGTGTCTATTAAACCTGACCGAGGGTCCTCACGAATGCGTTCCGAATGGTATTGAGGTGAGCACCGCGGGTGAAATACCCCTCTTCTTTCATTGCTCCTTTGTTAACTTTCACGTTTTGGAGTTGACTCCCAGCTGAGCGATTTTCACTTCTGTTATTAGCCAGCTCAACTTATCTACTCCCAAGAAGGTGTCCGTTCTCGGTATTCTTCTCGTCGGCCTTGGGTAAGTTACTTCACAAGCTCATCCAACTTTCTTCCTTTGACGAATGTGGCTAAGGATCATATCAACGCAGAGTGTGTTCAGCAAGCATTGCCAGTATCACTGCCATCAGGAGACGGTTTCCCTTAAATCTTAATCGTTGGACTCCTCCTTATGGTCTTTATATTGGTTAAACATGGATTTTGAGGAATATACTTTACTGTATGGCCTTATAAGCTTAGGTAGGATTTTCATTAGCGAAGACTGTCTTTGTCTATGTAGAATGTAGAAGCGTATGTATAGTACTGCCTTATCTAATGTCTATATCTTCTTCCTCTATGGAGGAGCTAGAGTCTTAACACTTTTAATCACTAGTAATTTCCTCCATCACTGGGTACCTATATACTTTATTAAGATTGTCCTAAATCTTGTTATGGATTTCGTAGGCACCAGTGTTAACCCATTAGGTGCGTCTATGAGGTCTCCCCCTTTTAATCACAAATTGATGGGGATTATCAAGAGCCTGTTAATTTGACTCGGCGCTTCCAGTTTGAGATTTTCCTAGATGTACCGGACAGGATGACACTGGAATATGGTGAGGCAGAGAAAGACGAGGAACCAGATGAAGCAGGCAGTGGCAGTGACAATAATGATGTTGCGCTGGAGCGTGCTGACGTAGAAGATTTTCCAGTAGAAGATGAGGAGGCTGGTTTTGACGAGGGTGATGATGACGCAGAAAATGATCTCGTCCGCGAAGACCATCTGATGCGGTTTGGTTAGCTTCATGATTCCATTTAATCACCACGCACTTCATCCACCGCAGACGCTGTTCACATCGTACCTTCATAAATTCCTGACGCTTCCAGATGGATATTTTTTTCGTCTTCATCGGCATGCCTTCAAATACACCAATACTCGACACATTGAGGATGTCTTTTGGATCAGGCCTCTCATTAGCAAAGGACTTATCATTTGTACTCGCGGAAAGTGCTTACTTACGATTCAATATCGTGGCATCGTAGCCACCAAAGAGGAGAAGAGAGAAAACGACCAGATAGTCGGGGAGATCGGGCTTTTGATGCTGAGAGAAGCGAAAGGCGATGCGTAGGAAGACGGTGATGCTGGAAAGGGCCAGCATGACAACCACAGCGTGGAAGTTGCCCCTCGCCTCTGGCTCAAGCTGGATCATTGCGACAGCGGGCAATGACAATGGCAGACCGAAGAGCTTGGGAAGCAGAGCGGCAAGATCGGCATAGAGGGCGACCAGCGAGAGGAGCAGGCCCATATATCCTGGCCAGCGTCGAGTGGGCGGCCATGGAAAGGATACATTAATACCTAATTTAAATTCAAGGGAACCAGCTAGAATCCTCGGTCCGCACGCGAGCAAGTCGATTGTGTGAGAGGCAGTGAGCTGTGTGTTGGTACGAATCCTGCCGTCGAGAGGCGAAGGAGGGGACACACACGGCTTCCCAATTAAATCGAGGGATCGCCTTTTTACAAGTCGAAGCGGCCCGATGAAAACAACCTAGAACACTTCCAGATGCCCGTAATATTCAAAACCGGCCATCTCCTGGTTATGTTATTGGCGGCTTGATCTCCTCCACTGGGCCTTTGCGCGCGGCAGACCCTCAGCAGCATGTAGCAGATTCACCACATCCGGACACGATCTGGTACGCAGATCGCAATCGACTTGCCGCTTGTGCACGTATTGCATTTGAGACTAGCTAGTGAAATTCTACATGGAGGTTTCTTGGGCTGGATTTTCTTCTCTTACCTGACAATTGATTCTCATACATGCAAGCTTTCGCCTTTGTTCGTCGTTGTGTGCTGAACAGGCAGTTATAGCGCCCTTGGTCCACTCACCCCACTGAAGCATTCAGCGGTTACAGCGGCTCTCCACTGTATTTCAGTAGGTTTTAGTGGAATGCGTGCATTCCATCTCGAGCTTCGGTTCATGATTGCCATCAATGTATCAGAATCCATCGAGTCTCGCTTGGACAATTGAGATACTCATTCAGCGGGTCTTCAGCTTCTCACGGAAAACTATCAGCTAGATATTTGCGAATTCTACGATGTGTAGTTGCCTGCCGTATACAGGCGGCGGTGCTCGATTTGCCACTGATTGGGCTCGATGAAACAGAACTCGAACACACAAGACCAGCAACAACAGCTCCTCCTCGCGCTCGGATGCTCCCGTCCATGGCTGAACTCCGGATGGCAAACATCTACTCGGTCTCCATGTTACCCTTCCTCCCGCTCACGACGAGTTAAGCTTGGGGCTCGCTCACTGAGTCAGTATGGAGGTGTTGGGTCTGAAACCCCTCTCGTGTCGGCTCGCAAACCAGCTACCATTCCAAACACTAGATGCCCCCAGGCGGACCGACCACTTATCGTGGGATTTAACCGATCGACTGGCATGCTAGATGATCTAAACCAGTGAAAGAGGTGTGTGGGATCGGTGTAGTTACTCCACGAACCGCCGAGTGATGTGGGCTCGATATTGAGGAACCAAGTTGCCTGGTATATAAGCGACATGGGATCACCACCTCTCATCTACGACCATACCTGTGAGGCAGCACTGGATCCCGTCTGCTCTCCGCACGTTAAGCTCACAAGGGGCCGATTAGTAGTTGGGTCGGTGACGATCAGCGAATACCGGCTGTTGTAGATTTCTTTTTGCTCCTCTCGTCTCCTAGGTCTGCTCTGTAGACGGCGTACACGAGAGTTTACTACGGTTTGAGTTATGATCCAGAGCCTCATCGTTCCGAGTAGCCGCTTTCGCTTTTACCATCGTAAGCGACTCTATGTTTGACTATAGAATGACTAGAGAAGATGGATAAGCAACGCATGTAGAGTCTTTCAGGCATATCCTTCGACTAAACTCTTTCAGGAAAAGATTTGAATTCATTGATAAGTTCAGTTGTCACTGATGTTGCGATATACTATCTAAGACACTAGCATTTTGTATCATCATTCTTGACAAGCCCCGTTGGATGCATTCTCGATATCTCATTCCTGCACCGATTCCAGCCTCACATACGAAGTCTTTGGCTTGTGTGTCAACCCGTCAACAGGTTCATATCCCGACAACCTCGCGGGAGTGGGCTTGAACTCAAAGTTCCAGACCAAGAGCGTCACCATCAGCCTCAGTTCCAAGTATGCCAGCTTTCGCCCGAAACAGCCCCGAAGACCCAAACCAAATGGCAGAGTCGGCCCAGCCTGCGGATTAAACGATAACTCATCCGAGCCTGGATTCTCTTCTAGCCATCTCTCCGGGAAGAACGCCCCCGGATTGTGGCTAGACCATTCCGAAAGATCGCGCTCCTTGGCGGCCAGTCGGCTTGACTCGCTACGAAGGCTCTCATCAATCTGTCGGCTAGTTTCGGTAATACTTGGGCCATTTGTGGCGAGCAGAAGAGTTGTGCCTTTCGGCAGATGATGGCCTAAGATGACAGTGTCCTTGTCGCATTGTCGCTCGAGGATCGGGACGGTATTGGCCAGTCGTAGCGACTCTTCGAGGAATGCCTCTAGATAAGCGCAGTTGGCTGAAGATATCTCTCTGTAGGTAGGTGTTCGGCCTTCAGCGTAGGAGTTGGAGTGAGTTGACCGCAGAGCATCGCGCAGCTTCTTTTGCGCGTTTGGAGAGTCGGTGAGGTACTTGACGGCCCAGAGAAGGGTTGTGCTCGTGGTGTCATGGCCGGCTACTACAAACCCCAGGATCTGAATAGGTTAGTATCTTCATAGGATCTCTCAGTCCAGACAGGAAGAGCGAGTAAAATAAAAGAGAACTCACCTCGTCACGAATGTCGTCGGACCAAAACACTGGCTGGCGACCGTCCTTTTCCGCAAATGTTTTCTCCCGGTTTACCATGAAGTCTACGGCCGACTTGATCTTGCTCTTCGCTTCGCTATCTTCCTGAAGCAGCCTATCTTTTGCCATCAAGACTTGTTCCTTGACGAGGCTGTCCCGAACACTGTGAGCTTTTCGCTCTGCAGGTTGGAGATTCCGCCACCACCAACCCAACTTGGCCAAGCCAGTATCAGCCACTGCTCCGATCGCATCGGCAATTAGAAGCATGGACTCCAGTGTCTCGTGAACAGGTGCCTTTGCAAACTCAATCACGTCGTCATCTTTGGACAACGAGTCATCATTGCTTGTCGTCATTGTGTCGATAAGCTTCTGTTGATGAGGAATCCCTCGGTGTGGGAAACTCTCGCCGAAGCCAAAGTCCAGTACGGCATCCAGCGCGGCATAGTAAACATCGGTCTCGGTGGAAAACGACCTGTCATTAGCAACACGAGCCTTCTCTCTCCACAGCCGTACCAGCCCCTCAGCACTATGGTAGATGTTGGGAGCCGCGACGTCGTTGAGGAAGGACGGGCTCATGAGATCCTGCAGCAGGCGGCGGTGGGCCTTCCACACTGGTCCAGTCTTCATGTTGATGTGATGCTTGGCGACCTGGCCGCCCAGAAGATCGATTGACCAGTTGGATCTATCCCACTCTTTGCGGCGTAACAGAACATCCCGGCTCTCGCGGTAGTCGGTAAGGAGGACAAAGGGCTTGTCGAAGGGGCCGAGGAAGAACTGGAAGAGCGGGCCTGGGCGTTTGCTGGCTTGAGATATCATCCAGGAGAAGCCGGCTTCCTTTCCCTCGCTCAGCATGGCAGGTATGTCGCCGAGGATGGATCGGGAAGCGGCCTCGTTGTACGGGATGCCGGGAATTGGCTTTGGGAGCAGCAGGCGGTAGGCAGCGTACACTGCTATGGACACCGCGGCTAACACGAGGGCATAGCCTGCCATGGTGAGAGGTGACTGATTTTTTGTTTTCAAAGACGAAGTACAAAGCCTCTATGAAAGATTGACGGAGCTGATGAACATGAACACAGGATCTTTGGATAGCTGTATGATTAGAGCAGGAGGTGAATCGATGGCAGAGACCGGCCAGCACCAAGTTAATAAATAATACAGCAGCAAGTTGGTTTTGAGTATTTCATCCCCCCTGGTTTCGGTCTTGGCAGTGTGACTGCCGGTCTTCATCTCCTCCACTCTTCTCCCGAACCAGCAAATGGCATCGAGGCTATTAGCAGGGCGCGGAGTCCGTCCAGGATAATTCACCCACAAGTGGAACCAAATCTAGATGTGAGCGTAATATTTAGTCTCCGGAAAGAATGATACCCGAACGAATTGTTTTGCGATCGTCATCAGATCATGACGGCTTCAACGGCATCGGGGGCCGCGGGTGTCCGGGGCATAATTCGAAAGATTGTCTCACCCTCGCAAGTGGGTGACTTTAAAATGGGGACACTCAAATATTAAGCTGCTTATTATCGAATCTACGATCGGTATTGCCACACTATGAAGTTGATAATATATACTTCAGGGAGAATATAGCGTATATTGTGACCTTATTCCATTCTATATTTCTAAATCTCTCTTTATTATAGAAAGTAGTCGGTTTATAACCAGCTGTTCCATTGGGTTGCCTCGTTTCTCCTGTCACGGTCAGCGCTCTCCACACAATGACCTGGGTTCAATGCGCATCTGAGTGGCAACTTTCCAGTTCTTTCAGCCTTCACCGCCCAGAGTCATCGTCCGCTGACAATTTCCCCATGGCATAACGCCCCACAAAGGCGCCAGTGTCATTGAATGCTCCCATGTTATGCTTGGTAGCTACCTCAAAAGCTGTTTACCCTAGATTTTCTGTTCTGTCCTATGCAAATTTCAACTATCACTGGTGAAAATGATTTCACGTGCCCATGAGTTAAGACGTGCTAGTTCGAGTCGTACAAGAGCAGTGTTGAACACTCTCCTATTAATTCATTTGGCACACTTCTCAAAAATTCTCAACAGTAACCCATGTTTTATTCTAAACCTAATAGCAAGTTTTTGACTACATACCAGGTGAGATGATGTAGCAAATGCATGAGCCTATTCCACGCGATAGGAACACGAATGGAGTGACTCCCACCCCAGCCACCGACAACACAATTCATCCCAGCCAGAGATGAATGATGTTTGAATATAGAGTTATCCCATGCATTCCACTGGATAAATTTGTCTTTGGTTTGAATTGTACGGAATCCGACTCTCGCTATCACCTAAGATGGGGTGTAGGCCGATAGGCGCAACTCCTCAGGAGATTTGTCCCTGTGCCTATATGTGAGGCATATGTGTTGGAAGATTTGGGTGTTGGAGGTGGTCCCTTCGCGCTCTTCATATGGAACACAACCTGATCGGCCCCACTCTTCAACCTGTTTAGTGATGTGAACCCGGGGAAGAGCTACTAAGGAGTTAGCAGAGTTCTCTTCTCCTCTCCCTATTGATTCACTTCTCGTATGGGAAGCGGAAGACAGCACAAAAGCCTTACCTACGTTTGGCTCTAGCTGTGCCCGAGGTGAAGCCACTTCCAAACGAACCGAACGAAGAGGTTGTCTTTGCGAAGGCAGCTGCGTTATTTGACGGGGTCCGGAAAATTGAGGAGGTCGGCTGGAGTTGATTTGCAGTTGCAGATATGTTGCTGTGGTTTGTAGTCAACCCACCGAACAACCCACCAGACAATGCCTGATTGGGCTGGGTTGGCTTCCCGAAGTCGACTGCGTTATTCGATGAGGTGCGGCTAACTGAGGAGGTCGGCTGAGGTTGATTTGTCGTTGGGAATACGTTGCTGTGGTTTGTAGCCAGCCCACCGAATAACCCAGTAGACGATGGCTGATTGGGCCGGGTTGTAGAGCTGAATGGTTTCCAAATCTTAGCACTTCCTAGATCAAACATACTGCTAGTTTCTATTGGTGAGCCATGTCTTACTTTTTGATTTCAGCTTTATCTGCCGGCTGATTTTGGCTTTTCCATGTATCAGGCATGGTGAATAAAGGGGCTGAAGAGCCACCTGTGGTGTTTGAACTGGTGGCATTTCCGGGGGCAATGACGCTTGAATTCGCACCATGAGCAAGTGAAGGCTTCACCGTTGCAAGATGCGAAGACTTGAGTCGAGAGGCTAATGATGTAACGGGTGGTGTTGATGGTAGCGCTGTTTCCGAGGGGCGTTAGTTGGTATTGTAGATGAGGTTTATCACACTTACTCGTCACGGCTCTGGGCCGGTATCTCTGGCATAGAGAAAAGGCGCTCTCTAGCACCTTGATATCGGATTCAAGAAGTTCTCTTCGGTTTTGGATATCGTCCGTTTCTGCAGCCAACTCATCGAGTCGTTCTTTCGACATCTGAGAGACTTGGGCTGCAGTGAAGATCTTGGGAATGCCAGAAATCAGACATCGCTCGATGGCCAGATTGATGACATTCACGGCAAATGTCCCACGTGCAGACTAATATAGTTAGTAAACGCGGTAGAGGTGTGGGAGGAGAAGCTCAAACGGAATAATCTCACCTCGTAGTATGCGAGCATCATGTCAACGGCGGTTTGTGTGCCAAATTCACCACTGTCCAGCTGCGTGTCTTCCAAGATCGCATTGGTGATCGCCACTTTGTCTAGAAATACGTTGCCGAGTGCTTGCCTCTCTTCCAAAATTTTGCACACACGATCGGCGATTTTCCCTCTGGATTTCTTGGATAGAGCAGCATGAAACTCAGCATCCAGAGCAACGGTGTAGCCGTCGTGATAGGGCTGAAGCAACTCGTCCAGCTTTTCCTGCATGAGCTTCTCCTTCTCTGAGAACCATGGATCCACACAAGTCGACAGGATAGCCTCTGTCGTCCTGTTCGTGTCCGGAGACCCCGAGATGTGCTCAAATATCGCGTCAACGAAAGCTTTTGCAACAAAGGTAACTTTCTCGACATGGAAACGAGAGATCTCTTCCCAAGGTCTGGCCTGCTCTTGGAATAGTTTAATTGCGAGGTCTTTGTTCGAGAGCCCGGGAAACTCTTTGCCTTGATTTATGGATGCCTGTCGTTGCATATCAAGATGGACAGCTGACTCCGTCGTGGCGATTGGGTCGGGGAAGTCATAAGGATATGTCTGTAAGAATCTCTGGAGGTACTCAGGAGGTTCCTCTGTTGATCCCACAGATTCGCCATCTGCATGTATCAATTTCGATGAACCTTTGGTCCAGAGGATGTGTTGAAAAGCGCGGTTGAAGTTTCGCAACTGAGCCCTGAATTTATGGTTCTCATGCTCCAGGTCACCAAAGAACGGGTCATCATATCGACCATCAACCCCATCCTTAGCAAGAGACTGGAACTGACTGGCGATTTTGATCAAGAACGACCGCCTCTCATCAGTGTCTGATCTAGGTGGCCCCAGTCTGGCTAGTTCAGTTCGCCGTTCCTTGAGGTTCTTCTCGACGTTGATAATAACCTCGGGGAGACTCTTCCGGATATGGTCGTACAGAACTTTACTGAGCTTCTTCCTCAGACTGGAAATGCCGAGGATGTGATGGGGGACCGTTTCCCACACTCCGGTTTTGAAGAAATCCAGCTCAGCAGCGTCGCGACCGTCAAGACCAGCTTCCACGTCGGCACTATTGCGTAGCACATGCCACCCTAGACGCAGCTTGTTGGCACCCTCATTCTTCGTAACAAGCTTCGCGTACTCAGCCTCTGATTCGGATTTTTCCACCATCAAGTCGGGCTTGGTGATGACGCCAATTGTCCTGTCGCGTGATGGATCAATGACCTTCACTTTGGAAAGAGCTTCGTGATTTGCCAGCGGTTGATTCCCCGCAATGACATTGAGGATGATGCTCTCCTTCCTAGACATATAGTCCAAAACAAGCTGATCTACAACACTTTTTCCAGCCAGAGATTGCGTCTCAGTTTCCACGTAGAAAAAGCCGGGTAGATCAATGACTGTCAAGGGGTACATTTTGGGACCTTGGATCTCGAGACGGAGAACATCTCGGGTGAATCCCTTGTCTGTAATGGAGGCGCCCATGTGTCTCTTGGCCTCCTCAATGATCTTGCGCAGGTCATTCTCGTCAAACTCAGATGTGTCGATGACTAGGGGTGCTTTGGTCTGGTCGAAATATCGGAGAGTGGCCTTTACACTCGTCGCTGCGGCTGGCTGAAGAACCAACTCCGTGGCGAACCGCGTACAAAGGCCATCCTTGACAGGGAAGCGAACATGGCAAAGTGCCTCAAGGACAGATGACTTGCCGGAAGATTGATCGCCGACGACAATAATCTGCGGTAGATTGACGATTCTGTCAACTCCATATGCTCGCAGACTGTTGACAGTCTCATGAAGCTCTCTGCCCTCCTTTGTGTTCAGCTCGTTCAGTATCTGCGAATTGATGGAGACTTCCATGGTGGCTGCGGCGTCTGGAGGTGTTGTTGTAAGGTTGAGAAAGAGGCCAGCCACCTGATTACGTTCGAGATTCGTCCAAATTCCTTTGCTACTGCCAAGGCAGCTGAACCAACAGCGCCTCCTGAGGCACAGCAGAGTCAGGGGGAAATTGTCACAGGCGCAGATGCATATGCATATAAGCGCCGGTGTGTGCGGGGCAGCCAAGCGACTGAGATAAAACATGGCACACCACAGCTCTTTTCGTGCAAGCTTGAGACCTCTTTTCCGTATTAAGAATACTAAAAATAATGATAGTAAAATACTAAGTTATTCTCTAATATTTGGCTTGGTATTATGTTTATTACTAGGCTAAATGTTTTGATATTGTGTCGAAATCAAAAGCTGGCTGGGGGCTTTGGTGTGCAATGTTCTATTTCAGTCACTTGGCAGCTTCCAGCCGCACCAAAATCGCCGGTCATCATTGGTCCAAGCTGTGAGATCGGCAACCCAGTCGTAGGTATCCAATGTGCGGGGGGTTATCGGGCGGGTAGTGCTGGTTGTCATGATTGTTGGCATGAAGGCTGTTGTCGGCTCCAACCAGGATTCGCATATATGATAGCTAGAAATTACTTGTATAGGCTCGCTCGTTTTAGATGTATGTCTGTTCGTGATGACCTCATGCGTTCCGAAATCCTCCCTGGAGAACATCGGCGACGATCGGCAATGGGGGCTCGAAGCTGCACAGCGTCAGCCGCAAATCCCAATTCAAGGCACCATCCTTTCATCTTTTGGTAAGTCCTGCTTTCTATAATATAGAATTAACTGGGGTATATGCGCCATGGTTCTTCCAAGGCCGTGTTGGAGAGAGTGAAGCCTACAAAATTGCCGATGTTAGAAAGCAGTAACTTACTCGCTGCAAGATGGGCGGATCAGGGGCACTTTTATAGAATTTACCAGCTGTGTGAATTCCGGTGACATAGCGCTACCTATGGTCGGATTTTAGGCACTGTTAACGGGGTTATTGTAGTGGGTGTGTCCAGTAATGGAACGTGGGGAAGTCATTTTTCGTGGGAAACCGAACGGACGCTATGCATGTACACCCTCTATCAATTGTTCAACCAAAAATCACCCAAGATCAACCCGTAAAGCGAGCAAAATGAAATTGGCCAAACTCGCTTTCTGAGACACGTTATCTCCGACTTCTGTCTAGGTTGTTGGCTGGTAAACGGCTTCATAGGGCAGATTCGTACTAAAACTCCTTAGTGGTAGCCCTCCCGTGGGTAACATCGCTGGACAAAGGTAGCCAAGGCTCTCAGGCTCTCAGCCACTATTTGGTGCACCTCCGGCAGCTATAATGCCTACTTCTAGGGGGCCAAATAGACTCTTCAACCAATCCAAGGCCTAAAGACAAACACCAAACGGCGAAAGAGCACTCTTGTGGTGACGGACGTTATATTTTTCGACTTTTGCTTATTTTGGTCCACCTCGGGCATAACGTCGACCCAATGACGTTGAGCTATTCCCTCTCGCGTGACGATTTACGAGAGATTCTGCATATCTGATGTAGCATTCACTGAAAAGACAAAGAGAGGTTGTTTTCAGTCATGCAGCCAACTGCAGCTCAGCCCAGAAGCACAGACAGCGCCCAACGAGGCGAGATCTGCACCAGTTAACCGTTGCAGCCATCACACATAAGAGTGCCAATCAGCCAGCCTTTCCCACCCTCCGAACGTGCATTCAAATTCATTCATTGCCGGAATTCTCTTCTTGCTAGGCTATTGCTGGTATATCTGTATTGCCAGATGTCTCTTTCCGCTGAAGCAATCATCACACTCATCGGGGTGTTGCTGTCTCTGCCCTCCGTCGTGTTGCTGTTCTGGCACCTCTGTACACATACACTCCCTCTTCGAAGAAGTGAGACAAGCATGGCACCCGCGGTAGATGAGGAGCGTTGGCTGGATATGAGTAGGGATCATGTAATGTATCCCTTCCATTCAATTCGCCATTGTTGGCAGTCTCATGTTATACTGACTAGATTTGGTCCATTTCATTTTGCAGAAGCTCTCCCCTATGCCCAGGGTGAAGTTGGCGCGCCGGAGATCAAGCACACTCTAAGAACCGAACTGCAGGTCACCCCATACTCAGCTTGAATAACTGTTTAGTAACTATAGAATAAACGGCAAGGCATCGCATCTCTGAATACATATACACGGATCGAAAAGGGAGAAACCCGGTTTTTTTAAACAGAAGTAGCGCAAGGAGTCCAAGTACGCCAAACATCATCAAAGCTATTTACGGTCGCAAGACCATTCTTTAGTACAGTCTGAATATAGATATATTTATATAATCATTTCTTTTCGCTTTTAAACTACCTCCGTACAGGCGCCTGCTCAAATAGAGCATCTGTAGCAACCCGAAGCCCAGAAGAAAGCGTGCTCGGGAGGATGGCCAAACTGCTCGCCCCTTTCCTTAAATGCGATCACGTTCACTCCCATTGTCATCGTCCTGTTCTCATCAAGCCTTCTAAGGGCTGCTCTCTTTTTCTTCGGTTGTACAAAGACAAGCCACGATCCCAGATATATCAAGGGTCCACTTGATTGATGAATATCCCCAGGTCGTGCCGAGAGTCCAAGCCCGTCCGTCCTAGAACCGCTTGATGTAAAGCGCCTTGATTTGTATCACGGATATGCATAGTAATGCCATTGATTGGGATCGAAATTCGTCAACGGGTTGGAAGGAGGTCCTGTTGTGAATGATGGTCAGCACACCAAACGACGACGCAACGGTCACACCGAATAACGTACCAGCACCCAATAAGCGAGTCTCTTTTATCCTCCGGAGATTTCTCAGATTCTCCTAAAGCAAGACTAATCGATCGCACGAGGGCTTTGCCCAGACTGCGAGGTGGTGTGGAGATGCCGTTCGAGGACATCAATACATAAACGGATTCGCGAGTATTCCATCGAATTCCAATTCGAAATGTCAAAAGTAGAAAGATTGCGAGTCTCGCCCCATTAAAATCTTTGCGTTTTTCAGAACGTAGGCTCTCTGCGCTGCCCGCGATGGCGGTAACCTTCCAGAGTTTTTGTCCAGATGCTGCACCATGTCAAGAATATATTCCTTCTCCCTAGAATCGGCAACTTCGTAAGTTGCGTAAAGGGGTGCTTCTGGGAACAGCCCAGCCATCCGGCCTGATGACCGTATGTATGGCATACACATCCAGGTCTCAACGGCAACTGCTCGTAGCCTCGCATGTAAATCATTGTCCGGCTTACCATGGAGCATTCTATCAGTCTCATACAAGATATGTAGTGGGACGAGCTGTAGGAACAGCATAACCAGATATAGTTGACACAGTGTTGGGTCGGTGAAGTCGTATCTCCTTCCCACGATGCTATCGGGGTCATTGATCACTATCATGGAGCCTGCCTTCAGGGCGTATTCTACCAAAATCTGGACGGTCTTTGCTATGGTGGCTTCCATGTCGTTCACTTGTTCATTCCGGGCAGCGGCATTGGCACCTGCTCCGGCTTCGAATGATTGGCGGAAGATGTTTTGAAACTCGGAAATCAGCGCGTTGAGATTGCGGCAGCATTCGGCGACAGTCTCCAAATCGGACATGGCCAAATTATCTCCCTTGCTTATCTTCTGATGGGTCGATGTAGCCTTATGCAGAGCCTCTTTCCACCCTGTGGTCTTCGCTGAAATCTCGCCACCCTTCACGCTCCATCCAAACATCTGCATTGAGCGTAAGCAACGGACTTATCGTACCAGATGTGGGAAATGAACTTACCTCCATCCCATAAAGATCATTACACACGGCGACATCCAACTCATCATCGGTGTTTGTCGGCCCTCGTTGATTCATCATCTGAATGGCAGCACGGGAATGGATGTTGAATTTTTTACCCTGGCGATCGAACAGGTTTGAGGCACGCTCCATGAGCGCAACTGCAGCTAGAGTCTCAGCCTTGAATGCTTCATCATTCGTGAGAGCCAGCCGCAGACTTCTCAACGCTTTCCCATACTGCGGTAGCAGCATGAGATCTCGTTTAGGCTGCGGGTGCTGGAAATCTGACAAGGCTGAACAGAATAGCTCGACCGAGTCTCGTAGACAGCCACTCCCTTGTATCCTCGTCGGCAGCTCCAAAACGAATGTTAAGCCGAGATGCGTGATCCTTTGTAGACCCCCCTCTATATGTGAGACCAGGCGCATAGAGGCAAGTTCATCAACTGTTGGTGGCATGGCCTTCGGATTGGATATTTGTTTAAATGCATATTCCGGCGTACTGCGTCCTCCCACGCTGATACTGGATCGCTGAGCTCGTTGCAGCTGCAAATTATGCCACGCCCCCGCAGCACTATGTTCTTGTGGGGACGAAGCCCGAGGATGCTTCCTCTTCCCCGGAACTTGGAAGTTGTTGTTCACAAACTTGAAAAGCTGCGCTGGGCCTGGACACATCAATCTGGACGTTTGGCAGTGGGAACACTCGGGCCATGTCTCGTCACACTGGGGACACGTCAAAATCGCGTCTACATTGCGACGATCATCTCTCGATCTGCGATGAGGGCAGTCAAAGAGGGGCTGACGACATCGCCACTCACCTTGATTTTTCGCAGCTTGCAGCTCTGGCACCCCTGTGATTTTGGGACTCCGGGCATGTCTCGAGTTGCTTTGCCTATGACGGCAATTGTTGCGCGACAGAATGCCGGATGAAGCGTAGATGTTCTCTTCCTGTCGGTCGCGAGCCCAATGTTTAACGGTCGATCGAGGGTCATGCCTGGCCCCTTTCCGAAAATTGTCGGTTAAATTCCCGCCAACGAGGACCCTGGCACACTATGTGCACTGCCGCTGATGCAACCATTCCACCAGGGATTAGCTCTTTAGCAGCACCTGGAGGCATCTCTAACGCAGTTGGTGCCCCCCTTGATTGGCCAGCTCGGCTCGCGTGATGTAACCAAGCTGCCAGCTGGCCGGCTACAGACCACCTTTCTGATCCTTGGCCCCCAAGAGTGCGACCTGGAGCAGAATCCAATTGCGACCCTCCCCCCGGTTTGTCGGGCTCGCGGGCGCACAGGAGCTGATCCAGAGGCTGTTTCGAAAGTTCCCACAATCACCCGCGCAGCGCAATGGCCTGACAGACGGCATCTGAACGCTACTCTACCCCATTTCTATCGTAGTATCCCTGTAATTCCCCTGCTAAGCGACCGTCTAGCTCAGTAAATCCCGGCACCGAATCCATTAGCCTGTTGCTCAGCGGCCGTTTTCAAGTCCTGGCTGAGCACTCGGAAATGCCCCAGGCTCTGCCTCCCGAATGCCCAGATTTGGCCGACGAGGAAGGCAAACAGCCCGGTGAATTCCTCGCTCTGGATGAATGTCGTACCGCCGGGGGTCTCCTGGCTATGGGAAAAGATGAAGCTGAGTCCCATTGAATATCATCCTCGGGCCTCCATTCCATTCCAACAGCGCTGGGGTGTTTCGCTTAGGGCAGTATCAGCAGCAGGCATCGTGGCAAGGTGGGATTCCGGCCTACCCGTAGCGTGGGCTGAAAACGAAAGGGATACGGGCAGCCCATGAGTGTGTAACCTCTGATCTCCATGTCCAGCTTGTCTCCGGGCTTGAGGTCGATGGGCTTTATTTTCGGATCCAAGCATTTGAATACATATGTGGCATGCCAGTTCTTGTGGCGCTCAAAGTCGAGCAGCTGCCGATAATCATTAGCAGTGTTACAATGATGGTACTTGGACTGCGACGCACCACTGATCGCACTATCTCCGGGGAAGCGTTGATTTCAATCTGCGAATACAGGCTGCAAGTTTGTCCCATTCTGAGCTGGTCTGTAACGTTTCGTGATGGTTTTTGGGATCCCCTCAAATGCAAAAAAAAATTAAAAAAATTAAAAAAAAAATTGAGAGGATTTTATATGCATTTATTCTGTGAGAAAATGGAACTGTGTCATCTTTTGGCAGCCAGTCAGTTTCTGGAAGACCAGAGAGGAAATAATTCAAACATGGAACTTGTTGGTGACTAGGGTAGAATAATGTGCCGAGGAGACACACTTTGGGCAGTTGATGTGCGAGCCTCGTGTGCGTCAGATTAATCATGGTTCATAGGATTAACAAACACACGCGGCCTTCCCTCATAGCTGGTTAACGAGTCACGGGCGTTAGTTGAGTGACCACCTTTTGTTCGCATTTTAAGTCTCTGCGACGTGTATCTCAGTATTAGGCTACTGACGGCTGGCATCGGCGTGATGAGGGAGAGAGCGGCGTTACCCGTGAACTCGCATTCGAACAGCGGGTTCCTCCGTCCGCGAGAGTCAATGTAGCCAGTGTATTGATTTCTTAGAGAAGGTGATCACAAGATGGCGAGGACTTTTTTCTAGCCCCCGGGTAACTGGATGGAATCAGTATCCGGTTACTCGTGGGTGCTCAGGATCATCAATTTGACGTGGGCGGGACAGGCGCTGCGAATACAAGCACACGAGTGTTCATGCACAAGACGCCTCCGCTATTTCTAATAATTCCTAAAATATGGGCGCATAACTAGAAGACATGGGGAGCTAAGACAATTTGAGGCGAATCTCGTACTCTTGATGGAGAAGGCTGGGTCAAAACTTCGGCTCAAGCTGCGAAAACACAATAGTTTGTGAGTCTTGTGTTCATACTACTGATACTGCGCGGTTCAAAGCTTACATGGTGTTTTTTTGGGGGTGTTTTTAAGTTCCGGATGCAAGTAAACTCTGGTTCTTTGTCCTGCAATTGGGATTTCTGGCTAAGGATGAGAGCAACGAGTAATATTGTACGGAAGCAGCCTCCGGCGGTCGCACGGTTATTGACTCCGGGTTCCGTGTTGCTCTAAAAGAAGGTAAGAAAAATCCATAGTTTCTAGGAATGTATTGGGAAATTAAGTTCCATTGCATAGAGTTACCTAGGAGATCAACAATTAGGGACGACGGTAATGGTCAGATACGTCTTGCTGAACGGAAACGTCTCCCGTCCATTAATATCCTACCATTGGCAGTATTTTTTTTTCTACAGGTAAAGTAGCTGGTTTAGATCATGCTCCGACTCTTTCGCTTCAACAGCAAGAAGTGATCTCTAAACCTGTGGTTGGCCATTCACTAAGCCTGAAGCCTTTGAGCATCGTTAGGGGAAGAACAGAAAATGTCAATCAGATAAAACTCAGCATTTGCATCAGATAAAGAGAAAAATGAATTAATGACAGCACCATCGTTGTTGAGTTGCCTAAGCTCAGTGTCAGAAACGGAGTCTGGCTGTTCTTGTCTCGGTATCTTGGAACGGATAACATCAACTTTTGCTGCCGGTTCTTTCATCCCGACGCATTTACGTGATCTTACCTGGCAATCCCATTGGCGATTAATGATGAAATCTGTTTTTGTTCCTGTCCCGCTCCTTTGCCCACGGATCGCCAAGCCGATAAGAAATGTGGCGGGCAACGGCCCGGGGACCGGATCCCCGTATGACCGGATGTCCGTACAGTGACGTCCGAAAGATCACCGATACTAATTGCGTAGGGACAGTCTTGCTTACCTCACCGAAGAGCGAGGCTCGGGGATTGACATACGCTATACTCGTTCTACCAGTGCCTTTGGCCAATGATCGATACACCAGCCGAGCCCAAGACTTGCAAATTCCCGGTCCCTGTTCCGGTCCCACCCCTCATGTTCGAGATCGAGGAGGGGAAGCTACAGTTCCGTTATTCTTATTAACATGAAGCCAGGGAGCGGACTAGTCTAATAAATACGGTTTATCCGCGTGCCCCTCTTTCCCGCTGGCATCACTCTAACAAACGGCGGGCTAACGATTACTTGCGTTCCCAACATCGACACAATGCCTAGCTTTTCACAAACCACCACCCAGGCAGAGGTCTCGACCAAGGTGCAGCTTACGCCTGCCCCCCAAAAAGAAAATGTACAGTTCCAGGATCTCGTTATCGGCGACCGAGAGGGCAAGCTGCAGCTACAAGGGATTCCCACCTTCACCGACCCGTACAAACAGAGGCAATGGATGAAGGAGCATATGGCTGCGGCCTTCCGCTTCTTCGCTAAGAATGGCTATGCTGAGGGTATTGCTGGTCACATATCTATGCGCGGTATGTTTTGGACGATATTCCATGTTTCACGCTCATCTACTACCGAAGGGGAGGATGGCGATGTGGAATTGGCATCCGCTAATAATACTTCATTTCAGACCCTATTCTTAAGGAACATCTCTGGTTCAACCCATACGCAAAGCATTTTGGGGCCATCAAGGCTTCCGATCTCGTTCTCGTACACCCCGACGGCTACGTTGTCGAGGGAGGAAACCAGGCTGTCGTCAATACTGCAGGCTATATTATTCACTCCGAGGTTCACAAGGCCCGGCCTGATGTTATAGCTGCCGCCCACGCTCATAGCACCTACGGTAAGACGTGGAGTGCTTTCGGAAAGCCTATCGAGATGTTAACTCAAGGTACGCAAGAGACTGTGGCATTTCTCTCCATTGGCGGTATCTAATGGCGACAGATTCGTGTAACTTTTACGGGATTCAGAGTGTTTACGATGATCATGGCGGCACTGTCCTGGCAAAAGAAGAGGGGCAGTCGATCGCTAAAGCCCTTGGTGATACGAACTCGGTTTGTATCCTGAAGAACCATGGGTATGAGTTCCCCGTCGAAACTGTTTTCGCTTAATTTGGATGACTATTGACAGGAGTATTTCTAGACTTCTCACCGTTGGCCAAACCGTGGATGAGGCTGCCTTTTTGTTCTACAGTTTTGATCAAGCTTGCCACTCCCAACTACTTGCGGAAGCTGCCGCAGCCAATGGTCTCCCCAAGAGCATAATTTCCGATCACGTTGCCAAGTACAATGCGGACGTCATTCAGAGCGCAGTAAGAACCCACCACTTGTGATCTTGTTCCCCGTCGGCTGAAAACATATTGACAATTTGATAATATTTTAGGTTAATTTCTACATTGAGTTCCAGCCCGAGTTTGACTTGATTGTGGAAGAGAGTAATGGTAGGGTGCTGGAATAATCACTCTAGCCTAGAAATTTCCGTCTTTGATTATAAGCATTATCTTTTAAGAAGACAGTGCGTGATTGATTTTGGTTTATCATGAATTATCCTTTGTACGTGGTCACACCGACCCGGCCCTACAGCGACTTAGCATTTAATACTAGACAATGCATTATTGATGTCTTATATCTAACAATAGTGGACAAATAGCCTGGCTACAACTTCATATGGGACATGCTCTTGGTGTCGATCTGATGAACAGCGTCGTTCATTTCAATGAAATTCAGAAGTCTTCGGCCTGCTAATGTGCATGTTAACTGTTTACCCCAACAAGACTGTATATTAATAATGCGCTTTTGCCTACCTCCACATGCAAAATTTCAGTCAAATATTGGTCAGCTCGAAATCACCAGCTATTGATACCACGGAGCGACCGCGGAGCTCCCACGGAGCAGCCACGAAGCCTATTTATCTGATATTAACTGGGGCACAGCAACCCCTCCCAGCTACCTTGCAAAGCTATCTCGTCTCTTTTGTCTTATTCTAAACAAGTTCATGCAGCAAGTTGAGCTTACCAACAAATGATGAAGGCTCATGGTTCTCGTGGTCACTTCTTCGGTCACTTCTTCCACGAAACATTCAGTAGAACAAAGGCGATGACATGTAATTGGATCTATACCTTCCGTCTTGGCGAGCTGCAGCTAATCAGAAAGGGCGAATTCTCCCACTAAGTGCTTACCAAGCATACGTCTCGAGATGAGATCTAAGCCGTATACAGAGACATGATACGAACATTCCGCAGATCATCTTAGTTGATTCCGCGTTTGTAAGCTAGCTTGGGTATTAGGCTGTGACGCGAGGGGGGGGACCTTGTATGAGGTATGGCCATCCACCAACCCGTCATACGATGCCGTGAGACCAACTCATCCGCATATTGTACGCGCAACGATTTGCTGTGCCCCAGTCATACCCTTTCAACAATTATATGGGCTCTGTGGAATAAATAGGCTCTCATTCATGCCATTCATGCCGTGATGGGCACAAGGATTCTCTTTCCCAATTCTCTTCGCCAGCCATGCGATCTTTTAAACTTCTAATAACGGTCGCTACCGTTCTTCTAGGTGTTGCCGTATCAGCCTCTAAGAAGCTTCTTAGTGGCGGCACTATAGTTGCCTTTGACCATGAAACCGAATCCTTAAAAGTGATCCGAGGCGGCTCGATTCTCATCGACGGAGATCGAATTGAAACAGTTTTCGAGGACGCCAGTGAAGCGAATGCCAGTATACCCATCATTGACACCACTTTAGAGACAAGCGACAGTTCGAGAAGTGTCGAGGTCATTGATTGCACGAACAAGATCATCACTCCCGGCTTCATTGATACTCACCGCCATGGATGGCAAACAGTTTACAAGACTATGGGTTCCAACACAACACTCCCTGATTATTTATGGAGATATAGCGCTGTGGTAGCTCAGCCGCTATTCACGCCCGATGATCTGTACATCAGCCAGTTGGTTGGGCTATATGAAGCAGTGGCCGCGGGTGTGACGACAACTCTGGATCATGCCCATCACACTTGGAGTTCAGATGCCGCCACGGCCGGTCTTCGTGCCACAATTGATAGCGGCATGAGAGTTTTCTGGGCATACGCATTCCAGCCCGTATATGAAAACTTTCCGGTGCAGGAACAGATTTCCCAATGGAAACAGCTGATATCCCAGGTAGCAGGCACCGTCACAGAGCTTGCAGTGGCATACGATTTTTGGAGTGACAGCCCCTTCATAGACAAAGCAACCACAGACATGGTTATTGACCTCCTCAAGTAAGTATCTTCTCTAAAGAGTATTACAGTACCCACCAGAACCAAACCTGACAAGTTCCGGTATAGCGAATACAAGCCGCTTTTGACTACCCATCACGTCGAGGGCCCGTGGCTAAGTACATGCCCCCAGCCATTACCAATCCCTTCTCGTGAGCTAACATTTCGTCATCACCCCAGTGGGAAACAGCCCGCAAGACTTGAATAAGGCAGGCATTCTCAGCTCCAGCATCCCGATCGTTTTCTCGCATAGCTCCTTTATCGACACGGCGGGTGCGAACCTCCTGAGAGCCACCAACAAGCACATTTCCATAACGCCCGAGAGCGAGATGCACTACGGCCACACTCACCCTACTTCCCATCTCATTCTTGACCAGGCGTCACTAGGCGTCGACACCCACTTCACGTTTTCCACAGATATTCTCACCCAGGCTCGCATGTACTTGCAGTCGGTGCGTTACCGGCTCTATCAGAAGACGCTCGATCGCTGGCAGGTAACAGCCAACAGTCCCTTCTCAGTCAACCAGGCCTTCCTCCTAGCCACCCGAAACGGGGGCCTGGCCCTCGGCCGAAAAGACCTAGGCGTGATTGCCCCCGACGCCAAGGCCGACATTGTGGTCTGGGATGGCCGCTCGCCGGCGTTGCTGGGATGGGCGGACCCCATCGCAGCCATCATTCTGCACGCCAGCGTTGGTGACATTGACCACGTTCTTGTCAACGGCGAGTTCAAGAAGCGAGACAAGAGGCTAGTTGTTGAGGGCTATGACGAGGCTGTAGACAAGTTTCTCGAAGCTGCGAAGAGGATCCAGGACGCTTTGAGGAAGCTGCCCCTCCCGTCACAAGAGGGAGTCTTTTTCTCTGGTTCTCCGTTGGGTCAGACTGAAACCTTGGATGTCCTTCGAGGCGATGGGAATGGGTATGGTCCGCAGTTTGTTTGATCCTCTCTGTTTTCGTCCAAACGAAATCCAGCGGAGAGGTTGAATGAAAACGAGTACTGAGATTATCGCGGCGACTATTTCCTGTGATGGCTACACGTTTCTCATATGCTACCGTAGTATCAAAGAAGTGATATATTTACACTGAATCAATTCAAACAAACTTCCTTTACTCCCAGTTTAAGACTACACCTTGTTGCCTGAAAGGCAGATTCCTGCACAGACTTTCTGGGTCAGTAGATCAAGCGCTGGTATTACTGATGCTCAGCAAGCAGCTGTATTATTATTTCTCAAATTGTATCGCGACTATCAACTACTATTCTTGCCCGTATGCCCCGGTACTTTGACCTGGTTTCACAAAAAATAATTGACTCTTTCTGCAGGAGTCCCGAGAATGCCATAGTGCCTCATATAATACCATAGTGTGTATCAAAGTAGAGTCCAGGGGATTCTTGAAACGAACTGTGTCGCCACGTAATGCTAACATGCGATAGATTAAGTGTGAGGTGTGACCCGAACATGAAAACCGACATCCAGATCCTCGATCAATCTCTCCAGATGTGAATTTTCTATGCAGGCGTTGCCAGAGACAATGTTAATGAACTGTAAGGCTGGCAACCTCTAGGGCCTAGCGTCAGCCAAAGATTGGACCATTTCGACAATAGCATGGTTCGAGTTACGCTCTTTGTGATCCCACATGATCCAATCTGGGTTAAATCTTCCATCATTAACCAAGTCGCTAAAGAGGATGAGAGCTTCCAGGCCGTCTGGGAGATGATACTCCAGAGGCATAAGATTTGTTTCAATGCCTGTGAGGCATATAAGCGGTACTTCAAGATGGGTTAGTTGATCGAAGTCACTGAGACCATTGAATGATCCCAAGACAGTCATCTGTAGGTCACTGGACGCCATGGCCTGATCGGACGCGAAGACTGTCCGAAACTTCAGCGTCTCCAATGTGTCTTTGACCTGTGACACAGTTTCGATAATCTTGTCAAAGTTGAGGAATGCGGTTTCCCAACCCTCGTACCTATTGTCGCAGTAAATCCAGGTCCAGGAGAGTGATTTCAGGTTGCGTGTGAGGGCGAGTATTTTACCCAGGCATGGCTCGATAAGCCACCTTATATCTAAAGATACCAAGTGATCGAGATCAGGCTCGCCTCTTGGCCATCTGAAAGTCTTGGGATTCGAAATGGTGGCTACAATATGCGTAACCGTGGGAACATAAAAGAGAGATAGCGCATTCTCAAACATCTCATTTCTCTCCGATACTGGATAATCCAAGTTCTTGACATATCGAATTTCTTTAAGCCGCTTAAATCTAGGCAGCTGGTCGAAGATTTTTGATTGAAGAACTTGGCCGACAAAGTCATGGCCACTGATGAAATCGTGGTCAACAGCTAGACGGGTTGTCCTGGTGAGATTGGCAACCAAGAGGGCAGCAATCGCACCCATTTGTCCAGTATGCAGATCCAAGATCCAGTCGTTGCGATATGGTACCCGGCTCTGTTTGATGACCTCGAAAAACTGATGGACCGGACTCTGAGGGGTATTTAGGCGAGGGAGCCTGATGTCGCTCTTGAGCGACACCGTGTCGATGAATTCAAAGAGCTCTGGTCTCTTGAAGAGGGTGCGAAGGAGAGGCACGATTGGAGGCGTGCTGTCATCGAGCCAGCGAAAAGCAATAACAGAATATAGAAAGGGTTCGGCCGCGCGACGGAGTGATTTACTAACGAGACAAAGCTTAGGAAGGTCAAGCGTGGGGACGTGGCTCACGACAAGATCGAGAATCTCGTTCGGCACTTTCGAGAGCCGATCGGTCATCTCGTTCAACATGTTCGAGAACCGCGTGGTGATGGCATTGCCTGGCAAAGAAGGATCTCGTCTTGGCCGTACTCGAGTTTCAATGGCGGAACGATGATGGAAGATGGAAAATGATGGGAAGAATCGGGAGAGGGCGAGTTGCCATGGTATGCGCTGGTCCATGGACAGAGCAGACCGGCAGCTCCTTCCTCACTGCCTACATCACCGCCGGTAAGATACCAAGATAGCACATCATGGGAAAGTATCCAAGAATAGGCAATTGAGCAACTATTCGGCCCGGATGATCTGTCATAAATGGCTGGACTCGTCGCTTTCCGTTCGATTGGGTCGGACAATAACTGTAGCGTTGGCCAGCTCGCCCCCATCGAAACAATAGCATTCCTAGCATAGACCGCGTATCCTACCAAGCAAATTCAGAATAGGTACATGTAGGTCAATGCGCCCTCCATTATCGTGCTTCATACAAAGTCTAGAGCAGCAGTCGGTTGTGCTTTGGGGTCTAACAGGCAGCACTAAGTGGGGGACCATTCGGAAACGTCATCATCAACAGGGGCTAAGATGGGAAGGAGAGGCCTTTTCCAAACACGCAAGATCCTTGAAAGCCGTCGCTCAGGCAAACCCATACAGACCCTCCAAAGCCAAAGACAGGTCTCGAGCGAATACATGCGTAGCGCTGAAAATGAGGTTGCTCCACACTGAGACGCTGAGGCTTGAGTTCTTCCAAGCGGACTTTCCGCAGTATGCTGTCCTCTCGCACAGGTGGGAAGAAGAAGAGGTGACGTATGAAGACATCCGGACGGGCAGAGACGTCGCACAGCTAAGAGGGTATTCCAAGCTACAGATGAGCGCACAGATTGCCAAGGCCGCTGGGTACGACTACATATGGATCGACACCTGTTGCATCGACAAGTCGAGCAGCGCAGAGCTCTCGGAGGCCATCAATTCCATGTTCAAATGGTACAAAGCTGCTGCGGACTGTATCGCTTATCTCTCAGATATTGAGGGTAGCAGATCGATAGTAGAGAGTCGATGGTTTAGCCGTGGGTGGACCTTGCAGGAGATGATCGCGCCCAGGCAGGTCAATTTCTACGATCGTTACTGGGAGCCTCGTGGTTCGAAGGGTGACTGGAAAGCAGCTATCCAAGAACATACCGGAATTCCTTCTGACGCCCTGGATGGATCCGTGGATTTGGGCACCATTCCCATCTGTTGTAAAATGTCATGGGCAGCTGGGAGGGTCACTACCAGGGGAGAGGATGTTGCATACTGCCTTCTTGGGATCTTCAACGTGAATATGCCCTTGCTCTACGGCGAAGGACAAGACAAGGCATATAGAAGGCTCCAAGAAACTATTGTCCGAGAGAACGACGACGAGAGCATCTTTGCCTGGACGGTGCCGCCAGGTGAGGCTCTCGATGCAGATTTCTGGGGTCTGCTGGCGCCGTCTCCGGCGTACTTTAGGGGCTCGAGGAACTACTCAATTCCGCGTTTCAAGACGTGGCGAACTGGAGATCCAGTGGAAATCACGAACAGAGGACTTAAGGTGTCGTTGGCGCTTTGCCCAGTACCTGAAGACAAGTCAAGGACCCAGTTCCTCGCTGTGTTTAATTGCTCTCAGTCAAGTGAGCATTCAACCAGCGCAGCAAATTCATTCACCATCACACTTCAGAAGCTTTCGAAATTCGAGGATCAGTATGCTCGGGTTCGACCTGACATGATTCGATCAATCGATAGCATGGTCCTTATGGGCCAAGCTGAGCCGGCCGTGCGTCCCATATTTGTGCGGTCAGATCCACGACCTACCGATCCTGTACTTGGCTTCTGCGCAGACAAATCACAAAAAGTGCATTTCGATTTCCCAACAAACTCGCATCACGGGCCAGTGGTCTTAAAAGGGTTTACAAACATTGAGTTGGAAGCATCTAAGCCGTGGCTATGCCAGAAGGTGACCGATTCCCGCCAAGTCTACTCGGTCGAGCTGAGCAAGGATAAGGCTTCCGTTGAAACCCAAGACAAAACCAGCAGTCTCAACTCGAAAAAGCTCGACGCTATATTGAGGCTCCGCTGCCGCTCTTTTCTCTTGGAGGAAGCAGATGGGAATTTTCAAGCACGTTGCAGCCCTTTCCAACCTCGTCCGAGCTACGAAGACCCCTACTTGCTACTCGGGTTTGAGGCTCTGCCACCGAACGCGATGGGGACTCCGTCCGCATTCCTGAAGCCATGGTACGCCTTTAATTCTTCAAGTGAGCCGGAAGCCATTCAAGCTATCCTGTCTGGGGAGAGCTTGCTTGAACAGTCGGTTCACACAGCGCCGGGCCATTCTCGATTTCGAATTGAGCTCAAGGCCACTACTTTGAACTTCCGGACCTTTTATGAAGTAAATGCAGTCTCCTATACCGGCGAGAGTGGGACCTGAACAGAGGTTGATTCTGGGACTAGCCATGTAAAGTCAGCCATGATGAAACGAGTCAAGCCGAAGGGCGGCGCGAAAAGGATCAAGCGGCGATATTATCTTACGAAAACTATTTCAACTTCCCATCCAAGCTCTGGCATGTTACGGAGCTGCAGGGGTTGAATATAATCCCGACTCTCCCTTGCAAGCTCGGTGGCGATTCATTCATGGCGCGGCCAATGATTATGCTGATTGACCGCTCTCTGTAATGTTCTCATAGATAGGTCTAATCCAACACACGCAGCCTTGGCAAGGTGCAGTGTGTTTGGGAATGAATTCATCTGTGAATTATCGATGTGCATGTCGTTGATTGGAGACTCTTTGTCCTGGTCTAGCAGACACAGCTGAGACTACAAAAGGCAGATTGGGGTGGGCGACATGACGATCTACATCCCCACAACGACCAGGCAAACCCTGCTCTAGATGAGCTTAGTTAGGTAGGTTTAACAGACGATCTCTCGAATCTGTATCGTCGGGTTGGCGGCACATGATGTTCCTAGTAAGCTGATGATGGTCTAAAGGCGCCGTCAATGCATCGCTGACGTTTCATTCGGTCCTTAGAAAAAGGTCCCGTAAAAAAAAGGAGGCCGCGTCTCCCGACCAAGTGTAGCTGTATAAGTTGAGTCGTCCACGCCAATTCTTTTGAATCAATTCGTCCACAGCACGGTTTAGCATTTTTTCCATTATTCAACCCGTCATCATGAAGAGCTTTGCCAAGTCCCTACGCCAGCTGACAATCGCCAGCTTGGTCCTGGGTACCTATGGTAGATATCACCATTCCCCACGATATGAGATGCGTAAACTAACGAGGACGAGTCACAGCGCAGGAAATTCCCCTCCGCATCATGCCGCTTGGAGCCTCCATCACTTATGGCTACCTCTCGACCACTGGAAACGGTTACCGCCAAGATTTGCTCGAGAGCTTGAATGGCGCCGGCTACACGGTCGATTATGTTGGCAGCCAACAAAGCGGCACCATGGCCGACCCGGACAATGAAGGGTACCCTGGTCTCCGTATTGAGCAAGTCCAGACAAAGGCCGAGGAGAATGTGCCGACCTATCTCCCCAATGTGTACACGATCAATGTCGGGACCAACGATGCGGTGCAGAACTTCGACGTGGCAAATGCTGGCAGTCGCATGAATGACCTCCTCAGCTACCTGTGGTCGGCGACACCAGACGCGACCGTGATTCTGTCCACCTTGATCATCAATCTCAACGCAACCGTAGATACGCGGGCGCAAACCATCAACACGCAGCTGACTTCTCTCACCAGCCAATTGGCAGGTGAGGGCAAGCGGATTGTCTTGGCTGACATGCACGGTTCCGACGGGCCTCAGTCGGATGAAATGGCCGATAGCACGCATCCCAACGACGTTGGCTACCAGAAAATGGCCGATATCTGGTTCCGCGAGATCCAGCAAGCCTCCGCAGCCGGATTCATCCAGCCAGCACCTTAGAGAACAATAGAGTAGATACAATACACAGATGGTGGTGATCGTGACTGGCAATTGCTTATCGTATTGTGAGTTTGTGAAGATGACTGTGCCCAAGGTCAGTGGGTACTTATGCACATCTGGCCCTCCTCCAGCCAATCCACTACAGCGACTGAACACAGTCGATCATCTTCCGTAGTATAGTGGTCAGTATGCAAGCTTGTCACGCTTGAGACCCGGGTTCAATTCCCGGCGGGAGAGTCCGCCAACCGACTTAGTCGGCCATCTTTTTTGCTTTTTTCCCGCTACCTCCTTTGCCTCTTTCCTCTTCCCGCTCTCGCTTCCCATTCCGTACTTTTTTTCACGTACTGTTGATTGATTTGCACAGACCGAATTCTAGTGGCCCGCTATATTGAATGTACCTCTCAGGTTTCCCTACCCTATACCCATTAACCGTCTCTCGTCAGAGCATGCGCGCAGTGGGTTTACATGATCATCTACCTAGAACAAGATGGCTTCTGGGTATATTACTGTTAAGCAAGCTGAAGTTGTTTGGCAGGTTTGATAATTTAGCCAGGTACATTGCCTCGATAAGACCTGTCACGTTTCCTGGAACTACCGATGGGGTAGGCGATAGGACCAACGAGTTCACCATCTCATTTATCCGCGACGCATATCTTTCGCAATGGTAAGAGGCCAGATTGGACTACCGTTAGAAACGTGACCATCAAGGCCGCCAAGATAGCTTTGGAGATACTGGAACCACGTTTGGTATTGAACGCTGGCCTTGGGCCATCCGATGGGTTTAAATATGTGACCTGACCCAAATACCTTTCCATACCCTCCGAGTGCTAACACTTATATTAATTCCACCATCTTCAGTCATTACGCGTCCCCAAACTCCCAGTTGTATGTACATCACACCTCCTTCCTCAAGTAAGTGCTCTAAGCATGTACTACGGATATTCACAGCGAACGCTAAATGTTAACAAGAGCTTCCTCAACCTGATAAGATGCCCGAAATATACAGTGAGGGGTGTCAAATTCTACCCCCGAGTCAAGATTACGACAAGATCCTCGCATCATACTCTTCCTTTTCCGGAGCACGATATGCTCAACTACGATCCATTAGATGAGCCATTACGTCCATCCTAAATACTTAGTTTATGATTATCTCAAGGCAGTAGTTATTGGAAGAGTTGAATGCTTACTATGACACCGTGCAGAGCAGCTCAAAACGTTTCAGTCTTCATATTCAATCAAGTATAACAGCATTTGCATCCTCAAGCGCACCAAATTGCCAATATGGCAACAATTGACACGAGGCCGATCCCAAGACCTCCAACTGCTTTGTTCCCTCCATGGCTGAGTATGACCAGGCCGACAAAGAGAAGAATGAACCCCACTACAAGAACCCCCCCAGAAAGGAAGAAGAAAAACTGAACCTTGTCATGAACCGTCGCGTCTGCCAATACCTGGTCTGGGGGGGCATTTCGAAGCAATACCAGGATAATAATCGTGAGAAATAAGCTCAATATAAAAACGAGAAGGCAACGGAAAGTATGATTTGCAATGCGCCTGTGTCAAACTCCTTGCCGCAGCACGGCGTTGGACATGTTGTCACGTTGCCATAGGTAAAGGCACCCGCAAAGGTGGCTACCAACGCTAGGGCATTTGCAATTCCTATATAAGAGGAGGGGTACTGAGCGAGTTAGAATATTCGTCATGATAATAAAGACGCGTAATTCTGCACCTACACTCGCGGGCATTTTGTTGTAATCAAAGGATGGATGGTCGTTTATCGGAGTAGCGAAAGGGTGAAAATTTGGTCTTCGGTAGTGTATTGATCCTTTGTAGTCGATTTTGGTTTACAATAATTCCAGTTACACAGGAATTCAAAATCCACGCTTGTTTGCGAGGTTCAAGGTTTTTGGGGCCTTTGTTTGTTAACGTGGAATCTAACTTCCAAGCATGTTAGGCTCATGATACCAAAAGATGGTCATGTGTGGACAACCCCTCGGGTAAAGGTGCTCTCACCTTCCAGTCACTACGGAGAAATCTAAGGCAAGACTCTAAGCATCCCGCTTGAAATCTGTACAACCAGACTGAAGTGTTCAGGAATGCAAAAAGAACTTAGGAGCCACTTGTTGATCACACGGACGCCGAGCACGGCTAGTAGTGTAAAGCTAATCTCTAAACTCATATTATGCACGAATTACAAACGGCGTGAACCGGTCTGAAAAGCGCTACTTAAGCTCTCACTAATTTCGATATGCATCGCGATTTCAAAATTTTCCTCGGCCTTTTTGGTTAATACAATTGATGCTTTGATATCATGATGATAACATGAAGAGAGGCTACCCCGTGGTCTCCTGTGCTCGCTATCTCAGACCTATATTCTCACCTAAACTGGTTGTAGAAATCACTGCAGATAAAAACCAAGTGTCCAGTATCAATTCATCATAGAAAACGGTAGCGAGGGATGAAACGTCATTGGATCTTGATACTTTCTGCCACTGTGAGGGTGAGGGATGAGGTGGTAAGATTGCGGACCGCATATTACACTGGGTTGTTCGGATTCTAAAAATGTTGAAGGAGCTTGGCTCGTACAATTAGTGGTGGCAATGGATATGGTTCCACCAATGTTTGAACTGAAAGAATTCTATTTATTTGGACGCAACAGATTCTGTTTGTTGAACTGAAAAGATTCTCTTTGTTTGGCCTGATGCAGGGGGGGGGCTTATTATTCGCGTTTCCTCACCAGCAAAAGGTTTTTGGGTACAGAGCCGAGAAGAGGCGTCTAAGTCAAAGCTTACTCCTTGAGGAATGCTCGAGGCCGAGTTCGATGACTTGAAGCTCAATACCTATCCTACATGCGATGCGGAATAGCAATTTTGTTGCGGTGTGAAGTGTTTAGCCAGGTCATTGGAAAAAATAAAGGTAGCTAGCCTGGTCGAAGACTGCTCAAATATTCATCCAATTATATCTGAGAAAACAGGCAAAGCTTAAGGGGCCTAGACACATTCTCAGCTCTTGAAGCCCCATACTTGCGCCACGGAGTCAGGAGGAGGTCTTAAGTTCAGGGACGCGGCACAGACCTTTCGTTCCTCAGGGCTTCTAGGCCGACTCGGGCAAGCACTGGCATCCCCACAAGCGGCTGTCAGCAAAGGAGACTGTCCTGAGGCCGCCATGGATCTGATTGCCTGTAGAGTAGACGTATCGTCGAGGTTCTGTGGCCGGTAGTTTGGTATTACATCGCACGATCCGCATCCCGGCGGGTTTTGTATCGGTGCCTCGAGCTGGCCTTGTGACCGGCTTGATCTTTGCAACAAAACATGACCAAGATGTCCAATTAATGATTAGCCCGACGAGATAAGAAGAAAAGCGGTGGAGTTTCATGATTTCGAAGCTTGTTTTAGCACTGCAGGCTCTGGCAGCTCAGCTCGAAAGCCATGTCTACTACATGCATCCGGGAGGGTGTCCGATGGCATCCCTGTATGACTCCCATTTCCTCTGATTTATTGTAGGTATGAATGACGCTCACTGATTGGAAATTAAATCACGTAGTCAGGCTTGTCTCCTGTGTCATGTTTTTGTACAGTTGCAAAGTTGGATGCCTGACTTCGATGGACGCGCTGATCACCCCTTAGCTATGATCATGTAACTTTGGCCGCCTACAGTCAGACAAATGGCTGGAATGTCTCTTAAATATGGCTAGAGAACCGCTTTATTGTTTCTAACAGTGCCGACTGACTGTTAAGCTGAGGCAATGCTGAAGTCAGGTAGGTCGCTGGGGAACGAAGAAGATGCAACTAACAAAGCTCTCCAAAGGGCTTTCGCATCTCAATAGCCCGAAATAACGCTAGAGATGAACTCCTTCGTCTCTATATAAGATATCTTCTATTAACAGACACTAACGATGATCAACATAGGAATCCAATCTTCATTCTTGTATGTCTCTACCCTCCCTCAGTCCTCCATCAAAGCACCCGGAAAGGTGCCCGGTTAGCTCAATCGGTAGAGCGTGAGACTCTTAAGAGTTCACATCTCAAGGTTGCGGGTTCGACCCCCGCATCGGGCTGTTCCTATATGAACGATTGATAACATACTTTTTGAATTTTTGTTTTCCACCAGAGTGGTCCGTGTAAGTTTGTGCAAGTTTGTGCCACCCCGCCAGAATCCACTATTACGAGCCCCGAAAAGGTGGGGCGGGCACGAGTAGACAGACATAGAGTGTCCACGCAAGTGACTGACAAAAATGACACACCTGGAGCCTCCAGTTTTGAGTTGACATAACGTCACAATAGTCAAGCTCATCACAATAATCAACATAGTAATCAACACAATATCAGGCTAAATATCATAGAATAATTTATCATTTTCTTATCGTTGTGTTTAGCATTAGTAGGAAGAAAACTAGGTCCCTACCTTTAATAAAAAGGGTTCTAGTGTACCAAGGTTTACTTTAGCCATTTGCCACGCGAAGAACAAGATTTTCGGACACTTGCTACGTAAAGAACAACAATTTTTATATAAGACTCCAAAATCCTCTTCAAAATGCTTAGCCCGCTCAAGCCAAGACCTTCTCGAGCCACGAAAAAACATCGCCCAGAAAACCCAAGCATATTGCGGAGATGGAACCAAGCATCGAAGAGAAGAACCTGTACTTCTCTGGCCTTCCCAGCTGTCCAAGACTGGTGGCGCGCTCAAACTTTCATGTCATTTTCAAACCTTCAAATGGTGGTGGCCGGTTTTGGCCCGTCAAGAAATATCTGTCCCCGATGTCGCTTAACCATAAGATAGCCGCGTTATGGGATGGTGGTCCCTTGCGAAAGGATATCATCAATGCCCTTGATGGAATCAACTGGAAAGCCATCGAAATACTTCGCCTGGGCTTCCATCGGGATCCAGATCGACCCGAACAGCCAGAACCTGAGCACCCACACGTCCTTCTCGTCTCTGTGGCTAACACGACATGGTCACAAGGCTTCCCAGCAGTAATGTCGTGCCGTCGCATCATGGAGTGGTATGGGCTTGATGACATACACTGTGAGATGAAAGAATCGGTAGTCGAACACTCTCCCTCTACACCTCATGAGGCGCCCCTGTTGGCCCCAAATTGACCTCACAATCCGAATTCCTCCCCGAGCCTGAGGACCAGCCAAACGTTCATAATCGAACCATGGCCAGCGAACGTCTTGGGACCTCGATTGCCTCGCTTGATGATCCTACGCGGGAGGGTACTAAGGGTCTTTACCTCAGACATAAGGACACTGGAGCAATATTGGTGTTGACTTGCCGACATGAGATTTTCCAAGGTTCCGAGCTATCGAACGATCTATATCAACATAAAATTCTGGACTTTGGGGGGCCATCTCTGGTTCCCATAGGGGGTTACTGCAGCTTAAAGGAATCATGCCAGAGGCCGAAATCAAGATGCCCACCACCATGGACAGCCATAATAAAGAGCCTCGACTGGTGGTGGCCATGTACGGAAACATCAGTAAGGTGAAAACCGGCTTCTCCAATTGTATCACGTCTATCTTGCGAGGGGTGATTAACGGCGAGGTGGAATACAGTGAAGAGTGGGGCATTATCGAACGGAAGGCCGGCTCTTCAACCGGGTCAAAACCTTTTGCTGTACCAGGTGATTCAGGCTCTTGTATTTGGGACATGGATGGACGTGTTGCCGGCATTGTGGTTTGGGGGCTTGATGTTACGTATGCCCACCCTATCGAGTGGCTTTTAGAGGATATTCGTACCCAGTCCGGCATCTATGTAGAGTTAATCTAAGTTAGAGGACCAGCGTTAGCATCCGAATCTTTGTATCCCACCCCAGAGCATGTCCCGGAAGGCCCCTTCCCCGTACGTTAGAATTGGCAGTCACGGAGAGGTGAATGCTTTCCCAGTATGTCTCCCTGGTAACAGCGCTATTGTAGTAGTCGGTATTCGTGATATGGAAGTAACTACCAGATATATTTTAGTTTCTTTTGATAATGTTTTGATCGTGCTTCTTGGTCTCTAAATTCTTTCTTTCTTTCTTCTTCTTCTTCTTCTTCTTCTTCAGCATTGATTATCCTCCTTTATTATTTCTGGACATTTTCTGTAGTTGCTGACGCACTACAAATTGTTTTCCTTCTTCCCGGTGCCGTTCGCTTTTTGGTCTCCGAGGCCAACCCTTCAGATGGCCGACCCTTTGTTTTCTCCGCCTTCCTCACTTATCTCTGGGTCTTTTTTTTTTTTTTTTTTTTTTTTGCTCTCTGCCCTCAACACAATACACGTCTAATTGCGTCCAACGACATGTTCTTCTCCACAACAATCCGTTCATTATGGTTTCGACTTCAGGTCAAGGTCGAGGCCGGACCGAGAGTTTAAGTCAGGCGAAGACCCAACTGTCGACGACTATTCCAAAACCTTTGAGGATGTTTATGAGGAAGCCATTTCAATCGTAAGTTGCTTCTCTCTCTCCTCTCTCTCTCTCAATTTCTAGCTGCATTATTGGCCCTGGCCTAGTATTGGAAATGGGCCTGATACCGCAAGAAACTTCTCATTGACCGCCGGCGATTTGTTTTCTGTTTGAAGCAAAAGCCGTACATCTACAACACGGAATACGATCAACAATTTTCCCATCAATAAAATACCGCTAATTGATCCGTACTGCCAACCCCTCATCGTAGATGGCAGTAAGATGAGGATGTGACGCTGGAATACCCACATAGGGTTACCATTTATGGTTTTCGGGGCACTCATGTCCGGCTACATTCAGCCGCGATCGGAATACTTCCCAAAATTTACAACGGCTTTGGTTTGCGCCAATGAAATTGTTCATAGCGGTCTCCCAAGTTAAAAGTGCCGGACTGTTGTGGGCGGTTTCCAAGGGGAGACGCTCGTTCGATGTAGCTGTTCTTTAAACCCATAGACTCCCCTGCGCAGGAGGAAATGCAGCCACACTACTCACTCCTCTCTTGTAACAAATCATCTTATTTCTTGCTTCAACTATTCTTTCCGCCATGCGAATTAGCTCATTTCTCTGTGCTTTTACGGCAGGCCTGGCCCAGGCACTGCCCACAGAGATTGGATCACGGGCCGCACTGCCAGCATATTTTATTCTAACAGGAGATTCCACAACAGCCAGTGGAGGCGGCTGGGGCGATGGCTTCTTAAGCTATGCTCAAAATTCAGCTTCTGGAATAAATCACGCAAAAAATGGTGCCACAACTGTATCTTTCAAGTCAGATGGATACTGGGCAAAAGCCATCCAGTCTATCAAGGACAACAAGGCTAGTTATCGGCCAATCGTGACTATTCAATTTGGACACAATGACCAAAAGGCAGAGAAGGGCATTTCTGTCGAGCAATTCACAACCAATCTGAAGACGATGGCCAACGAAGTTATCTCTGCGGGCGGCACTCCAGTAAGATCCAAGATATCCGAGCATACCCGTATCAAAACAAAGGATATTAACTATTTCATCAGATCATCGTTACTTCTCTAAGCCGTCGCACATTTAGCAATGGAAAGGTTGTTGAGAATCTGGCAGAGCACTCCGCTGCCGCGATTTCGGCTGCCAATTCCCTCGGTATCAAATATCTGCCCCTAAACCGGGCAAGTACAGATTATTTGAACGCTATCGGCCAGACAAATGCAGACAAGTACAACATGGAAGAGGGGGATAGAACACATCTCAACTCGGCTGGCAAAATCGTGTTTGGACGCATGGTCGCCGACCTTCTTGATGTCGCGAGACCCGATTTGAAGACGTATTTGAAGGACAACAAAGCGCTCAGTGATAAAATTGCAAAAGGCGAATTTGCTACAGGCTCAGAATAGCTTCAATCAGGACCAGAAGGAGGGGAATATACCATAGGTACTCAGCCAACTCAAGTTGGTCAACAATTTGGTTCGCTATTATATGAAATTTCTGAACATCAGTGAGCTGGTTTTCGCCCCTGCAGAATCGCATGCCTTCTTTCTCCTGCTTCTACACCCTAAATATAACTGAGGAGAATGCGCGCAGGTCAGTGGATATGTAATTTTGAACATTAAGGCCAATGCCATGGCCGACTTTTATTGAGACATGAGCTGAAATACTTGGGTATCCTATCTATGATGTAATTCTATCTATCCCACCCAAAGTGATTGCGTATTCTAGTATGTCTATTCGACCAAACGCATAAAAATACAACAAAGAAAACGAAAAATCAAAAGCAAAAAAAAAACCGAGCCAACCCAACCAGTAACCTCCCTCTATAATTATTCCTGTGATTGTACAAAAAAAAAAAAGAGAAAAAAGAGAAAAAAGAGAAAAAAAGAGATAAAAAGGGAAAAAGGGTAAGGTTCTTTTCTAGTGATCTGTAACATCCTCGTCGCGTCCAGGATACATGATATCCTGGATATAAACAGCCCTGATGAGCCAGACGAAAACGCCGATGAAAAGAGTGATGACAATAATGCTCATCGCAGTTGCAACCCATAAGATTGCCTCAGATTGGAACTCATTGCCGATAGAAATAGTCGCGAGAGTGAAGCCGGTGTTGGGAAACACCATTGCCCAGGTGCCAAGGTGGAAGTATTTTGGCGGGGATGCAATGATAGAGATAGTAGCGATGCAGAACCACCAGAGGCTGATGGTCCACATGAAGACAGCAGCAAGCAAGGCCACAGTTCGGATGGTATCAACATGAGTTGATATGCTATCAGTGCTGGTGAGGTTTTGGGGGATCTTGTTTGCCAGGCCAATGAGGGCAAGGGCTGTGAAGGCTGGTGGTCCAACACACATGAACAGCGCTGGGCGATGCTCCCTGTTTGGGAGCCCAGACTCCATCAGTCTTCCGATCATATGAGCGTACATCATGAAAGACACAGAGAAGCCCAGACCCTGGCAAGTCAATCCAGCCGTGATGATAGCCATGGGAGAGATGTTATCCTGGGCATCCAGAATCACAGTAGCAATCGTACCAGTCAGCATGACTGGGAAGATGGGCAAGATCCAGCTTGGCATCATAGACTGCAGTTTGAAGCTATGGCTATCAAACAGATATGTGTATTGTCCAACCGCCAGTATAAAAGTGAAGGTCAAGTAGACCCAAAAGATGGTCTTCGTCGCCCACACCGTTGGAACATTATTCTCCGGTATTGCGTATCGCTGTGTGGTTGTGATGATAGTTGCTACAGCGAGGAAGAATGTTGGGAAGAAGAAGCCCTCGCGAGGATGCAGAAGGGACTTGGTTAGGGATCCAGGGTGCAGAATGAAGCGTGTAACAAGACCAAGACATATGGATGTGAATATGAAAAGGTTTAACGCATACAAGACCATCCCAATGGTTTTGAGACCCTGAAACTGGTGTGGTTGCATGTAAATGAGGAGAGATATGCCACCACAGCTCATGGGGAAAGTAAACCATGCCCATGTAAAATGAAGCATCCGTTCACGGATTGAGATTGAGTGCCGCCTGTGGACCTCATTGTTGATAGATTCGTCCGGGGTATCTAGGCCCGGCTTTGAGACGATCGGTCGGAGCGCGATGCGTTGAAGGTCAATGTCTCTCTCCCGGCTGCTCTTGTCACCCGGGCGAGAAAGCAGATGTAGACAATGGAGATTATCTGTGGAGTTTTGTCGGGTCGGTGCCGTGGAGTTTTGTGCGGTCGTCGTGGTCGAGGAGAAACCGGGGTAATCGTGACGCTCCATGGTTAACTATTAAACGATTGTTTAGGGAAATATCACTGTGAGAAGTCATTTGAATGATTGTATCTTGTCAGCCGGCGTACTAATAGCAGCCTTCGACGGGATCCGTATCCCCTTATATCCCTAGAGAAACTCAGGGGAGCACAGCCATACAGCTAAGGTCTCGTAAACACGTTTGCTAACAGGTGATTGACCGGCTAGCTAGGAACCCAATCAGGCCCAATAGCGGAGCCTCACAAGGTCATCCCTTGCCACAGGCGTGAGAATCATGGCAAAGCAGGTATGAAAACACAAAACAAGTAGATGGTCCGCGATTCGGGCCTTGTGGCTCGAGCGTATCGCCTCGCCTAGCGTTTCGTTCTGGCAAGACTCCTGGTCAGTGGACATCTTCCAGGGGACTGATCCCAAGGTCTGATCCTGTATCGTCCGAAGGAGAAAAAGAAGCAATGGGATGTCTACCAAGATCCAGGGGACCCTGGCTGATCTGTTGTAGAATTTGAGCCAAGTCCAATGAGTGCCGCTTTGCTAACGTGATCCGACGGCGCGGGCGATGACCCGGAGCGGCGGTACCAGGATATAAGATTCGGCCATATCCACTGCCAAGTTCAGAAGGGTGTGGTCGATAAACGAATGCACAAGGGGGGTGGGAATGCCACCGACAATCTACGATCTACGGGAACACGCATCAAAAGGTGAGCGCATTAGAGGAGCCCAACACGCAGTCTTTGCAGCAGTGAGTATCTCCATTTCATCTGATCTGAAGATCTCACGTTTTATTTTGACATTTTCCATCCATATCTTCTCGTACTACGTAATTGCCCTGTCAAGTTGGGCTGCAACAATGGTAATCTCCAAGCAGCTTCAAACCCCGGCCCCTTGTTAGATAAGCACTCGACAATCAAGTCATAAACCCTGAAGCTCCCTGCTATTTTAGGATTAATGTGTGTGTTCTTATCATTCTGAAAATTGTGAAATATTTTCTCTTCCACTTATTCAGCGATTAGCTCCGAGTTGACAGGAAAACGTGGTCGGGATGGACAGGGGGGAGCCGCCGCCAACGACAAATACGGACCAGGCGATAACCTTCGATGATTCATGCACAGCCCACCATGGACCGGGCAATGACTGATTTTTCTGGCGGTTTCAGCCGATGTCTCAACGATCCTGTGAAACCTCTTCTCCTTCCCTGAGAAGAGTAGAAAGTTCCATTTTCACCATCCCTTGACCTCTGATATGCATCACCCTAACACGGGCCGCCGCCAATACCGCAGTTAGCTTGGAAATGGCTGAAGATCACACTTTAAGCCGACCGTTGATCAGTTCCGCGTTGTCATTGGAAAACACTACGATGGGACGGGGGCGTACGCGTCAGAGACAAAGACCAGACACATCTCTCGATTCAACATCCCACTCTCACCACGCCAAGAAAAAGCACCTGGTTGTGTGAGTAAGATGAAAAAAGGTGTGATTAGGCTCAGGCCGGTGAGAGGTCAGGACGAGAAGACTGGCCCACCGGGAGAATCCGGAAACCTGTCCAACGAAAGTTTTATAGTGGGACGTGTGGCTAGAACAAGGCGCGGCTCTGAGCCAAGGACAGGGGCGCCGGGGGGTACAGCCTGGTTCCGGATTGACAGCCTGCCCAAGCATTTGCTTTGCCACATGCATGGACACCAATGATTCATGTTTGGAGAACGTGCCGTGGATGGAGGATTTGGTAAGTGACATTCAGACCCAGATATCATCCACGAATACGGGCGGATGGTACTCATTCTATGGATTGCATTTTCTAACAATTGCGACAGTCCAGCACTGTAGAGTAGCAACATTAAGATCGGCAATGTGGCGGGTTTAATTATATCCCCTGGAAGTATGGTGGCCACAGCATCGTCACATCGGCGTACGAAGCAAAAACGCAGTCTTTGCCTATTGGGGGATTGTGGGTTTGAGAGACATGTTTACTGACAGGCCAACTGCAAATCATACCTGCTTTATCAAGTCAAGGTAATATAATATGTTCAATATAATCTCTGTAGGTGACGAGGCGTTGCACAATTCACCGGTGTCTGCATTTCGAGTACCCATCCCTTTGGATCAGGCATGTCACTCCTCGATTCTTTGCGCAATGGATTACAGGTGACACTTCCAGAAGGTCATCTAGCGTTCGAATGGATGCCTGATGACCTCTCAGGCTCTTGCGTCGAAGAATGGATGTGATTTCGACAAAGCCCCTCGCTTTTATGTCACATGACGCAGCAGTGCCCTTGCCCTGGTCCGAATTACTTTCAGCACTCTCTTATCGAAATTCAAGTAGGCAAGGGTGAATGAAAATCAAAATTCTAATTGTACTCTACTAATCTCCTATAGATCTAAACTGACTGAATAAAATGACACGGTATCTTATTAGACGTATAACTCCGACGCTAACAAGAACTCCAAAGAAACAACTCTCTCTCAAGACCGTCGTGTTCGCATATATATCACCCCCATTCTCTTCATTTGTCTGTCCTCTTCCAATTTCGTGATGCTGGTAGAAAACTTTCCAACCCAAGTGTCGAGGTATCAGAATGTACCCGTTTATGAAGCTCGGCCATTACCCGGCGCTACTTCTTCACTAGTTGAATTATTTTGTGCCGTTGAAGTAGTACGAGGTGAGGATGGGTTGGTAGCAGGTGCAGCCCGATTTTCCGTTGTAGCAGAGCTGTTCGGTGGTGCTACGTAAGCCGGCGGTTCGTCCTGTGGCTTGGCCAGACCCGAACTTGATGTGGAGTGCGAGTCTGTGGTCAACGCGGTGCTGTTTTCTTCTCGTTGGTATACCGGCAGAGTGTCCGTTCTTCCTCGCTCTGCCAGCGCTATCGTAGGCGGCTGGGTGGTGGGTTCGGATGGCTTATAGAACTTGCGCCTTACGAGCCCAACGGTGACGACGATCAGGGCTACGACGGCCAGTGGGATGGCGATGATTCCTCCAAGCGGGAAATAGTAAGGGTGATCGTCATCCCTAGATAGTATCGACACTTGTTCGCTTGCTGGCGCCGGTGCGGCTGGGGCAGCGACAACCAATGCTGGGAGTAGGCTGAGTAGCTTGAATGATGATTGCATGCGGCTGTTCATGTTGATCTTTGTTGTCGGTAGAATATGGATGAGCGCTGGTTGGGAAGACTGTAGATGAGAGCTGGCTTGAGAGGTAGGAAGGATCATGAAACCAAGACCGGCCAGGGAGTATTTAATCTTTCAATGGAAGCTTCCTGTCCTGAGAATGTCAGATTGATCATCTGGAGTATTATTAGCATAGCCACACAAGAGCGTACCGAGCCATCGAGTGTGGCCATGCTTAGCGCATCGCGGAGCGTATGGCGTATTGCTTATCGCGTATTAGATGCCCTCACTTCTAGCCGAAGAAAAAGAACAATTCTAGAATTCAAATGAAAACTTAAACTTAAATTTAATTTAAAATTGCCATATACTTGTCTTGCCCTATTATTGAGTAAGATATGCAGGGTCAGTTTGTTCCCTAAGTTGCTTGTCTTCGACTCGAGGTAAAGTGCAAAACGGGAATTCATTTCTGTGGTAAGAGAGGATTCTTTTATTTTTGACCTGAGGAGTGTTAACCATCGTGAAAACATCGTGAAATATCTTACAGTAATTTACAGCAATGCGCCGTCGTAACGCAGCAGGCTCAGATACAATGAACCACAACCAAAGCATTATCCATTATAAACACCAGCATCTTGAATGAGCTCAGTCGTCCGAGCATATCCCTAGGTGAGTTCACCCATCGATGACCTCGATGACGCCGTTGATATAGGGAAACTCGCTATGCTCTACATAGCACGTTTTCGGGGTAAACCACCAATGCAATCTCCCTGACCATGGAAAAGTTTCCCAGGAAAGCGATCCCGTGTTGGGAGAAACGATATCCATCTCACTGACATGTGTGCGGCTAGAATATTTTGTCATTCCGAGGTAAAGACCGGAAGATTTCACCACACGAATATGTTTGCCAGCAGCGTCTAGTCGGAAATCCCCGACTGCGGTTTCGTCTCCATTTTCATAGCGGAAAAGCATCCCGGATATCCATTTACGAGAGGAAGCCTCTAACCGGCTAACGACAATTTCCTTGACATCTTCAAGAGAAGCTGACGAATGGAAGGAGGCGAGCTTGAAAAACGGGGATGCCGCCATTGTGTGTACGGGCAACGGCTTCTTCGGGTATTTTGAACGCATCGGTCCTGCGATACATGTAACTGCTCGGCCATCAGCATGAGGACCGTCGAGCCACAACCGATCGGAGCCGGTTGTTGAAAGCTGAGCAATACACGTCCAAGGGCTGCTTGAATCGGTAAAATCCACGGTCTTGAATGGGCCAACGGCCAATATCCGGCACATTGAAGTCTTCAACTGCGATTTTGTTAGTAATTCATCAAACACTGTGCAGGGGATACGGGATATCTTACCGCGAGCGTAACATCGAAAGAGTAATTGCCATGCCTGCACCATACTTGGTCGACTCTCTCTCCTGATTTCATTGGCATATAGGTCCAGACCAAGTCCCCACCACGGTTGGCAGTTTCTTGATAGAAACTTTGATCCTCTCCGGGTTTATGGGCGTGCAGGCGTAGTAGGGCAGCCCCGCGCTTAGAGTGCTTGGGTACGATCCAACATGCGGTGTATCCTGTACAATCAGCCTCATTGATGGTAAATGAGAGAAATCTCGGGACTCCCAGTCGCGCGTTCAGCCGCATCAGGGACAAGACTGCTAGCTCGGAGGGTGGAAGAGGTTCTGACCACGAACAGTTGGCGGGGATGTGCCGGAGTTTGGTATCACGCCCATTTGACGGCATTTTGAGTTGCTGCAATTTGATTCCCTGGATCACATACGTTAGATAATGGACGAAATATACTTCACGATTCTGCAGGCAGGGCTTTGTAACTCACGTCGGAAGAAAATACGAACTCGGCATCCATGTCTTCGACCGGGTGAACCCGCCACCACACACACCGGTCTGATGAACTGTAGACTGCCGGAGGCGTTCTGGATATGTGCACCTGCCGTATTCCCAAATGATCTTCCATAATGTAGAAGCTTATATTTTCGCCTTGTGAGCCAGCTTCAAAGATTTGTTTGGCGTCTGGGTTTGGATCATGCGAGAGGCTCGACACATATGCGACGCCGTCGATCCAGACATACGTCGCCCATATATCTTCCGAAAGAACCACAGCTGACTCTCCCCGGTAAGGTGCCGTCCATAATGACGTGATTGCGTACTCGAGAGAGAGATATGCTGCTATCATCCGCCAAATTTCAGTAGGAAGTTTGCAGTCGCGGCCAATTGTAGTTCGAAGAAGGTCGCAGAGCATGTCTGTAGAAACTCGCAGTCGACGCTCGTCCTCAGACATAGGAGGATCATACCAGTAGATGCTGGTGGTGTACAGTCTATGTATAGGCGATCTAGCGCACTGAGTTCGCCTGGCAAAGACAGACCTGAAGATCCCAGTGCTGTGTAAAAATCCCTTCACACTGAAAGGGTGTATACTTCCCCCGGCAGGCTGTCTAACGTCGTACAGTCTCTCCAGGCTATTTTTCGTTAATGCGTCGATAAGATCGATCCCGGATGGCTTGCTATCCCTATCAATCAATTCAGTATAGGGCCACAGGGGCATGCCGGATCGAAATTCCAACAAAGGCTCCAGCTTGGTCAAAAATGCCAGACATCTGCTGTGACACCCAATTGCGGGTTCATGGCGGCCAATGTCCTGAACTGGTGCTGAGCAGCACTGTATTTTCCTCCCCCATTTCCTGTCTACGTGAGAAGAGCCGTAGCGATACGTGAACGGGGCAGTCTGATAGTTGTCCACGGACACTAAAATCGATGTCAGCGGCCAACCCATGATAGCTGGGAGGGGTGTCATTTGTTATTATAATGGCTTGAGGCAAACGTACCTACGACAGCGTCGTCGCCCTCCTCAACCTTGTAGCGGCAAAGTCTGCAGCGAGGGAAAAAATACAAGACTCGAGGTCTAGGCATGTCGCTAGATGATGTGTTGAAACTGCTTGATCGAGTCCTTTGGAAACATGGCGGTAGGTGAGGCGCATGTCAGTGTCCGGCTTCTTAAGGTGGTTAATGGCGAGGTCCGACACTGTGCCTATCTACTTGCTATCTAATTCCCGACGTGCACAGCAGCTGAGGTCGGCTGCATCAGTCTGGTGACCGCTTTGAGTCATACAGCGCTTAACCCAGTGAGATCAGTAGGCTGACAGGCATTGCTAGAAGTGGCTGCCAGAAAAACAGGGACAACGAAGTCGCACATGGTGGCAGCTTATGAGGGTTGTGGCTGAGTAAATCGTCCCACAACTGAGAGAATGCCTAAGAGTCGCTTTTGCCCAGAATCAGCCCTAGCGGCATCTAACTCTACTTGGTGAATTTTCTCGGGCTCATTTTACGGACTGGGCAGACTCTCCAAGCTTGACCTTGACCGTCACCTCTACTTATGACTGGTTGGCATAATCCAATGTAGACTCTAGTAACACACATTCAGAAGCGAGCCGGTGCCTTTTTTTTTTATTTATTTTTTAAATATTTTTCTGGTACAAGTTGAGTATTAATTTGTTCACACAGAAAGTAGACTAAGATCTTAGTCTAATACTCACTTCTGGTTTGCCAAAGTAGAAGTGACATCGTCTCCTTGAGAGTGTGAGTCGACACTGTAATCTCCCAATAGGTGGTCATGATAAGGGCGCGCTCTAAGATTGCATCAGTATTACCCAGTTCAGGTAGTTATGATTCCATGGCTGAGCTCAAAAGGGCTTTTTGTGTCTACTGCATGCGTGCCTCCAGGGTAGGCTACTTTTGGGTTGACGAGGCTCATCCAGCTGCTTAAGACAAGCTACCACAGGTCGAGATCGATAGCTTGTAATTTTTGAAGAAGTCCCAATATTGATATTTAATGTAGATGGACTTAGAGTAAGCGGCCTCTAAGTTTGCACAGTGAATGGCCAGTATTTGTCTGTGGCAGGCACTGCTTGCACCCATTCTCTTTCACTTCAACAAACAACAAGCATGATTTTTTACTCAGTTCTGGCACGAATATCTGGCCAGTGGTGATTCTAGTTTCTAGAAAGTACCGCGGTAGTGCCTAGATTAAGCTATACAAAGGACTGACGAGAGGATCCGACACGATTAGACAAAGGATTCACTGAGCCTCGGGATCGACCCCAAATCTCTGTTCCATATTTCACGTCTTTCAATCAGTGCGCAAGATCCGTCTGTGAGTCAAGTTTATGATTCGTATAAATTCAGATATAAATTTCTTCTCGGTGTTTGTTCTCGTCCAACATGCAAGAACTTTTGGTCTTTCAGACAAAGTACCCTCATCTCAAAGTAAGCATAAAAATCGTTGACTATGGCCGTGGAATATCGCATCCTAAGGCCACGTAAAGCTGCATATCTTACAATGAGCTCATATTTCAAACAGAGAGTCTTCCAAAAACAGTCATAAAACGCCACACCCGACCCTGGCTCCCTGAGAAGGAGCCCTGAAATCATGCCGGCAGGTAAACCAAATTGCCCGAGATGCTACGGACGAGGGTTCATCAACGAGCCCTGCCGGTTTTGGCAATCAAGGGTGTGTTCAAATCCGAGACCCCACTGCACACCATCTGGTCATACAGTAGTTTGCCAGAATCTATTCATACATACAGGACGGAGGAACCGCAGCTGCTATTGTCCCAATTGCGATGGATCAGGTCTAATCCACGAGTGGGTTAGTACCACTTACCAACGAAATTGTAGTTGCATCAATAGCTAGGGTTCTAGACCAGAGAAGAAATCCCATGACCTAGTCAAGGGAAATCCGATGATGCATACTCTGTGATAAGTTGTCTTTAGTAGCGAGAATTCTGGCTGTGACTCTGGCCGTTCCGTACCTGAGCCAAAAGGGTCACCGTGTGAAAATGATAGTTGATGTATTGCCTCGTACGCCTGAGTCTTGTAGGACTCCCAGGGCCTCTTGAACAGCTAGCTTCCCTCGAAGCAGTAAAATAAAACAGGTCCTCTAAGCCATAATGTCTTCTGATGTGGGGAAGTTTCTCTATATAACAAACATCGTAACATTCCACCTTGAGCTTGTCCATATCGACGCGATCTTCAGGTGCAAGATCGATCAGTTTCCCTGGGTCACTGGCAGGTGCAGGCACAGCAGGGTTGATGATCTTGACGCCTGGCTTTGGTCCAGATTTGTTGCGTGGGAGGTCGAAATCATGAATTGTCAATCTCAACCCGGTAGGCAGATAGTGAAGCATCTTCAGTTGGTAGAAGGTCTTGGCTACAACATCGGTTGCTCCCTTCAACCTCCGCACATGGAACATGTAAAGCCAGCCGACTGGGTGCTTGTGATTCCGAGTAAGGTGATTTACTACGATAGAATAACTTATTATTTTATTATCATTGGGTTCAGTATTACTAATAAAAAACCGAGGTCTCCAGCTTGCGCGAAAAGAGGCCTGGTGTGCCATGTGTTATCTCAGTCGCTTGCCAGTCGAAATAATAAATCAGCTCGACAAGAACCTACATTGTAATTTAGCCATCTACTGTTGCACACCATTGTCTTAGTCGAACTTTTTGGGCACGAAGTTACGTGCATTTACTAACTCGGATTCTCATTCTCTTCTTGACATTGACAACTAGTTGACTGATGAGAATAGTGGGAGTTCGGGAAAAGGTGATGCAGCTGGAGGTCCAACCGATGCAGAAGTCGGAGATTTGCAAGATTGGCCCACACTGGTCATTGAATCTGGATGCTCGCAGTTTCTCAACCAACTAAGAGACCGAATGGCATGGTGGTTTCGGGCTTCAGTGAAGATAGTTCTTTACTTAAAGATGGACCCTGCATCACCTGGAGAAACATTGATAAAAAAATGGCAAGAAATATCACTCCAGGATCGAGCTGGCGCCACTACCACACGAGTTTCTAAGCTCTTAGGCCAAACTTGATGCAAGTTATCAATATTTGGAGGATAGATGGCACAGCCCCACACGAGTAAACCAAGTTCAATTGGCTTTTACTCCGAACTCGGCGTGTCGGACCAAATCTTAATCAAAGCTAGGTATTTAAACAGTTGCCAGATGAATCCTCCCTGACTTCATTTTAGATCAATTCATTGATTGCGTATCTCACGACTATGACCGCCACTGCCATTAAAACTCGGGTCGGGTTCCTGGGGCTGGGGATGATGGGCACCCCTATGGCCAGCCGGCTTGCCAGGAACAACCCACTCACCGTCTGGAACAGATCAGCTCTTCAATCAAAATACGAGCCTTTGAAGCACCTAGGGGTGAAAGTTGGACATACGCCAGCTCATGTTATTAATCAGTCCGATGTCACCTTCATGATGTTGTTTGATGGGGCTGCTATCAAATCGATTCTGACCGATGACTTCAAGGAGTCTCTGCGCGGCAAGACGTTGATCAACACCAGCTCTGTTACCGTCGAGTGCAGCCAATATCTCGACAGGTTTGTTCGCGACGCGGGCGGAGAATTCCTTGAGATGCCAGTGAGTGGCAGCAAAGTACCGGCTGAACAAGGCAAACTCGTGGGCTTGATGGCAGGAGACCCAGAAGTCGCCGAGCGTCTTAAGCCGCTGGTTGAGCCGCTAACAACCGTCGCCGTGTATTGCGGCCCGGTCGGGTCCGGGCTAAAGATGAAATACGCCCTCAATCTTTACCTCACTACGATGAATGCCGGGCTTGCCGAGTCGATGAATCTCGCACGGGCTCAAGGCTTGAATCTCGAAGCGTTTGTTACAGCTCTCGATGCGGGTCCAATGGCTTCACCATACTCGAAAATTAAGACGACCAAGATGCTCCACCAGGACTGGTCTCCTCAAGCCTCAGCCAGAGATTGCTACAATAGCACGCAGCTTATTCGATCTGCTGTCGAAGAGGCAGATACCCAGTCCCCCTTGGCACTACTTTCCGCGTCGTTGTATCGGAAAGCCATAGAGTCTGGATGGGGGGATGAGGATATGATATCTATTTACAAGGTGCTTCAGCAGCCCTTTGACAGGAACAGAGAAGTTGAGACAAAGGGCAATCCCGCCAACGATTCATAGCTTTGGTTGCTATAACTATCAACATCTGGGATTCTAATCAATTGTAGTTAGTCTAGCCAAGTTTCGCTCAGCTCTTTCGGTGTGTAAAACACACGTTATAAGGAGAGCATAAACAGACCCTGCCTCATCACGTTTCAACTGACATGTGGGATGCTTCTGATGTTTTTCGGTAGGTTATCGGGTCATATTATGTGAACCGTTTTGGGTTCCTGCCCAGTCAGCTAAGATCCCGAGCATTCAAGGTATCAAGCGTCGCTATTCGATCGGGTTAAAGAGCGCATGGGATTAGAATCCTGGCTTACGAGAGAAAGTGTAGAGGTAACCTTAGACCGCCCTGTTCCCCCTGCAAATTGTTGCTTACCTCGGATCTCGTAAGGTTGCTTACCTCGATGCGAAGGCTGTCATGAGCTTTGCTTACAATCATTCGCAGGAGATGATCTCAACTTCTCAAGAGCAACCTGAACCTATTACATACTCCCCTTTATCAGAACTTCTCAGCCAGCAAAAGAAATGGAGGTCGCATGGCTCTTTGTCATTTTCAGTCTAATTATCGGCATCGCCAGCCCGGCCATGGCTGATGAAACTGAGTGCCAGGTTGTCCCGATCAGCACATACACGTTTACTGAGTTTATCTCCCCCATGGAGACCTCTCACGCCGAGAGCCCAAAGCACGAGCATGGCGCCCGGCAATGCCATTTTTCTAGGCATAGTATATCCGTAGGACAAAGGCACCCCAAAATACGACAAGGGCCACTGCGAATACTACTCGAGATCTGGGCGTGCTGGCAAGCAGGCAATCCAGAGCACTTACTGGTCCGATCGTGGTCCTGGATCCTTGAACTGACGCGCCCCCTCGGGATACCTGTGGAAGAACGCGAGGCGCGACATCAGCAACTCAAGGCTCGCTGTGACTTTTTTAGACTTTCTTTGACGCCTGCTCCTGGTAACTATTACTGGGAGAAGGCGAAGAAGGGGATGATGAATATATACATGGCTATTAACTGGTAGGCGTGAATATTTGTAGGAGAGAAAAGGTGAGAGAAAAAAGCAACTCACAGGAAAGAAGAATTGACCATTTGCAATTACTTACCTACGATATATAAACATGGGACTTATTACTGTCGTATCAAATACATGGAATGCAACACCATAGGTTATTCTTTCAAGCTTGACCAAACGAAGCACCAATGCCCTCAGCCTTCTCAGTCTTACCTATCCTGTCTTCTCGTCTTTCTGACGCAATATCAGATTAACATTTATGACACTTTCTTGGGCAGTAGCAGTACTTATGTAGAAGCTCTACTCCAATAATCATGTCGGCTTATTAAGATCGGGTTCGAATATCATGAACATGGATAGGCAGCAACATGTCTCATTCTCATAATCAATTAAGCATTAAGATTACCAACAACAAGCACTTCAGAGCTACATTTGACTCAACTCCCGTCATTTTCATCCGCAAAACTGTGAGTTAAGTTGCGTCAACCCCATTTGATCTCGGTTGTTCCAAGGAAGAATCAAGCTTTCCTATTTTTAGCATGCCCATCCTTTGCCTGTCCATGTTTAGCCAAACCTTGCTTGATCAAGTCCTTCAAATCCGAGTCCACACGTCCGAAATAATCTGCAAACAGCTGGTTAAATGATAAAGCGTTTCAATAATTGGAAAGGCAGGGCCTCACCTAAAACTTGGCTCCTGAGCTTATCGGGAATATCGCCAAGAGTGGGTAGAATACCCTCAAGGAAGAAGTCTTTACCACCTTCTTCTTTCTTGATGATATGCCACAAGTTTCTCGCCTGCACGAAATCTTGGTCCGCTACACTCGTGGAGAAGGCAGTCACGTGCCCCTTGAAATCCTCATGAGTTGGAACTGTGACTCGCTTGCTGGTAGACACAGGCCGAAGCTCTGAGAAAACATAATCGGGGTCGCCGCCGTAGTTGCCATTCATAGTGCCAGGTCCGTCCCTGACGTAGGGCGCATAGACGGTATTGGATGGGCGATTGGGTGGGAGCTGGAAGTAGTTTGGCCCGACCCTGTAGCGATGAGCATCAGGATACGAGAACATCCGAGCCTGGAGGACGGGATCTGCCGAAGGGCCGATACCAGGAACCATGTTTGATGGGGAGAAACAGGCTTGTTCAATGTCCTGGAAGTAGTTGTTCGGCTATAAACCATCAGTATTTGCCTAAACACGCAAAACATATAACTCTTCCTTACGTTTTTATTAAGCGTAAAGCGAGCAATTCGGCGAAGCGGATACTTGTCGTAGGGCCACGTATAAGTGTCATCAAAAATGTCAATTGGTGCACTTTTGACCTCTTCGGGCTTGATGACTTGAATATATACCAGCCAAGATGGGTAGTCTCCCTTTTCAATGGCGTTGAACAGATCCTTCACGTGGTAGTCAGGCTCACTACCAGCCAATCTCATGGCTCTCTTAGGGTCCATCGTCTTGATACCGCCCTCGGGCTTGAAGTGCCACTTGACATAAACATAACTTCCATCTGCCTTGTTCAGCGTATAAGTGTGCACGCCAAAACCATTAATGTGGCGCAGCGACTCGGGGATGCCACGGGTGCCGAAGAGATGCATCAGGGCATGGATCCCCTCTGGATTGTTGACGTGGAAATCCCAAAACATGCTGTTGTCGGGCACATTGGTCTGGGGATGGCGCTTATGGCTCCTGTTCATGGATGGGAACTTGATGGGGTCACGAATGAAGAAGACTGGCAAGTCATTGAAGACGAAATCCTGAATACCCTCCTCGGTGTAGATTTTGGTAGCCCAACCACGGACATCGCGAACGGTATCACTGGAGCCTTTTTCCCCACCTACAGTCGACATCCTCGTCAGAAGTTTCGACTTCTTCCCCTTCTCCAGGAACTTGGCGTCTGTCAAGTCGGTAACATCATCGAGGGCCTCAAATTCGCCAAAGGCGCCGGCTGCCTTTGCATGGACGCTCCTACGTATCCCGGTCTGTGACAGAATCGGGTATTGGTTGCGATAGGTGTGTACCTTTCAGGGATCCTTTCACGAGCGAAGTGTGCGAGCACCTCAACAGTCTGCACATCGCTCAAAACGACCAGACCGCCATTGGTGTTTCCATACCGCACTTGCTGGACGGAACCGGGGCTGTCGCTTGGTTGGCCTGGGGAGAGTCAATACTGTCTACCACCAGAGCGGGGGATTTGAAAAACGACCTACCATTGGCCAAGGTGCTGATTTCGGGGTTTTCCTTGGAAGTCTAGATCGATTGTGAGCGTTAGTCCATAGTGACGTATCACATTCACATACCATTTTGCTTGCACTCGTCGTTCAAGGGGTTCATTCGTTCGGTGACCTTTCAATTGGATTCTTCCCTCATCTATGCGGAACTAGTATTTATCTTCTTATATGATCCCATTGATAGCTTTGCAACCACTATGACGAAATTTTGAAAGTATCCGGAGGTGCCGGCTTGCTCATATGCTTGAGCTGCCAACGTAAGTGGCCCAAACCTTAGTTCTGCGTCACTCTCTTCCAGGCCGGCAAAGATCCCCTCTCCAAGCTGAGTGGAGGTCAAGGAAGCAATGCGGGGTCCGTCACGCATTCACCGCTCATCAGCTGAATGTCAATTCGACCCCGCAGTGGCGATTGACTTTGAGACACCTCAAGAATTATCATCACGCCATGAGACGACATTATCGAGCCCTCACACGCGTCATTCCTTTGATACCACAGGCTTCATTATACCTACCGAGCAGTGTTTACTTAGATAAATACAAGAGTCAACGACAGCAATTGTTCAAATAAATCTTTGGGCTGGAATAGATTTTGTCACCAAGATGAAACTTCCAGACCCAACGGTATGTAATTGCCACATACCTCCTCCTAGCATTATGACATATCAGTCCAGCGGTCTACACCGCAATATCTTCTTATCGACAGCCAATTACGCGTCAATATTGAAGCTGCATGTTTCAGCTCATGCCGAATTTGGATCGTATTGCTTCCCAAGCTTGCGGGTGGTTGGGTGGTTGGTTGGTCAGGAAAGTTCCATTTCCCTGAGTGGCACAAGCCTATAGATTCCTGGCATTTGATGTAGGAAGGTTGACGCTAACAGCTCCGTTTCCCAGTTTGATAGACAGTAGAATCATTCTTCGCAGCGGTAATTGGTGCAGCGCAGCATTGCTTCCTGCAGGTCTCAACCCAAATGCGGGCACCGTATTTCGTCACCATTACAGCTGAGAAGCCATATATGAATCCCACAAACTTTATTCTCAATGAGTCGGCACCGTTCCCGTTGCATGCCATCCCAATTTCTGTTTCTCAGTAAAATCAACCAAACGGTGAAGATTAAGCAATAAGTTTGCAATCATCATGGCTCCCAAAACCAGAACTACCAAGTCTAAAGGGGGTGTTCCTGCTAACGAAGCCGCGCCCAAGGTGTCAAAGGAACCTCCAACTTCAAAGACCACCAATCGTCCCGATGAGTGGAAGATTGAGCAGGGCCTGTCGGGGGCAGTACTTCCTGTCCTCGACATGACTGGCCCCGAGACCAAGATGTTGCCTCCCCAGCTGTTTGGGCCGCTCACCAAGGATACCAAGGCCCTCGAGAAGATTGGCGATCGTGATCAGCTCTTCAAGAGGGAGCGCAAGGGCTGGAAAGGGTTAGCAGCATGTGATCTGGGCACCATAAACATTTACTGACTGTGGTTGAAACAGATTCGTCGAATGGGAGTCGCATGCCGATAAAAAGGCCATTGCGCACAAAATTCTCACCCTCCAGACATTTCCCGTAAGTTGAATTTTCTCCAGATGAATTCACCCCAATCCCGATTGATCATGAAAATCTTCTGTGTAAAATCGGGATACATTTATATTGCAAAGGCCTGACATGAGCTCACTTTCCAAAGCCCAATCCCGAATTCCAGCTTGGACCCATTCCGGGCACGAACCCGGTCCTTCCAGGAACTCACTGGAAGCAATGGCATCATGCTGTCGGTGGAGAGCTCACCGAGATTCCAGATGATTCATGGAAGCTTGTTCTGGAGGAAAAACACCCCGACATGCTCCATCTGCTGCAGTTCCCGTACAATGGTGAGCCACCTAAGCGTCTGGTAACTGACAAGGAAATCACACCAAACTCGCTGCATTTTGTGCGCAACGTACGTATCTTCTCCATCTCCTCAGAATCCTCTTCATTTTGGCTGACATGCAAGAATGAAGCATGGCGGGATCCCAATCATCGATAAGGATGACTACAGCTTCCTTGTGGATGGAGTAGTCAAACCCACCAGTTTCACGGTCGATGAGCTCCAGGATGAATCCAAATTTCCTCGTATGGAGAAGACCATTACCATGCAATGCTCTGGTACTCGTCGTATTGAGCAGATTATGAAGTATGCCGGCCAGGGAGATGAAGTTCCACAAGCACCTTGGGCAGAAGGCGCAATTGGCACTGCCAAGTACGTCGGCGTCAGCTTGAAGAAGGTCATCAAGGCCTGCGGGGGGCTGGCGGATGGCAACAAGCACCTCGAGTTCTATGGCGCAGACACCTATTTCAAGGATGACAAGGCCATGAACTACGTTGTCAGTGTTCCGTGGAGCAAGGTCAGGGCCAATGAAGTGATGCTTGCCTGGGAGATGAACGACAAAGAACTGCCACGAATCCATGGATATCCCCTGCGAATTATGGTCTTTGGATACATTGGAGCAAGATCAGTCAAGTGGCTCTATTTGATCAAAGGGATCAAACGGCCCTCGATAGCTCCAGTGCAGTCCGCTGAGTACTGTAAGTAACCACTGTCGGTTTTGAGGAGATCATCCAGAAACCATGGCTAACAATGTTGTAGTGTACTTCCCGCAGCAGGTTGGTAAGCACAACTTCAAGATGACTGACGGTATCCAAATCCAAGAGATGCCTGTGTCCTCTGCCATCATGTCACCATGGTCAAAGCAGGTGGTGATCCACAATGGTAAGATCCGCTGCAAGGGCTGGGCCTACTCGGGCGGCGGTCGATGGCCTGAGCGAGTTGAGCTCTCCTCCGATGGCGGATTCGACTGGTATACTATCCCACTTGAGAATCTTTCGAAGAAACGCAAGTGGACTTGGAGAACTTGGGAGTATGATCTTCCATGTGATGTGGAAGGATGGGTTGAGATTGTCGTCCGCTGCTGGGACAACTCCCTCAACACCCAGCCAACCCAGATTCGAGATGCCTGGAATTGGGGATTGCAGTATGTTTTCCTTTCCCAACCTGTCTCGCGATGTAGTCTAATCATTACTCTTGCAGTGTGACAAGTTCCTGCCACCGCGTCGCGGTTTATTCAGTTAACAAGAGCCGACCACGAACAAAGGCTCGCCTCGATGAGTTTGAGAAGAAAGGAATTCCCTTTGGGCCTATCACTGTGCCTCTGGCAATTCCTTCTCAGACACAGGCAGATTACGAAAAGTTTTGGGCTGAGCATGACCCGCGTGATGCGGAAGACGACTAGATGTGAACTTAATAGTCAGAATTACCATGCTGCCAATCAGCTCCGACAGAATGACGTTCAAATGATGTATTGAAATTGATACTGTTTTGCCTCTAATTTTCTGTCAAGTCTCTTTATAATCATATTTAAAACAAATTTGTATACAAGACCTGAGGGCAATCGACCTGAACCCAGATTGTACTCTAGGGTCCATATACCTTGACCACCTGAAAGATCCCGGACAACTGATCCCTTGATCATGGCGTGAGCGAGTAGATCTCATGCCTCACTGCCTGATGATCTGAATAGTCCTAAACTGGGACAATAACTTGCCTCATAAAAGTCAGCACAAATTTTAGGCTCTCGCTATAAAAGAAGGATTTTCAGTCTATGCTAATTTCGAAATAATGATATGAAGTTCTTTATCAAATGAATTATATTCAAACTACTTCTACAGCACAAGTTTGAAATTCACACATTCTCTGCATCTCTTATATTAATATAACCAGCGTTTATATTGCAATCTCTTCTATCAACTAACTCAAAAGGTAGCCGACGCAAAGTTGGCTTTAGCTTCTTCGTCGGTAGAAGATGCAACGACGGTTTTAATCAACTATAATCAACTATCTGGTTCAGGAGATACGATATCCAGGCTAGATACTCCCTGTCGGCTCACAGAGTAAACAAGCTTCTCACCGCTAACTTTGTGGGCTCTCAAGTCATCCATGCCCTTAAGAACTCCATCGAGCCCATTGCCACCCCTGTTCAGAGCAACCCTAGGAACCTTCGGTCTTCCTTCCTCCAGAAGCTGTCGTATAGATTCCTAGAAAATCTTTGCATGCTCGAACTCGTCGGGCTTAGCCGGCGTCTCTTTAAGCTTACGGAACGGTTCGCCAAAGATCTCGTATGCGAGGGTATGGTAAAGGCCGTCAATATCTAGGCGGACGGCATGACCTCGCGCTGCGTCATCGTCCCTCGTCTCGAGGCTCATTACATGGACGCTATCACACTTCTATGTTGTAGGTTGAAAGCCGCTTAGTAAAGCAAGCCATTTACTTGAGATGGTTGCCTGCTTTTCGGCCTTTCCTAATTTTCCTGATTTACATATTCGGGGCCTTGAATAGAGCCTGGCAACTAGTGAACCAATGCCCCAGGATGCGTATTGGTCACGATATCACTTGTTCCTGGTGTCTCGGGCCTCGCCTTTCGTTATTCATCGCGACTCGCGGGCTTTGACTGCGGGGTTATCGAAATGTAGAGTTTTAACTCCGGGCAATGACCGGGCGAGACACATTGCTTGCAAAAAAGTCGGCGATCTTTAACGGAACGCGAGAATCCCTGCCCTCGCTGTCGGCACGCGAGCGATCGGTATCTCAATATTCGAGAACGCGAGTTGTGATGGATAAAATATATTGATGACATAAATTGTTGATAGGATAAGGCATAGTGAGGAAGGATAATATCGTGCATTCAATATCAAGGACTTGTAAATTGTCAAACATACATTATAAAACAACAATGACGCGCACCATCATCCACTCCGTTACTGTCTTCGACGGGCTCGAAGCGAACAAAGACTTGACTGTCATCTTCAACGATACTACAGGTCTTATTGAGAGTATATCCTCAAGCTTCAATGCCAATAATGCACACGAAACCGACATTCTAGTTGATGGCAAAGGCCACACCGTCATTCCCGGCTTAATCGACGCTCATGTCCACGTCCACAACCTACATGTGTCTGACGACGGTGACGCAAAGGAAATCACGAAGCAGCCATTGCGTGCAGGCGTAACAACCGTGTGTGATATGCATGGCATGGCTCACGACCTGAACCAGCATTGGCAGCGGGCAGACCAAGAGGTGGTCGAGGCCAAGAAACTCGGCCCTTCTGGTCGGGTGACGGTATCAGACGTCAAAACTTCTCTGTTAGCAGCCACTATCAAAGGGGGCTGGCCAAAGCCGATTGTGCTTGGCCGAAATCCCACCCAGGAGCTCAAAGAAGTCGTTGAGACTTGGCCCGATGTGACCGAGGAGACTGCAGAGGACTATGTCCGGAACACCAAGGAACAAGGATCACATTACATCAAGCTCATGCAGGAAGACTGTTGCTCCATGTCCTGGGAGACCGGCTCCGTGCCGAGCGCGTCCTTGGAGTTGCAGAAAGCCGTCGTTGCCGCCTCGCACAAGCATGGCTTGAAGGTCTATGCCCACGCGACAAGTCTTGACAGCACGATCCACGTGCTCAAGGCCGGAGTGGACGGGCTTACTCACACTTTCTGCGATCAGCCACCGAGTCAAGAGCTTGTGGACCTTTACAAAGAGACCGACGCGTGCCTGATACCGACTCTTGCGGTCACAAGCACCCTCACGGGCGAGGCGCAAGATGATCGAGACAAGTTCGCAGAGATCGCCATCAAGCGAGGCGTGATCGACGAAACCACGCGAAACATCATGCTAGGCGCCGCCAACTTTGGGGCACCGTCATCGAAGCTGCAGTACGCATGGGACAGCGTGAGAGTGCTGAAGCAGGCGGGCATCGACATCGTTGCGGGAACTGACGCATCGCTCGGTCTCAAGGGCACGGCCATGGGCGCGAGTCTATGGATGGAGCTGAGCCAGTACGTGAACCACTGTGGACTGACGCCGGCTGAGGCTATAACTTCTGCCACTGCCGTCAGTGCTCGTCGATTTGGCTTTGAGGATCGGGGAGAAGTCAAAGTAGGAAAGAGGGCAGACCTCGTGCTTGTCAAGGGTGAGCCTCACGTTGATATTGAACATCTCTGGACTGGCGAGGGCATAACTGGCGTTTGGAAGCGGGGAGTTCGGGCAGGTTAGATGATGAGCATGTCGCTTGTGTAGTTGATTTCAATCGGACGCATTTCCCTCAAGTTTCTATCAAATTACTACGTAGGTATATTTGTGGCTTGCCATAAAATGGACTAGCCAATATGGAGAGCAGTATAATCTTCCTGTATTGTACTATGTGTAGTAAACGCTTTCTTCATCGTTTACTATTCTAAGTTGGGCCTAAGCAAATTATCTTCAAATCATATCCTTGCAGGGTCTCTGCTGGTACAGGTGGGCATTTACATCTTAGCTTTGTCTGTTGAAGATCGCGAAGTTCTCATCAATGTATTGATGAAGGGGCATAATGCATTGGCGTTTCTAACCAACTAGATGTTTGGCATTTATTTGCTTTGGTCGTCTAGTCAACATTCAAAGCAGGTAATATCAAGTCCAGAGAGATATGATCCGCCACATCTAACACACCATACCTTCACAGATCATCGAGAGCATATTCGCGTGGGTCATAAAGTGTCCAAAGGAGGCACAAGCCTAGGTTCGGGAAACATGTACTCCATCGATGTACACTAAGGTAGCTTATTCTACATAAAATCAATAGATCAATCTTCTCCAGGAATCATTATACACCCTACGCGCCCTTACTTGTCATGATTACATAGCGACAGGGTGGGTCAAGAGCATCCACGTCGCATCTTACGGCATCTAGCAGGGGTGAGGCATCCTCACGCGTATAGCGAGTATTGGCAGAGCCCGGTGGAAGCCAAGAACTGTGACCGTGATATAGAAGGAAGCAATCGGCTTTCGCAAAAGCAACATCACAAGAATATCATGTCACTGCTAGATCACAACGGCTACTAATCCTCGTCACAGTACTCAAATAGCACGCGAAAACCAACACAATCAGCAGGAACACCCGTGTCCGAGCCCGAATACGAGACGCGGATCTCCCTCTATTTCCGTCAAGTGAGGGGTAATACCGTAACACAAAGTTCCTCTGATGCACCATCAGATCGGCTCACGGCTGAGACTTGCCGACTAATCAGTCATAGCCTTTACACCTTCCATATTCTGCCATCGTCTGTTCTTAAATTCTGCCCTTTTCCCCTAAATGTTCATTTTCGAATAAGCCACGGTCCTCATCTTCGGTCATTCAAGAACAAGCACAATGGAGTCGTTCTACCAACAGCAAGTTCCCAGTACACAAAGCAAGATATAAAAACAACAGTCTAACGGTATACTACCTAGTGTCGATGAGCTGGAGGGGGTTTTCATAGAACGTCAGTGCAGAGCTTGAAGGGAGTTGAGCCCTGTGCTGAAACAACATGTTAGGATTGCGAGCTGCTATTGAGATACCCTCAGTCTCCGAGCAAGAAGATAAAAGAGACAGTGTTTTCCAGGTTTCGTGCTCCTCAAAAGATAATTGGTGTTTGAAAAGATAATGTCTAACAATATACAGATGGCGAAGTGGTTGGTCCATGAGATGGAGTCGCTCGGGATACAGGTCAAGCAGAAGGACCTGGGTAAGCAGCCAGGCAAGGATATCGATCTGCCACCGTTGATTATCGGCCGATATGGATCTGATCCGTCCAAACCAACTATTCTTGCCTATTCGCACTATGATGTTCAGCCGGCTGCTCTCTCAGATGGCTGGGACGATGAGCCATTTGAACTCACCCAGAAAGAGGACGGAAGGCTCTGCGGCAGAGGAACGAGCGACGATAAGGGACCTCTTTTAAATTGGTTGAACATGATACAAGCTTTCAAGAAAGCGGGTCAAGATGTTCCAGCCAACCTTGTCTTTTGCTTTGAGGGCATGGAGGAGAGCGGCTCGCAAGGGTTGGCAGACGCCCTGAAAGAGGAGTCAACCGGTGAGTTTGCCAAGATTGACAGCGTTTGCATTACAGATACTGCTTGGTCGACGACCAACCGGCCGAACCTCATCCGAGGACTTCGCGGGATTATGTTCTATCACGTCAATATTGACGGGGCTGATGGGGATGCCCATAGTGGCGCTTTTGGTGGCTCATTATCTGAACCCATGACGGACATGGTCAATCTCATGGCGTCGCTGGTCGATTCTCGAGGCAAAATCTTGGTGCCCGGAATTTATGATGATGTGATTCCAGTTTCAGCGGAGGAAAGAAAGGCTCTAGGCGAGATAGAGATGTCCAAGGCCAGTCTCGATGGCGGAATCAACGGGAAACTCCTGCACGAAGACCAAGCAGATAACATCATCGCAAGGTAACCTCCCAGCCGCGCGGCCTATTGATGTGTGTTGCAATTGCTAACCCCCAGATTCAAGGTCGAGAAAGCCTGCTCTGTCCCTTCACGGCATTGAGCGTGCTTCTCCGGGGAAGGGGGCGTCGACGATCATTCCAGGAAGGATTGTCAGCAGATTCAGCATCCGAACTGTCGCCAACATGAATATCGCAAAGATAGACGAGCTAGTCCAGACGCACCTCAATGATAAGTTCCGACAGCTTGGCAGCAAGAATGAATTGTCCATCCAGCTCGCTGGGAGGGGGGATTGGTTCTTTGAGGAGGTCGACCACTGGAACTACCAGGCAGCCATCCAGGCGACTGAGAAAGTATGGGGGGTGACCCCGAATATCACTGCGGAGGGAGGAAGGTATGCCATTTCCACGAAAGAGATACATGCAAGGCTTACGGTATTAATATTTTCTCAAGCATTCCTATTGCTCTCGATTTCAAGAAGGTCCTCAATAGCAATGTTGTTCTCTTGCCCATAGGCCGGGCGGATGATCATCCTCACTCAGAAAACGGCAAGTGTCTCTCTTTCGTCAATTCATAACTATTAGGCTAATCTGCTGTATCACAGAGAAACTTGATCGTATCAATTAGTAAGTCACCAAAAAGCTGCTCTCAACAAGGTCATGAGAAGCTAACTTTAGCATTTAGTATTAACTCGGTCAAAGTATACGGTACATACTTGGAGATGGCAAGCAAGAACTGGAAACAAGGACTGGCATGAGAGAACGAAGTGGTGGCTATTCTAGCAGCTAACTCTTATACTGCAATATCAAGACCATTTTTTATTCGAAAATACTTGTATGCAGCGAGCGAGCCTGGAAACAACAGTAGCCCATGAATGGCAATAGCCGCCACAGATGTACCATTGATCCACTTATTGAATCGCCTTTTGGAGGTTCACCACAGAAAATGTTTAAGTATCCTCGTGACGTAGGTTTGCCAAGCTTAATCGCAGACAGCCCTCATATGTATTGTGTTGGGCCAATCCAACGATATGCCTCTCGTAGTGACGGACGATAGCTAGTTGCTTAACCTAGCTGAGACTTGTTTTTCCATTGAGAGGTAGAAGGGATTTCAAATGCTGCTCACAGTTTCTCGCCTAATCCTAGTGAGAGTTCGATTGTAAAGTAAAACCTGCAATAGAAGATGCCAGACCCGACATTCCAACACAATGAATATAACAGACAAAAATGAGCTTCATTAGCATAATGCTGTATTCATACGAAAGGAAACTCTATAGACCTTCATTATATAGCAGGAACCTCTGTAAGCCTTCATGCTGATGCCACACTTGCCTTCGGGACGAGCCGGCTGAGGCAGTGCGGGGTCAAAGAGGCATTTCAGCCCCACCGTGAAATTTTTTTCTTACTCTTGTCACTCAACCACGTTAAAACAAGATCCTGGTCAAAGACCCTGCTCAATTGAAGCCCTGGATCATCTCCAAATCGACTACTACCGACCTTGACACGCACAAGATGGCAGCCCAAAGCCAGACGAGCGCGGGCGCAAGCCCCTACGACACGTACCAAACCTCGCTGACGACCAGGTACACGAGCCCTGAGATGTCCCGGCTCTTCAGCCAGCGATCCCGGCACTCGCAATGGCGCAAGCTGTGGCTCCTCTTGGCCGAGAGCGAGTCGGAGCTCGGCATCGACATCATCACGCCCGAAGCCCTCGCCCAGATGCGGGAGCACCTGGAGGTGACCGATGCCGACTTCGAGACGGCCAGGATTGAGGAGAAGCGCCGCCGCCACGATGTCATGGCCCATGTTCACGCTTTCGGGGCCGTCGCGCCGGCTGCTGCTGGTATCATTCACTATGGCGTGCGTAACTTTCCCTTTCGAAGAGTGTCTGACACCCACTGACACTGACGGTATCAAAGGCAACCAGCTGCTATGTGACTGACAACACGGAGCTCATCCTCATGCGCGACGCCATGGATCTCCTCCTTCCCAGGCTTGCCAAGGTGATTGATAACTTTGCCAAGTTCGCAATGGAGTGGAAGCACCAGCCCACTCTCGCATACACCCACCTCCAACCAGGTATGTGACGTGATGACCTACAGTTGGGCCAAGAGACAGAATGGAACACCAAGTGAAGCTGACGATAAACCCAGCGCAACTCATCAGCGTGGGTAAGCGAGCAGCCCAATGGGCTCAAGATCTGGTCTTGGACCTGGAGAATATTGAAATTGCCCGAAATGGGCTCAAACTACGAGGTAAAGCAAGAACTCGGCTCAAATCTCACAACTCCGCCTCCCTCGTTTGCTAACTGAAGGAAATAGGCGCGCAGGGAACAACTGGAACGCAGGCAACCTTCCTCGAGATTTTCGAAGGCGATGGGTCCAAGTGCGACCAGCTCAACGAGCTTCTTTGCAAGAAGACTGGCTTCTCAGGCTGCTATGATATTTCCACGCAGACATACACTCGCAAGGTAGACTTGATTGTCTCCAATGCCATTTGTGGTCTGGGTGCAACGGCCCAGAAGATCACAGGTGATATCCGTCACCTAGCTGCCTGGAAGGAGATTGAAGAGTAAGTGCGGCATCGCCAGGAAAGTCATGAACCAAAACTAATGGAACTAGGCCTTTTGAGAAGGACCAGATTGGATCATCGGCCATGTAAGTTGAGTCATCTGCACAGAAGCACCTGCTTATACGTGTTACACCCTGCAGTATTCTAACAGACCTAGGGCCTATAAGCGCAATCCCATGCGATCCGAGAGAGTGTACAGTCTGGCTCGAGAGCTCTTATCAAAGCCCTTGAACTTCGCAAACACCCTCTCCGATCAGTGGATGGAACGCACTCTAGATGACAGCGCTATCCGCCGCATTGACATCCCGGAGATGTTCCTACTAGCTTCGGGCA